CAGCAGATAACGCTGCTTTGCGCCCAACACACGACTGTGGTGATGTGAAAAACAGCTGGCAATCCCAAGTCTTGTGATTCAATCCGTCAGTCAGTCCACGTGCCAGCAACGCAGGCTGGGGGGACCAAGGTTCAGCAGCTGCTGCCACCCATGCAATCGACCCAGGCTATTTTGGGATGGAAGTGGTATATCGGGCCAACTCCGCTCTCACTCCACGCCGGGTGGCCGCTATGCCCACGCGAAGTGCGTTGCCCCTCCATGTGGGCTGAAGGCTTGCATATGCGCGAATGCTCGGGCGCTTCCCCAGAATCATGTCTGCTTTTCTTGTAGCTTAGACCAGCCGGATCAGCAAAGAGGAAGGCCATCCCCTGTACAACGCCATCCATGGGGCGCGCTCAGTCATAGGGCAGAATCAGGCACCTTTCCTGACAAGCGCTCTATTCGTCCCTCTGCAGTAACACAGTAGTGGTTCCAAGATCTTGTCCTAAGATATCACAATTACTCCCGAGCACCTGTCATATCTCTGGATATCATTATTAACGTTCTGGAAAAATCTTCCTCGTGTTTAGTTTGAGTGCAGCGTGGTAGACAATTTTGTGTTTCAGTATTCTATAGCCCAAGCGACCGCAATCATCCAAACCCGCAAGTGACCAGAACCCTAGCCGTTCACCTGCTCAAAATGTACTCTATTTGCACACAGCAGGATGTCTGCCACAAATCACAGCGGTCCCACCCACCATCCATACAGCCTTGATACTCTCCGTCCAGCCCAGCTCGACTTCCCCCCATCCACCCCCGCCCACCCATGCATATGCACGAATAGCTCAGCCGCTTCCCCCAAAAGTCATGGCTGCTTTTCCCATAGTTCTGATCAGCAACGCGGCAAAAAAACGAAGATCCCTCGCATACTTCCAGATGCATGTGCAGGTGGGTAAAGAAACGCCTCTTGCTGGCTGACGCGCCAACGCAAGTCATATCACAAGCGAGTGGATCTGGGACAAAGACAGCCAGTCCTGCTAATGCAGCGAACATCATCGTCACATTCAGAGTTGAAAGAGAGTGCGCAGCTGCCAACGTTCCCACCAATCGGCCTCTAGTCACGTGACGGATACATAACATAACGAAAATTGTGAGATTAGAACTCTATGGAAGATTGACGAGTCGCTGATTCAGTTGACATGAGAAGACTTGCTTCAAGGGCACGCTTCAAGAACAGGGAGTGGAAAGAAAGGCTATACGGATGCAGTTCTTTTTAGCCACTTCAATTGCACACCGTGCATACACATACTCACACGTACACATGCACACACGCACTCACACGCACACAAAGAACGCAAATAAACTGACTATACTTTGCTCCCAGAACCATGGCCCTTTTTGAACCAACCTATGCTAATAATGCTGCCGACTCCCAAATGATATGGTATAGTTTCGTTGCCTCTCTCTCTCTCTCTCTCTCTCTCTCTCTCTCTCTCTCTCTCTGCCTTCCCGCACCGTCTCTCCCCTCCTCTCTCCAAAAGTGATCCAACGCCCTTAGATTTCCTCCTCGCCCTCCTCGCATTCTGTGGTATCCGGTATTCGTATCGCTCATTAAGTTCTGAAAGATTATGATTGGAAATAAAGGGAAAACGAAAAAGAAAGGAGAAGATGGGAACATAGAAGATGAAGAAGCCCAGCGCCATGCAATATGCAAGCCAGAAAAACATTTCCGACAACAAAAAGGATGATATGATTGGTTAAAGGAAAATTGGAAAGAAAAGGGTGGGTGGTGGAAATTATAGAATAATGCTTTCCTTCTCTCTCGTCAACAAACCCCCTTTTCAACTCGCAGCAACACACCAGTGCCGATGGAAAACCCAAGCACTCTTCTGGCATTCTTTACTGCAGTACTTTGTCCTTCTGCAGCGGCGGCACTTGGCAAACTGACGGGTGTATTCTTCCCATCGGCCGCACTGGTAGTATGCACACTGCCTGATACCGCCCCTCGAGTCGTCTTTCCGACACAGGTTGCGCATAACAACGCTTGCCCAGTACTGCATGTCGGATGTGTGGTGTCGGACGGTGAATTGCTCAACGAGGGGGAAGATGTTGAAGTCATCTGGGAGTTCGTATTCTTCGAGTTCTTCTTCCTCTTCTTCTTCTCCTTCTGCGGACGCCTTTGGTGTCTTGACTTCGCCGTCGAGGAGCTCATCGGCAATCTTTAGTTTGGGTACGAGATGGGATTTCTGGAAGTAGGTCCGGAGGTTGCAGTATTTTGACACGTAGGCAAGGAGCTGGAGGGACATGAGGACATCTTCGTCACGAGGCATGGCTGCGAGCACACTAGCTGATGCATTACGTTCTTGCTGGTACCGTGGTAGCCAAGGAGGCGGCGGGTTGGTGTTTACGACGTTGATCGTCGGTTGCATAGGAGAGAATCCAGTAATTGGGTTGTTGGGCGGTGTGTTGGTGGGGTTGATTAGACTTCCATCGAGAGCAGGACGGTGGGTAATGTTGAACGTCTCGTTGTTCTCATCTGTGCCTTCTGAAGGGGCAGCGATAGGAACCGGTGTGTTGCCAGCATCCAGCATCTCTGCATTATCGACAATGTCAGCCATGTTGATTTCATTATTCTGTATGCCGACGATTGGCTCGTTTACAGACGGACCAGCCGCTGTGGCAGCCTCTGCGGACATGTCATCTTGTTGTGCCTCCAAGTCCGACTCTCCTGATACAGACAATTGGTGTCGGATGGATGGGCGGCGACGTGTTCGGGCCAGCCCCGCTCTTGGGCTTGTCTGGCGTGCCTGTGGGGCGCTCGGGGTTGTCGGTGACTCTGGTTGGGAAGTGATCTCCCCTTGCAGGGCGGGGAGCATGGAAGGCAGTCGATCAGCATCTCGCACCGGCCGTAGCGCAAAAGCATCGGGAGCTGGTTCCATGGAAGGTAATGCGGTGACCAATGGCTGACCTAGATTACGCGTGTTGTTGCCGGGAGCGCCAAAGAGCTGTGGCCGTCCTTCGTGGCTGCGATGGTGGTGGTGGTGGGCAGGTCGACCACGTGTAAATGTCGTCCGCTCGGGAGGGGAGCTCAGTGAGAATGCGGGAATGGGGTTCGCGTCGGCCAGAGATTCGGCTGGCTGGGGTATCTCAATCGGAGGGGGTATGATGCGTCGTGTTCGATCAGCTCGGTGTCCGGAGCTTGACGCAACCTCGCCAGTCCGCGACGAGTGGTGTCGGCTCGATGCACCGAGACGTGCAGACTTGTGGATTTCGGCTTCGGCTCGTGCCCTCATCTTGTCCACGACCTTGATGTAGTTGTCGAGAATGGATGCGATGACAGGCACCATGTCGGCTTCGACGACACGCGTCCTGACGTTCTCAGAGCCACGCACGCCGATGTTGAAGATGCACTGGAAGGCCAGGTTCCACTTCCACATGTCCATCATGTCCTTGCTCCGGCCCTCTTTGAGGATGCATATCAGGCGTTCGATGCCGCCATCGACGGTGAGAATGTCGCGTATGCGTGCCGAGGATGTGGTGAGGTAGGCGAGGTGGTTCAGCGAGTTGATGAGCGGGAGAGTTGATGTGCAGTCGAGGGCGCGGCGGTCGTAGAGGGCGGTGGTGATGCCAACCGAGGCCTTGTTGGCGTTGGGGATGCTGAAGTTGACTTCGCGCATGTTTGGTGCTGTGCGGTGCCGTGGATGAGCGGATGGGAAGGAGCTGGGCAGGCAGCAGCCAGTTGTTTGTTGTTGGCTCCGGCTCTGACTGAGGCTTTGGAGGGGCCCGTGTGGTGGTGGTGGTCGAAGAGCCGCTCGAGGGTGGGAGAAAGCCGACGGGGTCGTATCACACGACTGACGACGACCGGACTCGGGCGAGACGGGGCTGATGTGTGAGCAGCCAGTCAGGCAGGCAGTGATGGGCAGCGCAGAGAGATGGCGATGGTTGTCGAGGGCGTCGACGGGAGATGAGGCTTGTTTGCTGTTGTTAGGGGGACCAGGATTGCTTCACGGGCGCTCGCTGGCTGGGAGGCAAGAGCGCTCTCTCGCGTCGCAGTGGGAGGCCACGCAACACTGGCTGTGGTGGGCGACGTCGTCTATGGGCTGTCGTGCTAAGGCTGGACTATGCTATGTTGGATGAGGCTGTCGGCGATGAATGGGGTGTAAAGAGGCGGTTCGGGTGAGAGGTCATGGGCAGTGGAGCAGCTAGTCCCACAGTTAAGGATTGGCACGCCCGCCCAGAAGGGTAGCCTCGAACCGCTAATTTCATGCGCTACGGGCGAAGAGAGCACCGAAATGACTGCTCACATGCCTTTGACACCGGAGACAGCTTACTTGCCTATGTTACTCGAGACAGCTTACCACGCAGTACTCCCAATGATTGGAAATACAGTCGTCTTCAAGTGACAGCCCGACAGTCATCTCTCCGACGCCCAAGCACTTGCGCAAAAAACTCACGCCACAGGTGGCGCGCTTACCTCTGCCAATGCCATGTAGCCATGAAACCTCTGCACCCACAGCTTTGCCAGCAGACTGTCGCTATTAAAGGCTCATCTGCAGCCGCCTGCATGATTCGGCGCCATTCTCGAAGCTGCGTGGGGCGCCGGCCGACTGCACGATGCTGCTGACAAAGGCGCACCTCTTCTTCGGCGCCTGTGTCACCACGAAAACAGTAACTCGGCACGTCTGACAAAACACCTTTCTGAACGAGGTACATGTCTCCTTCTGGCTGAATTGCACGCCTTCCGATGTAGATATACGTGTATACAAATCACTCGAATTGCTCTGTGGGGTGCAGGGCCTTTACGCAGCTGGCCCGTAGTGATGGAGTTCATTGGGCACATGAAACTTCTCCGCAGCCCAGTGGTTGTGATTCCACAACACGTCTGCAAAGGAGAAACCCCAGCTCTCAACCAATTCGCGCGTCGCTACCAATGGCTGTCGCATTCTATTCTTCACTCTCGTTAACCTGAAATATTCGCCAGGATTTACACAGCCCAAGTACAGCAGCAGGCAGACGTCGCCATGTCGTCTCCACACGAAACCAGAGTCCAAGACTTTGCATCCGCTCCACCCGCTCCCAACCAGCCAGAGCGGTCTGCCTCAGATTCGGCCGCGCCTCCACATTTGACCATCGATACACAGCTCGACGAGCAGAGACGTCGCGGCCGCTCTGCAACTGCCACAACCGCGACTGCGGCACATCCCAACCCAGAGGAACTCCTTTCCCCTGATCGCTTCTCGGTAGACTCGACCCTGCGCCGACGCATAACGCGCTCACACACGGTAAAGCACTACAGTCCCCACCAGTCCCCTACGCGCCCATACCAGCACCAGGAGCCAGGCGCTGAGCCGGGTGTCGACACGAAGAACGAAACCGAAGCAGCCAACTACCACCACCTCTACGCACGATGCCAAATCACCGTTGTAGACTTCTCCGACGAGCGCGTCGAGTGCCATGAACTGGACAATGATACACTCGAGGACTTTCTCAACTATCCAAAAGAAGACTGGGTGGCATGTAGGTGGATCAACGTCAACGGCTTGTCCTGGGACGTGATTCGCACCCTGGGAAACCACAAGCAACTGCACAGGCTGGCGATTGAGGATTTGATGAGCACCCAGAGCAGGACCAAGGTGGACTGGTACTCTGACCAGGCCTTCTTGCTCCTGACTCTGTCTAAGCTTGTCCGGACGCCCATGGACGAGGACTCTGAGAGCGACTCTGATTCCGACTCTGACGACAGCGAACGACGACGGCACAAGGCCCGATCACGGTCCCGCTCGCGCCATTCGCAGAAGAAGAAGAAGCCGAAGAAGCCATCGCTGTTCAAGACGGCAAAGAATCTGCTCTTTCCCAAGAGCGAGGCCAACAAGCAGATGCGCCAGGATGAGATGATGAGTACACTAGACGGCCTGGAGAAGCAACTTGACGGCACGCCTTTCGAAAAGGTCAAAATGTCCACTCCCCCAGCGACCACCGCCGTACGCACCCTCCAACGATACCGCGGTGGTTACAACCTCGATCGGATTGTCTATCTCGAACAGCACTCGGCCCTCACCGAAAAGCACCTCACGGTCAGCGTGGAGCAAGTCAGCATCTTCTTGCTTGCCGACAACACAGTAATCTCCTTCTTCGAGCACTCGGCCGACGATGTCGAAGACATGATTCTAAAACGTCTCCGAACAGAAGACACCATCCTCCGCCGCAGCCAAGACAGTAGCATGATTGTGCAAGCCATCATCGACGCCATTGTCGATCTCGCCATCCCCGTGGTCGCCGCCTACGAAGACGCAATGGGCGAGCTGGAACTCGACGTCTTGGAGGACCCTGAACTGCACCACTCTCAGCTCCTCTACCTGCTCACTTCTGAACTGTCTATCCTGAGGAATACCATTCAGCCCATTGTCTCCCTGATCAACTCTCTCCGCGACCACAAGGCTGATCCCATGGCCCAGGCTGTGCAGGCTATGACTATAAATTCGCATCCGTCGTCGAATAATCTCGCTACTCGCAAGACAATGTCTAGCATCAATATTAGTCCTTTGGCACACACATATCTGGGCGACGTGGAGGACCACTGCATCATGATTACAGCCAGCCTTGATCAAATGGTGAGTTCTTCTTATCAATCATCCTTAAGCCCGGCTTTGCTGACTTGATCTTGTAGCGTCGCGCAGCCGACAACCTCATCGACCTCATCTTCAACGTCATGGGCGCTTACCAAAACGAAAGCATGAAGATACTCACCGCCGTAACCATCTTCTTCCTTCCCTTGACTTTCCTCGTCGGATACTTTGGTCAGAATTTCGAACGCTTCAATGGCGTGCAACACCACTCGGATGCCTTCTTCTGGATCATCGCTGTGCCCGTCATGGTTATCACGCTGCTTGTGCTCATGGCTGATCGCATTGCGAGGAAGGTGAGGGGTTGGATGGGTAAGCTGAAACGCCGCGAGGCTAAGAGACGAGCGGTGAGGAAGGGGAAGGTGGGTGGGAATGGGATCTTGGGCGATGGGATTGGATTGAGTAATGGGTTGGTGAGTGGGAATGGACTATTGCGCAAGGACGGAAGCAGGGGGATGAGTCAGGGGCAGGGGATGAGGCATAAGAGGAGGCAGACTCTGTATAGTAAGGGGAATATTGGGAGTTTTTAGAAGGGTGTGTGTGTGCGTGTGTGTTTTACATAGATGTTGATCATGTACGGCGGGATTAGAAAGGTGCAGTAATCACTTAGACTGCTGTGGTATGGGCATATATTAGAGTTGTATGATATATAGATATTACAAGATGAATGCGTGCGTAGAGGTTGGGGGCGGCGGGACCCGCTTCTCAGTTATCGTTCTTGACTTTCCTTGCGTGCCCGCACCACATACAAGGGAAAACCCAAACAGGTATGAAAATAACAAGTCCTACCTTGTAGGTCACATTAGCTCTGAATAAAAGAACTCATAAAGATTAATAGCATTGTAGATTTCTAGGTTTTCCATTCATGTCTACCAACCTCTTGACACGTTTTATCGTAGTAGGAAGGAGTAATACCCGGGTATGCTCTAAAGAGATGTTTAGTGCGAAGCACAGGAAGTCAGATAGTGGCAAGGCAACTCAAAAGACATATAACTAGTCTGGGAGAGGAATTGCAAAGAAGAACGCGTACTACTAGATAGAAAAGTCAAAGCAAAAGAACAAAGCCTACGATGCGTCGGAGAACAGGAAAAGAGCCTCGCAGGGAAACAACAGATCAGAAAAGGGCAGAGCTAGTGTTCACAGGAGGCTAGACAAGATGCGAAAGGATGGGAGTGAACAGGAATTCTCCTACAAGGTTGTAGGCTTTGTGAATTCGACCAAGGACGCAGGAAACCTGAGAAGGCACGAGTGAACATGCAAGCAAGTTATATACTAGCTTGGGTTTCTGGCTCACATGCTAATACACCGGACCTCGAGTTTGTCAGGAGCGATGTTTGTAGCCAATCGCAGGCCTGTCTAGACTTGCTCGTCCGCCGAAGTGCACATCTTGTAGGTCTTGGAGTTCATTAACAAAGCTTCCGTAGAGCCCAAGGTAGTCCCTGTTAGCCACCACTTCACTGATTCACAATTGCAAGCAACGGTTACTAACATATAAAGAATGCTGAATTCGTATTTGGAACCAAGACATGTATCTAGACGATGTGGCTCTGATCCCAACTGTGTTTCATCTCCAGGAAAAAACATCAGCCAGTCGTTCAGCCTTGCCCTCAACCACAGACGATCAGCTTCCACAATCTTCAGCTCTTTATTCAGAGAAGGTTTCCATTTCCATCACGGTACGGGCAGCCAGATTCGCTGTCACACCTGTTCTTTCCCTTGGGGCAAGGCTGTCCTTTGCCAGTCTTGATATCGCAGCAATCCGCGCTCTGTCGCATTCAAAATCAGCCAAGCCATCCTGTTCTGCAAAGAAGAAGAAGACGAAGAAGAAGGTATTTGAGTTGGACTTACACATTTCTCAGTGGGGATACCCCTATTGATACAAAAGTTGGCAGATTCTGCGTTACCAGTTTGGGTGCATGCTATGCCGCCTTGTTGCCTCAGACAGGCGTCTGATCCCTGATCGCCACCCCAGCAGCAGCCTTTGTCGCCAACGGTACCAAAGCCGCCGGTGATGTAGCACTAGACGAGATGTTGTGTTAGTAAGAGATCTTCTTCCTAGATGTACAGGAACTGGGGGAGCGGGAGAGACATACTTCAGCCTGAACGCTTACAGCAAGAGCCAGAGCAACGATAGAAGTGGTGAATTTCATCTTGTCGATGTGGAGATGGAAGGCTGGTTTTGATCTGAAGATTGGTGCGTAGGAAAAGTGTCTGTTGAGAGTGAATCAGTGTCGAGATTGGATGAAGCTGAGTTTCTGGTCAGGAAAAGGGCAGAAGAGTTTGTCTTTAATAGCAAGAATCCAAGGTTAGTTCGACGTTTACTTTGGGGATAGACTGATGGCGGGACAATTGTCGTCGTTTGATCACAAACACCGCCGGCCGGAGTAGCAGTAACAAAGGCCCGACTGCCTTTGCCCATGGCTGTTTAGCAGTCGCTCGTGTCACTTCTTCTTTAGCTTCACTTTGCAACAGTTTCGATATCATAGGATAGACTGTCAAGGCGCATTTTTGGTACGCTAGTACAAGTCTTGTTTCGCACTGTGCATCATCTTGACGGCTCTTCGGGTTTTACCGTTGTCACTTGGAGTGTCCACGTGGGTAGTCGAGTGTCTACTTGCCTTGCTACTGTCCTGTTTGGTATTTGCTATGCTATAGAATCATGTATCCAGTCAAAGTGAACCACTATCTGCATGCGGTTAGAGTAAACTATAATTTGCATCCGGTCAGGGTGAACCACTATCTGCATACGGTCGGTGTAAACTATAATTTGCATCCGGTCAAAGTGAACCCTTATTTGCATGCGGTCGGTGTAAACTATAATTTGCACCCGGTCAAAGTGAACCATAATTTGCAGCTTCACAACTGTTTCAGACGCGATGCTACCGAATATCCTACCGTGTTCGATGTCAATATGGTAGGTCTCAATCTGAGTCCTGTGCTGAAGGCTTTAGGTATGTGAGAAGAATTACTCTCCTTCTCAAAGGCTTTTGGATGTTTGATTCTGGTGTTCGTGGATTGACTATATCCGTTCTAGCGCCGGATGAGCGCACAGACCACTCGTGCCATCTAGTCCGAAGAGGTAATAGACTGACTTAGCTAACCAGAACGAAGCATCTGTAATATGTAACTGGCCGAGACCGCAAGGTACATCTTGGCACAGTCGGACTACCCAGACATGCCATCTTTGCGAATCAACGAACAAGGCCGATGTCTAAGGTGAGCCTCATACGCTAGTGCTTGAACCGTGCTTGATCGTCTTCTCTAAAAAATAGTTCTGTGCTGAAACTAGAAGTAATGCCTACTCATTGTAACGAGCGGTGGCACTAATAGCAGTCCATCTGCGACTCAAAGTTACCAAACGAAGGCGAAACCAAGCTCGGAAAGCTTCCTACGCCATCGATTCTCGAACGTGCGAAACGCATGCGGTGAAGTTAGTTACCCAGTCCAGCACAAGCGCCTTTCTATTCCACTCGACCAGATGCCTCTTCTCAGTCAGCCAGCAGCAGTTATAAAAGCACACGCTCAACACTTCGTCTCGAACAATCATATCTCAGTTTCGATCTCGATCTCTACACACTTCTCCATCTCTTTCCAAGACTTGTTCCATTTCAAAGCCTTCACGATGAAACTTTCCATCCTCCTCAGCATGCTTGCAGGCACCGCGGTCGTCAGTGCTGCAGCTGATGTTTTTGGTGCGGTAAGATACATTTTGTATGCAAGACTGGACCAACAGTATCTAATATTCTTTGTTCTCAAGTGTACACCAGAGGCGGACTGCTGTTTCTCCACCAAGGGGGCTTGCCAACGTCAGTCGAGCTTTGCTATCGAGCGGTACTATGAATGCGGAACAATCAAGCTCTGCCCAGATTATGGAGTTTCCCTGCAAGCTTGCGTAAGTACATTGTTGTTTGTCCCGTTTGTTCTACTGATGATATGTTCCGAAATTATGTTATATAGCCTGCTAACTTCTTCTCTAGAAGGCGGATTGCTGTAGCATTGCTTCTAAGGGGGGTCGTGGCTGCCCTGGAAAATAGAGAGGACCAGCTGTCATGGTAACACGATACCTTGTAGACACATCTTCCCATTATGTCTTGCCGACCTATCTGTTACCCTGCTGTTTGGACAATACCTCATGTCGCAGTCACAAATGTATTTGCTTGAGCACTCGAAAATCTTCAATAAAATCCTCTGTTTCCTCATGATTTCATGCAACAACCTGCTGAGAACCGACACCAGAATACGCGTCTTGCATCTTTTTGGAAATCTCGTTTTTGTCCTGGCATCTATGGAGAAGTCCCGTGACTTCAAGGCCATATATTATTTTGTTGTTTCCGGTTTGCTGGGCGTTCTCGTCACATAAATAACAAATTGGCATTTGATGTGATGTCGATGTAGATCGTATCAATACTATTGGTCAATTCACAAGTGAGCATTATAACACATGAGGGTGCCAGAGCGATTCGAGCTCCGGAGCGCTGGTCTCGTGTTGTTCAACTTTGCTATCATATATATCGCCATAATTGACTGTGCAGTATGTTGATTTGGTCGTCCGCCAGATGTGCAAACCATTCGAAGTAATTAGTCAGTGCTTTCGCGATTGGGATCTTGTCGAGGCCCCGCATGAAGACCAGAGAATGATGAGCAGGGGTCTCTCTTAGCCTTACCGCTCGCTTTAGAACCTGAGATGCCGATCAAGATTGAATGAATCTCCAATTTCGCTTTCCCTTTCCTACCTGATGGGATGATCGTGGTCGCTATTGAGGTCGTGTATTGCTGTGCGGCGTGATCGTGATATCTGAAGTGTGCTTGTCTAGCCGATAAACGATGGCGTAATCATGTGGCATCTCTCGTCCAGCCGCTTGGCTAGGCGCGCATTTGGCCCCCCTGCCTCGAGAACTGGGTGTCGTACGATCCAACCCCAATAACTCTCGACGAACACCCGAACGTGCTTTTCCCACGCTAAGCAACCTTAGTGTGGACTGTCGTTCAGACTTCGCACTGTCGCATTCAGCACCGCATTCCCGTTTCATAATGCGATAACACTGGGCACTTTTCCTGACAGCTTCACGATAAGTCTCATCACATTCATGGGGCTGCTTACAGTGATGGCCAGCTTTGCCGTCACGTTTCCGGTGCAGAAAACCGCGAATCGTGCTAGGCTTGCATGCGCCAAGCGCGTCAGGCTGAATCTCATCACCAGCGCAAAACCTACTGACGCTCTTAACAACACCTGCTCCTTGATCGCAGCGCAAGTAAGGTATGGTATTGGACCCCATCATAGTATCGCTTCCTCACAGGTCCATGCCCTGTGCATCACTCACTCGAAACACAATGGAAGGAGTACCGTCAGCTGTGGAGTTCAAGCACGAACCCCTCCCGGATTCGACTACACACATACGACTGTTAGAAATTCAAGGCATCGATGCACATGATCATCTTGTTTGTCTTCTTACCGCTTGGCTAGTTGAACAAGCCCCAGATTACTATGCGTTATCGTACGTTTCTCATACGCATAGACAGCACGTGCAGCATATTGACCGATCGCCTGCGGTATCAGCTACACCTGAGGCTCAGCTTATCCAAGTCATGAAATTGTTATCAATGGATGCATATTCATGGCAGGCCGAAACTGCGTCTATGCGCTCAGACAGGCGCGTTCATCAAAGGCGTGCAGGTATTTCTTGATGGACGCTCTTTGCATTGACCAAAGCACCACACAGGAGAAGAGTCACCAAGTGGGTATGATGGCACAGATATACGCAAGATCACTACGTGTGTTGGCGTGCGTTGGACCTCGCACGGACGTCGTCACGTATCGCTGGCCTTACGAGGCAGATGGCACATATTACTGGCCTTTCAACGCAGACGGCACGTATCACTGGCCTTCCAAGGAGGAAACCGCGTACTTGCCTCACAGGGACGATAACACGTTGTTGTTTCGATTCATCGATAGGCACAGATCACTTTTGGCCAGCATACACCAGCTTATTCTCAAATCTAGCTTTGGGCAGACTCGCAACTGGGTAGGACCTAGTTCTATCTTGAGAAGCTCTTGGATCGCGCTGCGATGCCTATGTGCGTTCAGTCCTCGTCTAAGACAAACAGTTGCAACCAAGTTCCTCACCTTCATGAAACGCCCATGTTTTTCTCGAGTTTGGATCTTGCAGAAGCTTCATTTGGCCCCAAACAACTCGCTTTGTTGTGGCAAGGACGTGCGCTCTCTTAACTACTTGCTGGCTGTGAGCATACTGGTGGATTTCTGGATCAATATCCCTGATTATAAAGAGTCTTTGGCCTTCCCTGTTTGGTCTACGGAAAAACTGTTTTCATGGCAGCCGTGGTTCTTGCGCAGACAGGAATCTTGCGCGACGGAGACATTCAAGGAAGGTTTCCGCGCAATCCAGAATCAACGTGGTTGTCTATCCCTCGCTTCTAGTACTGGAGGACGCCGCCGATTGGCAGTGGTCTTGGATGTCATGAATAGTTTCAAATGCACTGACGCTCGACAGGCTATTCGGCGTTTTGGCTCTGATAGACTGGGGTCGTGGCAAGGCTGTCGTACCAGACTACGAAAAAGACAGCTACCAACTTGCCATTGAGGTACTTCGACTGTATCTCGAGAACCCAAAGATCAACTCGGTCTCTGGAATGGCTATTGAATGGCCTCGAAGACTATGGGAAATAATTGGAGTCGAGATCTAGGGGCGGGCGATACGAAACGCGAAAGTGAAGAGAAACAATGGTCATACGATACCGCACTATCAATCGCCATTATTTGTCGACTTTGATCCTTCCCAAATCAGGGAATCATTCCCTGGTGTCAACGGTACTACAACGTACCTTAACGAACGACCAGGGCGTTCGAGCGACATCTGGTATGGAGTCAGGCTGCTTGAGAACCCGGATATCCGCAAAACCACGCTGAATTCAGGTGATCGGCCGTTGCGTTATCTTTGGTGTGAGGGATATGATTCAAGGTTCTCGTCCATAGTTACATGTCCGCTTGTAAAGATCTTTGACCAAGAGAAGCGATCATTCGCATGGGCACCAGCAGATACGAAACCGAATGACTGGCTACTGTTTAGTGGAGCATGTACATGGTACAATCGAACCCCTGCGATGGTCGTGGTTAGAGATGGCGATCCGTATCTTGGCACTTTTCTTATCATCGGTCAAGCGTCAAGGAATCCTGGATATCCGTATGGATATGAATACGAGAAATGAATCTTGGCATCCCTTGTGTGGCGATACTTTGAATCCAGCTGGTACGCGGAAGACTTGTTTTTCTTCGACTGGAATCATAAAAACCGTTCATTTGCTTTGATTGCCTCTAGGCCAACAATGGTGGAGACGTCCAAATGGCTAAAGATGGAGGTTTGTGCCTACAAAGGCTCATCATTCTTCAAAGGCCCACGTACTTTATCATCTGATTATCAGGAGCATGCAGTAAAGGTGGTTAGTCAGTGGACAGGAAAGTACGCGGCAAGACATTCTGGTGGCGCTACACCGCTCCCCGCGCGTCTAATTACGCTAATGCGATAATGTCATATACATGTGTTTCTGATCCCGACACCTCAGATGATGGTCCGGCAAGCGTCACTGCTTGATCGACGTCATCATGTCTCAGGAAAAGCCCAGTACACAAAGAGAATGAAGAACGTCAGATTTCTATGCTAATCTTCATTGTTCTATACGTTCCCACAAATACAGGCTGTAGCACAACCCACTGCAACGCTTTTCACTACTTTGCCTTACTGGGACCACTCCTCTGGGTAACGTACTGGCTGCATATAAAACAACGTTCTCAATTGAATCATGCCAGAAGCATGTACTAAAATGACTATGGGAAGGTAAATTACTCACGACCATCTTCTCTTCAGCAACGCACTGCTATTCCATCATTATCCCTTTATTCATTCTCTTACCATGTCTGTTTCCTTCACGCGGGTGATTACTCTTGCCAGAAATCGCTTCATATCAGTGGGATATCAGGATGAAACTTGCCCTTAAGATAGCCGGGGTCACGAAAAGCAAGATGACTTGGAGATACAAACCTAACTTGTGCAGCTACCAAAGGATGCCTGACAGCCCTTTGAAGCGGCGCAGTAATCTGCAGTGCCACCACAGTTACCGTACTTGCTGCAGCACAAGCCCGTCTTGCAGACGTAGCCAGCGTTGTTGCCTTTTCCAACGTCCCCGCAAGTACCATCAGGAGAGACGCTCCCCCTTACAGAAGCGGTGTCGCATTTTCCAAAAGCACTTTGGCAGACAGTCGCAGCACAGTAGTCTGCAGTCGTACCGCAGTTTCCATACTTGCTACAACACGAACCGGTCTTGCAGATGTAGCCTTTGTTCTTCCCGCTTCCCTGATTTCCGCAAGTGTTGTCGGGCGTGATGCTCCCTGGTCCTAGAGGCGTCGCAGCCGTATTGGGTGAGGTAGCTGTTGCAGTGTTGTTGGAAAAGACAAAACTCGATGAAGGTACATTGGTAGCAGCAGGGCCGGACGTCATGCTGGCCTCGTCGCGGTAGGAAGATGAAGATATTGGGGGGTTGCACAACCCAAAAGCTGGCTGGCAGACATTCGCAGCGCAGTAGTCGCTGGTGCTCCCGCAGCTTCCATATTTACTGCAGCACCGGCCACCATTTGGAGGGCACGTCCAGCCCATATTGTTGCCAGCGTTGATGTTGCCGCACCTTCCATTGAGGGAGTATACTACAGTCGGGCCAGCATCAGCGCTAGAAATCTGTGTCTTTGTTAGTATTCTGCTTCATAGTACTAAAAATTCGAATTACGCACCGTATTGGTGGATCTTGGTTGGCGAACCGAGCGGTACCATTGTGAGGTCGATGGCTCACCTAGACATTCTGCGACAGTCACGGTCTTGATGCCTCTGCTTTGCACTACCGAGATCATGTAGTTGATGAGCTCGTCATGTGTCCAGACTTCTTGCTCGTGAGCTTCGACGATGGTGTAGCCTTGGTCAAGACCATCGATGAAGAGCTGCTTTGCTGTATTGATCCCGGTTTCCGATTGGTACTCCCAATCTTTAGTATTTAGGTCACCAATGATAACGTGGTACTCAAGGTCTTTGAGAACACTAAGGGCGTTGGCGTTGAGTGATAGAAATGGTGGTCGCATGTAGTATGGGAAGTATCCTAGGATATTCATCATAGCGTCCTCGAGTAACGTCATTTCTTGTCGTACTCCGTCGGCGGTCAAAGTTGCAAGGTCCTTGTGGCTCCAAGTGTGCGAGCCAATTTGATGCCCCATGCTAACCATTCTCTGTAGAGTTGAGTTATAGTCGTAGATATTGCCCTTGTTGGCTCCGTTGATGAACCAAGTCGCCTTGAATCCAGCGGCTTCCATCCTAGATGTCGTCTTAGTAAGCTCACTGATCGCCAAGACATAGCCACAGGTCGCATACCTGTTAAGAATATCCTCGGAATAGATCCATGGCCCGTCATCGAAACCCGGAGCAATAACCCCAGGCGTAGTACACGAATAGATCTGCAACCCGAACGGAACGGCGGAAGCGAGGGAGACTAATGCGGCGAGAGCACTAAGTACTCCCGTTACCCTGCCAAATCCCTGGCTCATTTCGAAGTTAAAGTATAGTTCGGTAAGTGACAGATAGTGGGGTATTGAAGTTTGGACCGAGTGACAGCTAACTGATCGGTGTTTGGAGGCTGAAGTTTACCAATGCAAAGGTTATGCAGATCTGGACTGACAGGGCAATTTAACTGATCTCAGACCATTGTATTTAGTGTAGACTCGGTGCAGCCGAAAGGCCACCAAGCTCAGCCGCAGTCGAGACTCTTCGTAACGAAAGCCATCTCGTACTGCTTCGAGCCACTCGTCGAGGCGAGTTCATGACAGCTCAGCAACATGGCTGGCTGGATGCTACTAATGTGGTTGATTTGGCGCCGCAAACTTTGAACCCTAGGCTGTAGAGGGCAAGCGTACAGGTTGCAAGAGTCTGGATTCATGCTGGTTCTGGCGGAAAACACTAATTCCGCATCTCCCCGCGTTCAGCTGACCACTAAATGGGGTAGAACTAGAACAAATCTGGCGCTCGCTGCAAATGCTCTGCTAGATGGTATCAAGGCATATCCCAGCTCGATCTCAGCAGATTTGGTAGCGTGTTCGCCACGAATTTCACTCAAATCACACGCAGTCTCTGGATTGGAGAGCACGCGGCATGACAGACACTCATGATCAGCCACTCTGATGAAAACGAGCAGCTGGAAGTATAAGTATAATGCCGTAACTAAAAAGGTACAATCTATCAGAATTCGCTACGGAAAAAGCTCTATCGAAAACAACAGTTGCAACATCATCGTCCCATTCCAATCGTGGCCTCCTCATCGTTGACAGTTACCGTGTGAGGGGCCTTTTCATCAGCAGCGTAGTTACTTGAAGCTTCTTTACCTGAGGCGTCGGTATCTTCCGAGATCACCTGCCGGGTTTTGCCCCAGGAGAAAGCGTCCAGGTGCCACATAGTGTAGAAAAGAACAAGGATAGTAAGGAACGGTCCAGTGAAGAAGTAGATGACCAGGCCGACCAGGAACTGGCACTTCGCCTTGCGGCCCTTTGGCATCCAGAAGACGAGGGTAAGCATGTACATGTATGGCACAATCACACCTCCTAAGAAGGCGACAGTGATGTACCAGGGTACACTCCGGGCAGCGTGGATAAGTCCAGCGATCGAACCCATGATGAAGATGTTGCAGAACCACGTCTGACAGTTCGAGAAGGCGCGTAACCGTTCAAACCACTGAGTTCCCTTCGCGAATACCAGGCGAAAATCGTTGACTGTCGCGCCCATCGACCAACGTTTGCGTTGCGACATGAAGACCGAGAGCGAAGTCGGGACATCAGTCCATGCGACAGATTTGATCGATTGTCGGGTTTGAACGTGGGGTGATGCAGTGAGAACATGGCAAACGTGGTTGCGGTCTTCGCTGTATGCACCACGAAGGTGTTTGAGCATGCCATCCGTCGGACTCGGACAGTAGCCGAACAACGTTCGCAGAATGTGATCACCGTTGTTCTCTTCGCACACCTTCAGAATCTGGCAACATCCAGGAAGACAGGAAACCTTGTGGGTGACGGTGGACTGGTGTAGACGAGGCAAGCCTTGACTAATGGTGTAAGACGCATTCTGCATCAGGCGCCACATGTTCCATGGACCGTCCTTGAAGTCTACCCAGACGACACCGCAAACGCCAAAGCACTTGGGGTAGCGCGATTCAGAAATGAGGTAGTAGATGCACCATGGATCAAAGACGGTGTCTGCGTCCATGCCGACAATCTGGTCAAAGTTGTTGATGCCACAGTCGTCGAGGACGAACGAGGTCATCTCCCCAAACAGCCTATTCGACATGATCGTTGTTGGTCTCTCGTGTCGCTGGTTGAACTTGTATGCTACGTGGCAGATTAGTCTTGCGATCTAGAAAGAGGTGGGTTGTATTACTTACCGAACGAGCGGAGAAGAATAAGGCCATCGCGCTTTCCCTTGTTCGTCATCTTGACGATGCATAAGTAGTTGAGTCCTCTGTATTGTCCCTTCTGCATGATAATGTCCATAGGCTCCTTGTCCCAGGCCATGTATGCATCCTTCATGTGTATGCGCGATGTCTTTTCCGTCAAGATGGTGTCGAGAAGACATTCGCCAGTTGTCTGCGTCATCCCTGGACCGCGAGCGCGACCGTCACAGATGATGAAGACACACTGCTTGTGGTCCTCAATGCCTTTCTGCTCCACGAGCGAATCAAGAGATTTGCGAAGCTCCTCTTCGTTCTCGTTGTAGCATGGTATGATGAGCATGAGTGACTCGGGTGTCTCCGGCGCGGGGTTTTTCTTCTCTGGGCGGAAGAATCGGAAGGCTAGCCATAGGAGGAGGGTGATGACAACCGTGAAGTTGATGAACACACCATACGTGATGAAGGGAAGGAAGACGTAATGGTAGCCTTTGAACCACCAGGAGCCAAAGAGCAGGAAACCGCTACAACGGGTTAGCAGGATAGGGGAATGATCTCTCCAAAAGAACTTACTTCAAGCCAAAGATGCAGCATTGGAAAGCGAGCTTCCGCAGCTTCATGAGTCTTTGAGCTCGTCGGACCTTCATGCCATCCGGGTCTGAAAAGTCTGGCTTCTCGTCGACCATGTTGTTGAGTTCACCCAACTGCTTGACTCTCTCTTCACCGCGTTTGGTGCAAGTATCCCACATGATACGATCACACTTCTCGTTGGTGAAGACCTCATTGCTGGGTGTGCCGGGGAGCGTAGTCCCTAAAGAGAGGGAACTTTGGCGGTTGATGTTTCGCGAAGTGTTGTATCTCTCTGAAGTAGTGTCCCACTCATGCAGGACGTTGCTTAGATCTGGTCTCAGAAAGACATTCTCGGGCTCGGAAGGAAGGCTTGAAGCGAGAGGACGAGCTGACTCGTTGGAAGACATCTTAGAACTTTTGGTACCTTCGGAGTGAGGCAAAGACAAAGAGATGCTGCACAAGCAACATTGAAGAAATCCATCACTGATGTATCAACGCCATCGCTCCGTAGACCTGCAAAGAGTATGGACAGTTTGCAAGCTCCAAAAACTCCATGGCGTTGGCACCAGTGACCTAGACCTCGCGGAAGCCATGCAAATCTACACAGAAGATCGGGATGCACCATTCAGCAGCCACAATTCTCCGGCGTCTTTGGAACTTGCTTGTTGGATTGCAACACGTCGTTGCGGCTGAGAGCCTGGAATCAGTGGATTCAGCTGGACGTTTCGGCGCCGCCGCAGCTTTGTGGGGTGAATTGAGTTAAGCGATTGTGTTCGAAGAGAATGGTGATGGCCTCGGGAGACTGAGCGTCGGCGAGGCGGTAGCGTACTAGGCCTCGGCAGTCACGCCATAAGCCTGACAAGGCTGGAGCAGGGTCTGCCACACCAAAATTGCCAAAAGGTACTGCCGTTAGTGTCGCCTTGCCCTTACTAGCCAGAAGTTCGTCAATCTTGGCAATACTTGGCTTTCCCTCTCAAGCCTCGGAGAAGTCTCCGCAATGCTTGGCCTTCCACTTTAAGCTTCGCCGAAGCTTCCTCAGCCTGACGCTAAGCTTGCTTGGACAGAACAACAGCACTAGAAGCTACCCACTCACCGCACCCACAAAAGATCCCGCTGGATTCTGGGGTAGCGAAGCGGGTTAGCAGGTGGTGGGCCTAGGCTTGATGCTTGCTTCAACAGTGACATATCCTAACACATCCGCATTTCGCCCCCACACTGATCAACAACACCATCACGCAGGAATTTGCGCTTCAGGTCCATTTCGCTAAGCGACAGCAGATCTTCGTAATTCATGACCTATGTCTGTGATTAATCTCTCCATGATCTTTGGGAATACACGGCTTCTGAGCTCAGCACTGTTGCTAGTCAGAAGGTAATGTCTCTCCTATCTCTTAGGTAACGACTTGCAGATCACTGAACCTTCTTGGAATAGGTTGCTTCAAAATGGCCTGCGTTTTGCAGTGCGGAGGTCCGCGGGCTGGATATCTTGGCAGGGACACACGATCGCGGGCGCGAGCGACCTTACCAATGACTGCGCCTGAGGGCTCGCTAACCCCCGGCACACCAGAGTGCAAATTTACTGTCCCGTGCGAAACCCCAGTCGGACAAAAGTCTGATCTGGAGTCGCTTACTCTTCTTGTCCAGTCCCCGGCATGCTGGCATTCCGACCGGGGTGGAGCTATCCAAGGTAGGGCTGAACGAGTCAAGGCTGAAGTCCAGAGCTAAACAAGTCAAGGCTGGTATGATGCGTCTAGAATATGGAGAACAAAATCTAGTTGCGGCAATCTTTCTGTCTACGCTCGAACAGGCCAATTCGTACCGATCTTACATTTCAGCTTTGCGATGAAGGATTTCCAATGGTGAGAGGATCTTCTAGGTCATACTATGCGCCTCCGTTGTGTGTGATGGTGGTAAGGTTCGTCACCATCAAGAATCTCTGCTTCAGGCAAGGCTTGAACGAAGATCAACTGTGCAGAGCAAGTCTCCGATGGTCGGGACATCGCGATAAACGCACACTGCCTCGGCTACAGAACACTACACAGACAATTCCAAGGTTGTTTCGCACTATGCAAATATCCCGTTAGGCGCGATGTCGTGATTTCTTGGTGTTTAGAAATTCCCCTCCGCGGCTACGGAACGTCCCCTGTACCTTTGTGCATACGCTCACACGTGTTTCAGTTAGTAGCACCCAGCAGTCTGGACCTCATGCTATCGTGCACATACTCGCACCCCTTTTGGTTAGAAACACCCAGCCGTCTGGACTCCATACCACTTGTCAACATCCCGGTCAGCGAGGGCCCGGCCTGTAGGGTAAACCATTGTGGCTCTCCGAACCGAGTCGCCACCAGCTGTAACAAATCCAATAGATTTTGGATTCTCGTGGCGCCTTCGATGGAAAGCTGAGAAGTGCTTCTATCAAGCCTGACTATTTTCATGTTAGGAGAGGCCGAGCAAAGGCCTGTACCTCCTGCAAGCCACAGTGCTCTAAACCTTAACGGATTTACAAGCCAACGACTTCTGCACGTGTAGGCCTCGATAGCATACTGTCGATGGGTTGAGGTCTCGCCAGACGGGATGAGAAAGTGCCACCCATCGTCGAGGCATGAGCATCTAGATCGAATCAGCGAGCACGGAGGCTGCGGAAACTTCAGCATGTCAGCCCTGGCTCGAACGTCGGTGTAGCCGTGGAGAAGAATGCTGCTATCTACATTCAGCGAAGTAGGCTTGTATGAGCAGAAGCCTTGTGGAGCGGAGAGGGAAGATAGTGTACAGTCTTTCTTCATGGTTTGAAGGCAAGCTCAAAGGCTGTAGAGCGTACATGAGTATAAAGACACCACAAGTTCTATCCATAAACCAACACCAGCCTTCGCAGTCAGCACTTCCATCTTTACACAAAGGCCTCGACCTTTTGCCTCGATCGTTTCGTCGAACTTCTATCTTCTTCCTCTCAGCATCATCCTTACACATCATAAACCATCATGACTACCATCACTTTCAACGAGGGCATGTTCAGCAACAAGTTCGTATCGCTCGACAAGAAGCCCGAGATCATCGTCACCGAATGCTCTCTGCCTCTGACTCCACCGCCAGAGGAGATCAACGAATCACCTTTCTGGACTACAGAGAACCCAATTCAAGTGGAAGAAGTACAGACACTCAACACTTCTGAATCTGAGTCCATCGTGGCCGTCATCGGTGTTGGTTATGTCGGCACCCACCTCGTCGAAGCATTCGCCAACCATTACAATGTCATTGCTTTCGATCTCAGCACCAAAAGGCTTGACGAAGTTTCGAAACAACTCGCTGGCCTTCCGATTCAGTTCACGTCAAACGCTGCTGATATCAGCCACGCTACACATGTTCTCATCTCCGTGCCAACGATTCTCACGGACGACAAGAAAGTGGACACTACATACCTGCGCAGTGCCATTGCTACTGTGGAGAAGTACGTCAAGCCTGGATCCACCATCGTTGTTGAGAGCTCTGTTGCTGTTGGTATGACACGAGAGCTCGTTGGCCCACTCATGGTATCGAAGAACTTCAAGGTCGGCATGTCACCCGAGCGCGTCGACCCAGGCCGCACATTTCCCGCCTTCGAGGACATCTCTAAGATTGTCTCTGGTCTTGATGCCGCATCTTTAGAGTCCATTTCCACTCTTTACGGCCGTGTCTTTAACAAGCTGCTTCCTGTCTCTTCTCCCGAAGTCGCCGAGATGACTAAGCTGTACGAGAACTGCCAACGCATGGTATGTGCGACGTATGCCAACGAGATGGCCGATGCCTGCAGCAGTATCGGCATCGACGCTTTTGAAGTCAGCAATGCCGCAGCATCCAAACCCTTCGGGTACCTACCTTTCCGCCCTGGTCCAGGAATCGGAGGTCACTGCATCCCTGTAAACCCGTACTATCTCCTCTCCAACCTTCACATGCCACTCCTCGAGCATGCAGCCACAATATCGTCGTCCCGACCCAGAGACGTAGCCAGGAACTTCGTGCGATCTGTACTTCAAGAAAAGAAGTACAGCGTAGACTCGAGCCAACTTCGACTGCTCGTCGTCGGTGTAGGTTTCAAGCGCGGCCAGAGCGTCATGAGCAACTCTCCTGGTGCTGCCATCGCCCATACGTTGAAGAGCGAATACAACTGCCATATTGAGTTCGCAGATCCGTTGGTTTCCACGGCTCTTTACAGTGCAGTGCCGAAGATGGATACGGAGGCGAACTGGACTGTCGATTATCTTAGCACCTACGACGGTATCATTGTCTCTGTCAACCAAGAAGGTCTTGATATGGATGTTCTAGCAAACTTGCCAAGTAGTGTCAAGGTACACGACTTTTCCGGCATTTTGAAGAACTCTATCAGTAGTGTCCCGTCACTAGCTGCCAAGAAGGAGATCTGCTAGGAGGTCATCATTTCAGTAACATTTCATGCTCTGGGTTTATTGCAAAATGGTGTTTCTGGAGTTCATAGAAGAATACGAATATCTCTTGTCAAGAACTGTGTTTTCGCGACCCATACACATGACATCGTTTCGTATCTTAGTGCTGGCAAGCGACTCATGGCGATAGCTCGCGGGTTGATAGAACGAACTCTAGCTGCGATGCGACCCGTCTCATGCTCAAGCTCTCAAAGTGTTATCGCCATCAACATTCTCAAGATGTAAACCCGTGCTCCTCTTCAGATCATCGTGCAAATCCGAGATCTTCCCATCTTTCACGTTGATCTCTTTCTGGTACACAGCGACATCAGCCTCATCGCCAAATATCGCAGCAACCTCCTCCAGCGGCAGGCCATTCGTGTTGGGAAAGAAAAACCAAATGACCAATCCACCAATGGTGCCGGGAATAATGAAGACGAGGTAGAATTTCCACCCAATGGTAATGAAGGCTGTAGGCGCGGCCTGCAGCCAGACGATGTTGGTAAAGGAGATTGTTGCAACGCCCAGCGAGATGCCTTTTGAGCGGAGGTGCGTCGGCCAAATTTCGCCGAGGTATGAGAATTGGGTACCTAGTGGCGGTTAGAGCGGATAAGACATGGGCTTAGAGTGTTTGTATACCATCGATACATAGACCGTATGGGACTTGGAAAATATAGAACATGGCGACAGCCGCAAGTAGCGCTGGCTTGTTGTTCGAGCTACCAAACTCCGCGACTAAAGCGGCTTCCACGATCAGTGTTGTCATGCAACCTAGAATTCCACTAGCGATGTATTTGTTTCGTGGGAAACGATCCACGAGTGGAATTGCCATGATGTTGGTACCCAAGCTGAACGTCAACCACGCGGCGGGGTACAAAAGCTGCTTGACCGGCGAGAAGCCGAGGTTCTTGTAAAGAGTAGGTCCGTAGTCTATGAAATGTTAGGGAATGGTAATCGTGGTAGGCTAGTAACTTACTATTGATGACAAGTACGCCAGAGCACTGACAAAAGAACGTCAGGCCCAGCGTGTAGAATGCTCGTTTCCTATACGATGGTTTGCGAAATATCGTCATCCAGCTGCTCCCCAGTGTTCTATCAATCGCGATCTGCTTGGAGATCTGATAGAACTCTGACCGAGCATACTCATTGTCCGGATCGGCAGGGTCTCCATGTAAGCGATCGAGAATGACACGCGCTTCATCGATGCGATCTTTCATAATCAGCCACCTGGGCGATTCAGGAATCCAGTACAGCCCGCTCAGTAAGATTAGCGGCCATGCGCATTGTAGTGCCAGCGGTGGTCGCCAAGTGTTCTCTCCAAGTTTCGTCGCGAAGAAGAAGCCGAAGCCGACCCATCCTTGTATGCAGTACCCAAGAATCAGAAAGACAGCGTGTATGTCGACAAGACCTCCTCTCATCTTGACAGGTACGACCTCGTTCATCCAAATCGGAATAGCCGCGAGGATCATGAATGCGCTAGCACCGGCAATAAAGCGGAAGACGATGAATTCTCCGATGTCGGTGCTGCCGGCGAGAAAAGCGCCAGATAGGATAGCTAACATAGCACTCTGTATATTCATCAGCCCACAACAGGACGATGAACGTGAGGTAGCTTACGATTGCAATGCCCCACTTGCGCCCATACCGGTCAGAGATGTTTGGAAGCAGCAAAGTGCCGACAACACCGCCAGCTTGGAACAGTCCGTTGGTCGTGGAGATGAGGTCGGTGCCGTTCTTTCGTGTATCAAGCTCAAAATAACTGATGAAGGATGGTTGCCCGAGTGTAGTGCCGATAATGGAGGCTGTGTAGCCATAGCTCATTGATCCAAGACCTACGAACAGGAGGATCAAGACATTGAAGGTGTTGACGCGCCCTTTCCGCTTAGCAGGCATAGCCATGTTCGACTGATGAATTCGATGACACAATCACGTGACTTGTTGGATACAGTGAACAGGATGCAGCGAGCTTCGAATATGAGGAAAACAAAGGCTTAAGTGCGTATGCCAGATCTTGGATACAGAATTTTAGGATCGCAACCAATTGCACCATAAAGGTGGTTGGTGTAGGCCTTTCATGAGTTCGCAGCTAAAATGCGCTCGGTAGCGACTCGCTTGGCACGCATCGTGCGAAGACATATTGTGCGGAGAAAAGCTGGTAGCGTTATATGTCGGGTCCGAGTAAGACCGGACTAATTAGCCTATCGAATTGGAAAGTCGAAGAGATCTCGGGTAGCTCAAAATCTTCGTCTTTCAGCGCCAGCCACGCTGGGGACGACTCGCAGTGACGACGTCGTGAGCAGACAAAAAATAGAGGAGCATAGGTACGCAGTCTAGGCTTTTCGTACCTTTAATCTCTGTCGGATACCTGAAGTCGATCCATAACCACCCAGATGCTGAACCATCGCACGGAGGAATAGTCGGGTAGCCAGCTCGAAGCGATATTCGTTGTACTCTGATCGCATGGCAGTGTAGAATGGTTACGTTTGGCCTTCAGGTTTCAGTTTTTATGAGGCTCTGTCTGCTTCGGAACTAGCTCGTAGGGGACAATATTTAAGAAGTCTGCCGGGATACTGGGAGACGCTATCAGCTGTATGCTCTGCTGAGCAGCTGAAAAATAGCTCTACTGTCTTACACCATTCTCATCGAGAAATAAATCTTGGATCCGGTCAAATGGAAAGACTGTTGAGCTGCGAAGGATGTGGCTGTGTGGAGATAGCAAATGCGGAACGTTCCGATTCCGATAGGAAATTCCGAAGAACACGAAAGTCTCGGGGCCGTCACGTAAGCTAGAACCTGAGTAACACTTTGCGCGGTAACACGATCACTATTTGGAACTTTTTTAGTACATGAAAAGAAACGAACTCATTTCCTGGTCATCCAAAGGACTTCATTTTCGCAATCGCGGTGTCAGATCGACGCACCGCTACTTACCTGTCTTGCGATCGTGCAGCAAGATCTGCTAGTGACCCGAAAAGCCAATAGACGAGGCCGGTAGTGCCTCGTTCACTGTATTCTGAGCCTCCTGAATCTCATGCTTGACCATGAGAGAAAAGACATGATGCCCTCTTATGTACGGTTCGCATAACCAAGGACGACGGAACGACGGAACGACGGGATGGCCAAAGCATGTAGCCTTGGGTAGTGTTGACTAAGTAAAAGAACGATCTTTTTGTTGTCAAGAATATGATTTTGGAAATATGAAATTAGCAGCTCTACTCCATCAACAGTGCGATCATTTGGTACTCCTGATTGCGTTTGTGGGATGACTTCTTTTTTGGATTGCGTTTCATTGTACTATCTTAAGATGTAGATTGGAGTAGCGAGGAATTAAGCATCTGACACTCGGGTCTCACAATCGAAGATGATTTTGAAATTATTGTTCGAAGATCTTGCAGCGTGCTGAAGGGCAGTGGAAATGTCGACCGTTTACTAGAGTGCCCCCCTCCTTACAAAACGATACTTCTTAGTCTGCTCCTCCTGAATTGCATCACATCATGTGCACGTGCAGATCATTACGTGCCAATCGTCGTTGGCAAATGTATTTCTTGTCTTCCACCGAGGTATGTATCTGGTGAATCTATTAGAAGCCATCGCCTTTCATATCATAGCCTCTTTCCACCGCTCGTAAGACAGATCAAAGCCTTACAGTGCGACCTTCAAACTTGCTCGCCACCAATAGTGCTCATCGGCGTGGCAGCCCTGGGTTTTCTGTCTCTCAAGTTCCCGGAATGCAAAGAAAATATACTTCGAGCACGTATTAGCGAGCCGAAAATGTAAAATAAGAAAGGCAAGGGCACGCATGCTAATGACAAAACGGCAGTTATTGTAGAAGCCCAGTGTATGCCCAGACTCCTGTATATCCGAGTAGTGAACAAAGGAAATACAGCTCCAAAGATGGACCGCAAAACCGCGTTCGCGGCGAGTACTAAGGCAGCATAAACAGTGTAGGAACCAATGAGGTAGTTGGTGATTGGGAGAATCACGAGTACGACCCAAAATTCAAGCGGTACACAAGCTGCAATACTAGCGAGCCAGTGTATGCTGGCACTTTTAGTCCATGCGAACCAAAAACGACCGATAGGTATCGCAATCGCTCCAATAATACTAGGAGGCAGGCGTGCTTCAGGTTCGGCATGTCCTGAGGCACTTTGCTCCATAATGCTGTTATAACGTCGATTCTCGAAGATTGAGTAGATGACAGCACCCATAATTCCGACTGCCAGGCTGATGAACGCAAGTCCGCCGATGCTGTTCGACCACCCACGAGCTTCCCGGTAAACGATGGGGAAGGCTGGAAAGAGCATGTAAAGTATTCCATACAGGATTTGGGACAATTTCAGTTGCTGTCCATCGCCTCAAAGCGATAATGGCTTACTGCGACATAGATGGAAAGCAGAAGCACGATCGGCTCTCGAAACAGTGAAGCCCACGGCCTGGACAGGGCCTTTTGAAATGCTTCTTTAGCACTTGCTTTTCCGCGCCGAACATCCATATCGCTATTGTAGTGTTTCGTTGTCAATTTCGAAAGATGAGCAGCTCTTCGACGGAGGAGAACTGGGGCATAGGTCTCGGGAATCAAGATGACCCCTATCAATCAGACGGCACCGACGAATATCATCATCGCACCCTGAACCCAGCGCCAGCCTAGATTCTGATCAACAAAGCCAATAACTGTAAGGTTTTAGAATTAGCAGTGCTTGTTGGAACGCTCTCAAATAAACGTTAGGGTTGGATACGTACCGATTGGGCCAATAACTGGGCCGAGGAACGGAGCAGCCGCAAAGATGGTCAGTGCCAATCCTCGCTCTCCAGCTTCGAACATGTCTGCAATAGCTCCACCGGCATTAGTCTGATATGAAAAGCCAAAGGCGCCAGCGAGGAAGCGGAAGATGATGTGACTTTGTACGCTGGGCGCAACCACGGTAGCGACACTGAATATATTAACCACGGCGTAGGTAAACGAAAACACATATTTCCGGCCGTAAAGCTCTGGACGAACATCAGTACAGAAGTTGACAGCTGGAAAAGAGTTCCTACCGCTCAAGGGACCCCAAAGTAGAGGTCCAATGGCAAGCCCCAGAACAAACAAAGAAAGTCTCAGAACGACAACATGCTGTGATGCGTCAAATTCAGAGATGATGCTTCTGTTACCTCCACTATACGCAGAGGATGCAAAGGCGATAGAGAGCGCTGAGATCGAGCTGATGAAGGTGAAGCCCCATTTGCGAATGGATGTGAACTCCAACGGATTAGCAGGATCGCGTAACATCCAATCGACGATGAACGGGTCACTTTCGATCCAGAACCTTTGTATTCGACATTTATAAGGAAATCATAAGCCAGGTCCTTTTTTAACAGCTGGTCAACCCGTCGGAATAAGGCTCTTGTGTTGTAACCTGCCATTGGGCTTTTCAATGATAGCTTATCGAACGTCGGGTCAATCGTTTATAGAAAGTCATAACGCTGTACACTATTAGGGAGAGCATCTCCGTACGCTGAACATACCTCTGCGTGTATCGAATAAGTATGATGATGGGACGCGATTTAGGCTAGGCAATGTGCGAACTTTGCAGAGTGTATCTGTGAGAGCGATGCATATAATGAAGGTTAACAAGGGCTTTTGCCCATAGGAATCAGTCAAAACGTTTCTCAACTAATCCTTGCCGCAGAAAGCATTGTTTCGCAGAGTGCAGAGACGCTAGGGGCACTGACTGCAATGTCCCGCTAAGGTGTAAGGGATTAGGACGATCGAAGACGTTTTTCATCATGTTCGCCTTTTAGATGAGCTTAGGTCCGATTCCACCACTCTTCGAGGCATTCTTTAGTCCTCATATGACTCGGAGGCGGCACGTGCGAACTTAATTTCATTCCTGATACGCGTGCCAGTTTACTATGTCAATTCTCCACGCACTGCGTCTGTTGTTGCTGATTAAAATCGCTAACTTTCAATGGAGCCGCCCCCTTGAAACGTGGGGAATGGACCTTCGTGAATGTCGGTCCTTTCCTCTTTGGTATCCCATAGCCACTCCGCTAGTACCGCTAAAGACGGCCCTTTGCTTGCCCATGCATGATGATGCGTAATGATGCAGATGATTACACGATGCCCGAGTCGGTTTCTATATGAGCTGAATGCTTTCCTTTGAGCTATCCACATCCCAGCTCCATTCCCCGTCGTTCAAAATTTATTTTCAGACATTTCGAACAATGGCTTTCAATCACCCAATTCCTTCTATACCTCAATCTGACGCTACTGTAACGGTTCGAATCATTGATACTGGTTCAAGAGCTAGTATTTCTGCTTCTGAATTCTTCGAGCCTACCATACCTGGCCATGAAGTTCTCGCCAATTCACCTGCCTATCCTTTTCTCACCGAACACGGTTCAGGCCGCAACGTCATATTTGACCTTGGTATCCGCAGGGACTGGCGCAACATTTCTCCAGCGCTGCCCAAGATGTTCAAGCCAGCAGGCGTAGAGATTCATGGAGATAAGGACGTCGTCGATGTTCTAGAGGAGGGTGGCGTAAAGAAAGAGGATATTAATGCTGTGATATGGAGGTAAGTTTCCCCCATTCCCACAATAAGATCCTTATCTAATCATCTTAAATTGTCGTCATTGGCACTTTGATCACGTTGGTGATACCTCACACTTTGCTCCTGATACAGAGCTTATTGTTGGGCCCGGCTTTTCCAATGTCCCCATTCCTGGCTACCCGGCAAACCAAAACAGGCCGATTCTGGAAACAGATTACAAGTTAGTTTCCCTACAACAATGGAAACACATGACTGATTGCTCTGTACAGGGATCGCCCACTGCGTGGGATCGACTTCGGCACGGATGGGGTTTTGAAGCTAAGGCGCTTTAATGCCTTAGACTATTTCGAGGATGGCAGTCTCTACCTGCTCAATGCGCCACGGGTACGATATCCTGTCTCTCAACCACGACGTTTTCGGGTCGTCCTGCGTTCCGTTAGCAATGAGACCAACGTTCTGTCGACAGCACACTATAGGACACATCTGCTCACTGGCTCGCACCACACCAACGACCTTCATTTTTATGGGAGGCGACGTCTGTCACCAATGCGGCGAGTTTCGCCCAACCGAATACTTACCTATCCCGACAACCTTATCTCCATCCCCCACCACAAACTCTCCGTTTACTCCGAATAGCCTCTGTCCAGGCTCTGTACTCCGAGCCATTCACCCTCAGGAGTCAGCCACAAAGCCATTTTATAGGGTCAAGGAAGGCCAGCATCTTCTCCAGGAATTCGTGGAAACGCAGAAGACACTGGAAAAGATGACCGAGTTCGACGCTGATGAGAACGTGCTTGTGGTTATAGCTCATGACCGTACCTTGTTGGATGTCCTAGAGTTCTACCCAGCCAATGCAAACTCTTGGAAGGAAAAAGGATGGTGAGAAGCGGGTATGTGGAGGTTTTTTGCTGATTTCAGATTCGCCATACACCGTAGCTCACTCTGAACGAGCTGAAAACTGCGCAGGGATATTACTACTAATTCATCTCGTGAATCGCTCTTCCGCTTTTCTTCCGCCTTGCAAACTGATGACTGTGTTAAGTGATCCATTTCTATGTATGTCTCACAAAGTGTACGACGTGATAGGATGTGCAAGCCATACGGAGCATCTTGAGGATTCATCAGGGTACACTAGCATATAGAATATCGGTCTGATCGCCCCTCTATTTCTGTATCGTGAAACTCTGCTCGCCGACAGCCGATGATCCCCCGTCTAGTCATGGAACTACATGGTTCTTGACCTGGGTTCTGATATGAGCAATTCTGGGTCAGGGTAGTCTTGATCTAACAAGAGACGAGGTGTCAGGAACTGGACCTTTCCGGTGCTTTCTGGCCCGGAATGGGCCGGAATGGCCTTAAATACCTCTTCCCCCGCTATCCTGGCTCGATAGCGATTTGTCTCTAGTCTATAACTAACAACACTATTATTTACTATGAGCAAGTGTGCATCCAGTATTATCAACTCTATTGTTTGACACGAGGTAGCCGCAACGAATAGGTTATCGAAGTACTCGGCGTCCTAGCTAGTGTCAGGCCTGGCTGACGATATATACTATCCTGCACTATAATCAGTAGTTCACTGATTATACGTACCTTTTTGGTTGCATAGCGTAGTGGTGCAGGGCTGCGTTCTGACAGCTATGCCGTCCGCTGTCCGCCGACCAATTCCAGGGAGCAATCATGGTATGGTAATCTGTTGTAAAGGTTAGTAATTAATTTGAATAAGCAGCCTAGACGACCGTGAGGTCCACATGAACGTCTTTCTTAGGGGTACGTCGATAGGTAACGACTTGTCGTAATAAATTGCGACTTGTTCCAATAGTTCGCGACTAGTCTAAATAGATCGCGACTACTCTCAATAAACGGTAGCTAGTCCCAATGGGTAGCGACTAGTTCTAACTAAAAGTTGATAATCGACGACCGAAAACCGACAGCCGATGACCGACCTCCGACAACCGACAGCCGATAACCAACAACCGCCACCTCTGAGTGAAAACCAACAACCAGCAACCGACAACCAACAGCTCTGACCGAAAATCGATAAATAATAGCTCTGTGTGGAAATTGATAATCACTGTTTACTTGCACGTCATGTCAATTCAAGAACTCATTCTGCTATATCATCTCATCCTTGATCATGTGGAACGTACTCGGAAGCATACAGCTTCTTTCAGGTTTTGGTTTTACCAGTTCTACTTTCAATCAAAGTTATCACGACCACCCTGTAGTTACAGTTCAAAATGGCACCCTTATCGGAACCAGAGACACGCGTTATGATCAAGACCTCTTCTTGGGAATTCCTTACGCTCAACCTCCTGTCGGAAATTTAAGACTCAACCACTTAACGAGAAGTGGCATGAGCGATCAGCTGTAACGGGCTGAACGCCCTTTGGACAGCTCCTCGATGGAATCTCGGTCTACTCGCAAAATCCGGGTGCTACCTCGAGCACCCGGATTCTCTGCGCATCGTCCGAACGTCGCTCAGACGATGGCCGCAGGACCCAGAAGCTGCCTCGTGCACCTAGACCATACCGGCCCGATTGTTACTCAGGCAACTAGCTTGTATATAGATAACCACGTAGCTAGGAGCTTAGCTCCCTATCGAATACAACCTCTTGTATACCTCGCGATTGCTCTACGGAGCGCAGCCCCTTACATCAGCAAAGTCATACGGACCATGGTGTTATTCCATCCCTTGATCATTTCCCTGGTTCAATCAGAATGGTTATGCCCACGATGAGAGCGAAGATTGTCTCACTCTGAACGTGGTACGGCCTGTTGGAGTGGCAAGCATTACCGGGCTGCCTGTTCTCGCATGGATACATGGCGGTGGCTTCCAAGAGGGCGGAAGTGCGGATCAGAGATACAGCATGTCATTTATCGTGCAGGAGTCTGTCAAAATGGGCATGCCCCTCATTGCAGCGAGCTTCAACTGCAGGCTCGGGGGATCCGGTTTTCTCCCTGGCACTTCTGTCAACAAGTCCAGGGTCGCCAATCTTGGCCTTCACGACCAAATGATGACGCTGCGCTGGATTCAAGAGAACATTGCCGCATTTGGTGGAGATGCCTCGCGTGTGACAGTCCAAGGAGAGTCAGCCGGTGCTTTCTCAAATTGTGTGCATTATCTTACCAATGGAGAACAAGACGAAGAATTGTTTCATGCGGCGATTGCTGAAAGTGGTGGGCCAGTACTCGGTGCTCCTCTCACCACATCAGACGAGCAAGACGTCATGTACGAGACGATTCTGACAGGTGTTGGATGTTTGGCTATGGAAGATGGCCTGGAATGTCTACGATCTCAAGATGTCAGCAAGTTGAACCAAGCTTTTACTCGCGCGTCTGGTTCATACGTGCCCATCATGGACGCAGACCTAGTTACCGATTACACTTCTGTTGCTCTGCGCGAAGGAAGGTTTCCAAAACGTCCACTTCTCATTAGAACTTGTTACAATGAAGCAAGCTCCATTATCGTTGCGAGTCGCTTTGCTGCAAACACGTCTGCTGATTTTCGAGATTACGTTGGCGGGTCATGGAAAGGCATCTCAAGCACCACTATCGATGGCATCGTGGATGAATACGTCAACAAAATGTCAGAGGAAGAATTGAAAAAGAGTCTCGGCACGATACGCCAGTCACCGGGTCCTCAGTATGGATCTTTATTCGGGAACTTGGCTATGTACCAAGGTGATACGATATTCGATGCCACAAGACGGTACACTACGGAAGTCTGGGGACAATACAGGGTGCCCGTATACAGGTATCGTTTCAGCGTAGTTCCAAACGGTATCGATTCTGAGATCCTAGGCGTTCCCCATTTCCAAGAGATACCTTTTGTATTCCGGAATTTCGATGGCATAGGACACGAGGTTAACAGACTTGCCTCTGCTTCGGTCAAACCCCGTCAGAAGTACTTGCAAGTGAGCAATCTCATGAACCGCATGTGAATCAGCTTCGCGAACGAGCATTCGCCAAACGGCCACGATCGTAAGTCCTTACGCCCTCAAAGATACGTAAAATAGGAATAACATGACACAGTCGAAAACCTCAATGTGACCTGGCCCACCTACAAGCCCGACAAATGCGGTGAACATGCTATTTGGCATTGATGAAACGAAGCTGGAGCAAGACACATACAGAACTGATGCTATCCGTTATATCATTAAGTCTCTCGGTGATCTACGAGTATGATTGCGAAACATTGCACTGCGTTTTGGAACGCATAATCTATAGCTAAGGAAGCCTTAAATAACTGCATGAAACATCCTACACCTCGTGATTGCTGTCTAATGTTGAATGAACGTATCTGTGTGTATAGTTGAAATACGCACAAGAATTTGTATATCGGTCTCAAGAAGCTGGAGGGTATCGTCTTTGTGGTTGTATCTTGGGCGTTGGTATGTAACCTTGCATTGCCACACGACATGTAGTACATATCAAGAATAGATCTTGTATCGAAATAACGTATTCTAGATCGAAGTCTCGGATTGCTCTCATTGAAACGGTATTCCATCGGGAAAGATTGCATGCCAATCGAAAATATCCATAAAACCATCGTCGAGAGGCATATCTGCTGATAGAGGTGTTAACGGATCACGTTCTGCACCAAAGGAATCACCATCTCGCGTTGGTGGGTTTTGCTTTTGTTGTCGATGATCCACCTTCCTCTTGACTGAGTCCAAAGCAGTCCTCACTGCCCTGCCTATCCAAGCAGCAAAATTCCATGTCTCCTCCATCTTCTCCAGGCTCTCAATCAATTGATTGATAAGAGTGGGTAAGTCGATTGCTATATCAGACGCCGCAATAGAGCTTTTGCCAGCATAAAAGTTCAATAGCACAGCCGACGCATGAAAGAGAGCAGTGGTTCTATACACGGGTTAGATATAAGCAATCGGTGTGTTACCTAACCCTAAACTCTGTTACTTACGTCCAACCCGGACAGATAGGTAGAAACTGATGTGAGTCAAGATAACGTACGACTTCACACATGTCAACCACTGTAACAAGAAGGGCTTCTTCGTCATATATCCGCTTCTCATGTCGAATGCGACCAAACACGATTCCACGGTAGAAAATCAACCGGTTGAAGAGAAGGCGCAGCCGAAGCAAAAGACTGAAGATTGGATGAGGTGAACTATCGTCAGCCGGTATCTGGTGTTGAGCAAGGGGGAGAGGTTTGACGATCGTGTTGTAGTGCCTCAGTTTGTCTTCGACGACATTCAAAGCTGCGCTTTGGTTTGTTACAGGCCGAGCTGCGTAGACGGCTCTGAGAATTTCTCGAACTGCTTTGCTTTAGCGGATGCCTCTGCCAAGACCGTTGCTTGCGAATGACCACATACGAAACAACATGAGAGATAAAGAAGTCGTCATGAAATCAAGTTCAGCAGATTGGTAGTGAGCTGCGGATGGCGTTATTAGCGAAGTGACACAGCTTTCAAAATAGCGACGTTCAGCATGTAGCTGTAGTTCGATGTCCTCCTCTGCAAGAGTCATCGGACTGCCAACTCCTGTGGCGGTCATCGCGTCACATGCCTTGCCTCCAGTATCAGCAAAGATCTTATAGAACGGATTGCAACGCGCCAAGTGCGGGTTGTCATTGGCATGTACTCACCAAAAGCAGCAATGCAAGACGGCTTCGCCTCAACACGTCTTCTTCAGACATCCGTATCGTCTGTACCCTGTCAAAAGCAACGCCGTCAGAAACAGAACAGGGAAAAGAAAGGTGAGAGTTGGAACCAACCTTCTGAAGAGCCCCATCCCCACACCTACATTCATAGCCCTTCCTATCCAGTACCTTGGATTCCGCTCCACCGTCCACGTCTGCCACATCTGTGCCAGCAACAAAAAGCTCACCAACTGGGTCTCGTGGTCATGCTCCAGTCCAAAGTCAGCCAGGAGCCGCGCCTTTTGTACAAAATGGTCTGCCATCTCTCCCTTACTACTACCTGTCCCTACTCCAACGGCGATGACAAGACCCTCATCGGCGAAGTGCGACGCTAGCGCAAACATACTGTTCAAAAGCAGGGGAGAGCACGTGCGTGCTGAATAATCGCGAACCAGCGCAGCTTTGTCAACTACAGGAACGTGTGGGTGGACATGCTTGAAGAATACAGCCAACAGAGCGTGTGTGATGGATCCTCGTGGTAGCTTTAAGACGCCTTGATCTGATAGAAAGATACGCGTTGACGTATCAAGCTGGGATATCGCTTTGGAGTACCTTTCGGGAGCGTTCGTGCTGTTATTTAGCGCATGGTCTGGCCGGAGGGGGAGATGATGATTCGGCACTACATTGTAATCGCCAAAGTTTGAGTCCGACATGCTGTGGAGGACATGCGGAAATGCGGCTTTCTCATCGAGGTGCAGAATCATGGCGTGACGGCTCTGCATCCGGGGAGAACCGCTCGCCGATTGAGTCTCAACGTGACTGATGGCTCGATCGATATTCTCGCTAGTTGTCGAGTCGATTGTAGACGTCTCAAACTCCATATGCACATGCTCAGCTGCTGGTTCGTTGCTTCTGTTCCTACGACTTCATATCGGACTGTCGGTCATGTTATCACTCGATTAGTACCTCAAGTCTGAGTTATCCTACATGGTGTTCTGTCGACGCCGCGACGATCGTAGTACGCATCGGAGATTGGCATTTTTGCATTTTGTACAGGGGTATGCATCAAGAGCATCGCACTTGACTCTTCGTGAGTGACACATGGTACATGCTCTTGCTGCCCTCTGTGGACATGTTTTAGAACAACAGTACCAGAGTCATGATAGTTTGGGAAGATGTACCTGCCGCGGATGACGATCCTCGTCAACAAAGTGTGAGCTTGACATGGCGATCGATATCAGGTAGAGCAGGTGTAATGCAGTAAACTATGGCTGGAACCGGCTGGTGTTTGCTGAGGCCGTTTGTTCATCTGAATCCGCTCGATTCAGCCGTGTCTTTTGCGCAGCTGTGCCCGGTCATGCCGACGTGGCACCATTGGTGCGTTGCGGTCCGATTCGTAGATACGTTGTTCCGTTCCGCACCCCTTTATGTCGCCCATCCCCGACGTCACGTGAGGAACTTCAAAGCAGGGCGTCTTAACCTCGCGAAGAGTTTACAGCAGGATTTCTCAACAACAAAGCTTGTCTCGTGAGACAAAAGTTGCAAAGTCTATGTTTGTTGTGGGGTTATGAATACATCATTCTATATCAACACCATTGCAAGTAGCCGTAAGTAAGTGGATCCGTCAAGGTTTTCACTCATTGGCACCACAACCCGAACCAACAGAACGCCAATCAATGCATACAATTGCGTACACTTCCGGTGTAATAAGGGATCGAACCGTCAATCACTGTACCGGGAATATCCCTGGATAGCCAATCCTCATACTCGTCTATTGCACCTGCTTGATCTTGCATTGCCAGCCCGAGTTCGCCTCAAGCAGCGGAAGACTAAAATACAGGGGTTAGCAACCATGATTCATGTTCAAATAGGGTAATACTGGCAAAGAAGAAGAAAGAAACTCACCTAGCACCCAAACACCAGCCCAGCTCATTACCCTTGATCTTCTTCGCAATCTTGACCTCGCGATCAATCGGCATACCGTACCCACTCCTCAGCAGCTCGTACTGGAAGTTGAGATCCAAGCACCACTCTGGCCGGCCCTTCAACTCCTCAAGCGCCCTGGGGACAGCGCTGAAGGAATCCCAGCCCTTCTCGCCCGTGCACACCTTGTCGGCCAAGTCCTGCAGCTCACGGAGCGTAAACGACTCAGGCATACCGAGATCCTGTGTGCGGTCGTAGAAGTAGGAGAGGAGGTATACGGCTTCGGTAGCAAAAGTCTGCTCGAAAGGAGGTTGATGGACACCGCGGAAAGCGCAAGGGGCGATGGCGCACTCGTCGTCTTTGTGGAGTGTCTTCTCGACTAGACCACGACATTGGGTGGGAGAGGCGGTAGAGGGGCCAGTCATGTTGACTGTGATGGAGTCGCCTAGTGCGTGGCCCTTAGGCATCTGTACTTCGACTTCGCGGGCCATGCCGGGTGCGATGCAAGGGTTTACAATAGGCTTCTTGAGGTATTCTCTGTTGTCTTTGTTCGTCTCGTGGAGGCCGGCGAGAACAGTGCTGTGCAGGTTGTTGCGGGCTTCCATGAGGCCGTAGCCGAGGTACGAGTGTTGGTAGAGATCGAAGTCGCGGTTACCGAAGTGGAGCGTGTACTTGTGGTCTCCCTCTGCTAGCTTGGTAGGGAGGCCGCCGCGAGGAGTATCGGGGAAGGTAGGCTCGAAGATGATTTGTGTGGAGCCACCACCAAGATCGAGGACAGCAGCGGTAGGGTTCTTGTCGGGGCCGCCAATCTTGCCTAGGAGGTAGTTGACGGTGATCCATGCGTACACACCCTCCATCTCGCCAGGCATGACCTCTACACCATTCCTCTCCTCGGAGACGAGCGGGAAGGGGTAGTCGTTGTCGAGATGCTTGCGCACGGCAGCGAGGATGGCGTTGCTCTTCTCCTCGCCAAGCTTGCGGAGGCCAGCTGTAGCCTTTACAGCGATGGGTGTGCATGACTGGTATTCCTTGGGCACGTTCTTGAGCGCAACGTCCATGAGCACGTCCAGACTCTTGGCGGCAGCCTCTGGGTTATCGCCGTATGCCGAGAGGCCAGAGCCTCCCTCTCGCTTGGGTGTCATCTCGAAGTTCTCGCTCTCGAGTTCGGGGCTCGGGCCGCAGTTGTTGAACTTGTAGACGTGAATGCGCGAGCCCGTGCTGCCGGCGTCGACCATGAGAGCATATTGGATGAGCGGCTTGTCCTTGGAGTAGGACTTTGTGCATTGTGCCTGCGCATCGCCGGCTGCTGTGTTGCCGCCTGATGGATGCGATGCTGGTGGGTATGTTAGCACATGGCTTCCCAAGAACGTGTCCTCGACCTACCAGCCGGTCTGGATATGCCATCTCGCGGTGCGACGAAATACAGGACAAGCAGTATGAATGCGATGACGCCACCTGTCTTCAGGTAGCGCAACCGCTGCCCTTGGTTCATGACGGCGCTGCCCTTGTGGTCGTTCATGAATGCGTCCGAATACGTGGACCGATGTCGCGAGTGTCTGTCGGCTTTGGCGTTTGGGTCGCTGGCGTCGGCGCGGTTGGGGTCGAAGCTGCGTGGCAGGGAGACGGAGACGCGGCGGCGTGGGCCAGAGAAACTAAAGTAGGACCAGATGCCGGGACGTCGTTGGCTTCCGGGGACTTCAACGCCGCTGGACATGGAACTAGGCGACAGACGGGGAGAAAAGGGTCCACGGTTTAGGGCGTGGTCATTGAGCTGAGCTGCGTCGACAAGTTAGCCTGGGCTGTTGCGGCGGTTGTGGACACGGTGGACGGTTACGTACAACAGTGGTGACGGTTCGGAGCAGCAGGGACGTCTTTTCGATTGCGATTGGCGTTACCCAAGTCGGTTGCGTTCGTATTCGTGTGCTTTGTTGGGTGAGGTCCCTGAATCTTGGCACTAACATCTGAACTTCAGCCCTGCAGCGCCACCATCCAATGGGGCCGGCCTCGTCTGCGTCGGCTATATTTGGCGTCGCATCGCATTTGGAATGACGTGGCTGTTGATGCACTATGTTACAGATATTCTAGAAATCTCACTTGCATGATTTCACTTTCTACACTATATGTTCTCGTGTACCCGGTTAACAGCCGCCTTTTGCGTGTGGTGCGCATCGTGCGCTAGCTCTGCCGCTCGTTCCCTGGCTCGGCGCCGTTTGATCAGGGCGCACGAGCGGAGCACTGGGAAGTCGTGCAGCTGAGGAGCTGAGAGACTTTCGCGTTACGTCTTGTAACGTCACCATCGACGCGTGCGATGGTGGTGGTGTACAAGTGCTTCGCACAGATCGTGCGGTGCGTTGTTCCATGAGTCGGTCATTCTGACTCTGGCGCTTTCACCCGAAAGACAGCCCAGCTCTCTTCATAACACTCTCAAAATCTTCGAGGCTGACACCTCCGACATCTTTGCCCTGACCTTTGACCCCGCCGTTTGCCTCAAGGATCATATCCTTCAAGACGTCGTCTGGCACATCTTCTCGCAGCTCCTTTGCAACCCTCCTCAAATGCCCAAGTGTTATCGGTCCCGGGGCGCCATGCGTGAAGAGCTGATAAGCCGCGCTGACTTCTTCTGCATTGCTCTCCCCTTGGTAGTCGTCGCCGTCTTCGTCTTCGTCGGACCCTTGCTCCTTGGAGTGTATTGCGATGGCAGCGTATGAAAGGAAAGGCACAAACTCGACGTAGCCTGTATTGAGGGGATCGATGGTAGACAAGATGGACGACATCTCGGACTTGTCGGGTGTGAGGTTCAGCGAACTATGCCATCCTTAGTATATGCACATTGACGGTGAGTTCGCGCGGCTTACATGAGACATCTGCGCACGTCGCTCTTCTTCAACACACCCTCCTTAGAGCCTTCGTGTTCGGGATGCGACACAGCGAAGAGACCAAATGCTTCGCGTATCTCGGCCTCTTGCTCTGCCGTTATACCATTCTCTTTCGCGAGCTTTGAAGGGCGCTTGACAGGCGGCGCCTTCGTGGGAGGCCCACGACGTTTCGACGACTGTTGCTTGTTAGTTCTTTTCCCAGGGTGTATTGGTCTCGGAGAACTGACCATATCGCGTACCTGGTGAGGTTGAAGCGTTTCCTCGTGCTGGCGCGTGCTGTGTCGTTCGTCACTCTACTAGCTTCGATGACGCGAATGCATGGACCAATGCCAAGCGAAACACAGACCCATTTCCGAACAGTCCAATTCTTCACTTTTTCTCACCTCACTGCTCTCCAGCATGGAGCTATAAAGCCACCGCGACTACCCCGCTGTGCCTTTTCCTCTACACCTCTCTTGTTCAGCTCCTTTGTAGCTGTAGAGGCTTTCTCGACCTACTCATTTCATGACTCCGTTGCGTCGACGCGTCGAACGCGAATTGTCGTCGCAACCTTCAAACATGCTTTATCTATCATTTTGAACATTTTGATCCTTCATCCATCGATGCCAACCATACCATACCACATCATACCACACCACATCTCACCATGTCTTGTCTTATACCTGAGACAATGGAGTTCAAGCTGAGCCACGGAGGTCCATAAGACGCGTCTGTCTGACCGCCACGCGAGTTCCCACCACCAAGGAACGTGCCAAGCACCCCCATTGACCGGTCGAAGTCGCTTCTGAGCGTATCGCGATGCGCCGGTGCCTCCCACGCAAGGAATCTACTTCCATCAAATCCACATGTGTTGTCAGACAGTGGTCCGACACGGTTGAACTTCGCAAGCAGGGATTTATCCCCGACACTGAGAGAGGGCTTCGTAGAGGTCGAACCTCCTGTCAAAACAAGATGAACCGGCAGTCTTAGAACCCCGATCTCGGAGGAAGAAGCCATCAGACATGGAACCGTCTTCGGACAGTTTCCGATAGGCTGCATGGCCCTCGGCACGTTTTGCTACGAATCACTCCATAGTGGGTATACTCACCATCGGAAAATGACTAATCCTCGGTTAAACAATCGTTGATCTCTTTGCCATTCGGTCGTGTGTACTGCGGTACAGCGATCCAGCGTCCGACTCCAACCTTACGTTGTTGAGATCGCGCGTGGCCATTTCACTGCTGTTACTTGCTCTAACAGTGGGTTCCGCTGCGGTGGGATAGCAGATCGGAGTTGGACTCCGACTGATGGGTGTCATCCTGATATCAGGCTTTGACCCTGACTGTCGACACCACTGTCAAGATCTGCACGCATGGCGACCGTGGATGGGCAAAGCATCCGTCACCATTCAATGCGTGGTTACAACGTCTTCGCGATGTGTTGAGGGGTTTGACCAAAGGCTTCCTGTCGACCTGTCGGCATCTTGCCATATTGAGCTGCGAGATGTACACATCTCCGCTGCAAAGGGGACACGAGGGACTTTCGCAGTCTAATCTCTTATCCTGCGCCGCTTCTTTCGAAGGGTTGTGTGGATTCGAGTGCGACTGGCATGGTTTGGCTTCGGCCTTCTTCCATTCCGCTTCTTCAAATTGCTAGAGCCCGCCAACACGATTTCCTACGTTGAGCGAGTGTGGACACTGAAGCAAGATTGAACAACCTCATCCTACCCCCTTCAAGGTGTTTGAGGCCTCTGTTTCTCGAATCGTTGGGTCGATCACTCGGCTCAGGGTTGAGGAATAGAGGAGACATATCGTCGTTCGCGTGACCTTTCTCGTGATATATCCTATGATCGCAACCTTCCAATATGAGGTTGCGCAGCTACTGTGCAGCTATGAATGGCTGTCACGATGTTCCGTAACCACAGTTTCCAGCCACAGATTGGTGCGCCACCAGAAATCCTTCGAGACAACATCGGCCCACACCAGCCGCGATCACGTGACGTATATATATGTCATCCCTCAGAGGCTTGATAGCCCCTGAAGGATTCGTCTTAATACAAGCCTATATCGATATCTCAGTGCCTGTCCAACTACTCCTCACGATGGCCGATGCAATATGTGGTCTTTGCCGCTCATTTGCGTTGAATGATTCTCGTGCGGAGATGCTGTGCTTCTGACTCATCTTCATTGGTCGCGACCATGTTAGGCGTTCTGTCTGCCTCGCCCTGCGCAAGGCTAACGAAAGTGTTCCTCCCTGCTAGTTATGCAGGGCGAAGTATCTCCACTTTGTCCCGTCTCGTAGCGCGCTCAATGCCGCCCGGTAGCCGCGGACTATCCTCTCTCCTCTTCCACAAACGCAGACAACAACAGCCAAAACAAAATGAGAATGATGCATCAGAAAGAGACATGATTCATCCTATGGCGTCTGAACCCTCAGGGATCGGCACGTATCGTTGTACTACGTTGCGCAATGACATGATACTCTTCTTTCTCTTCTAGGCGGCGACTGCTCCACTACTATGCCGAGTATGACATGGGATTGGGTTACACTGCCAGTCAGCAACTATGGCTGCAGCATGCCTGTACTCACATCACTACTTACCGGGAACGAGAGATATTTCCGTGGCGGCTCCGCAGGCACTAATCTACATGAGGCATGTATGCTACCATCGTGCGAGAAAACTCAGGTTCGGCTTGCTACATCAGCATGAGCCCAATCTTGTTCGAAGTGTTCTTTCCCAACTCTCTCCTTAACCTAGAGCTTTCACTTCCTCGCTCATCGTCTCGCACTTTGGGTTCTATGTGAACTCATATTGCCATGGCGTTCTTAACAACTACGTCTCTAGTTCTGGCGTTTGGTACACTTGTATTATACGCACTCAGTCGCTTCTTCTCGAGCAAGAATCTTCACGACCTTCCGCTCCCTCCTGGACCTAAAGGTCTCCCCTTACTTGGCAACATCAGTGACTTACCGAAGCCTGGAATTCTCGAGTGCCATCATTGGCTGGAGCACAAGGACCGCTATGGCCCTATAAGCTCGATCACGGTACTTGGCCAGACGTTCATCATCGTCAATGATGCAGATGTAGCGGTAGAGCTACTGAGCAATCGTGCGGCTACATTCTCGGGCCGACCGCACATGGTGTTTAGTGGAGACATGTACGCTTCCCATATGCCTGCGTGTAATAACGCGATGTCTAACGCAGATGCAGGATCGGCTGGACAAGAACGTTGGCGATGCACCAACCCAATCAGACCTTCAAGCACCATCGTCGCAACATCGCTAGTGTAGCTAGTTCCAGCACCTCACTCAAGGTCTTTGATCGCATCCAGAATGAAGAAGCTGCACACTTTTTGTTGAACGTACTGGATTCTCCGAATGAACTTTTTGAACACATCAAAAAGGAAGCAGGTGCTGTGATCTTGAGAATCACGTATGGATACACGCCAAACGCCAAGGGAAGAGATCCGCTAGTGGATATGGCGGGCCAAACCATGGCCGAGTTTGCAGATTCGAGTGTACCAGGGAAATGGTCGGTGGATGTCTTGCCGTTTTGTAAGTTTCCCACTCGATTCGCACGAATACGGAAAGGATACTGATACGGAAAAGTGCGATTCCTCCCAGACTGGTGTCCAGGTACCAGCTTCAAGCGCACAGCTCGCCAGATGGCGGAACAATTGACCCGCACAGCCGAAGAGCCATACGCGTTTGTCAAGTCTCAGATGCAAGACAAGGAAGCAAAGACGTCATTTCTCTCTCAAGCCATCGAATCACTCGGATCGGACGCTTCCATGGAGTACATCCATAAATGGTCTGCCGCATCCATGTACCTCGGCGGTGCCGATACAACCGTCTCATCGCTAATGACATTCTTCCTCGCCATGGCTGTATTTCCACAAGTCCAGAAAAAGGCTCAACAGGAGTTGGATCGCGTACTCGGCGGAGAGAGACTTCCAATCACCAGTGACAAAGCAAGCTTACCGTATATCGAGGCCGTGATGAAGGAAACGCATCGATGGCATCCGGTCGCCCCGATGGCAATACCACACTGCTGTACCCAGGAAGACAGCATCAAAGGCTACAGGATACCAAAGGGTGCAATGATCTTGCCTAACAACTGGTACTCACCGTACTCATCCAGAGACTGCATATGATCAACGCTAACGGTATGCAGGTGGTTTACGCACGACCCAGCCATCTATCCAGACCCGATGACCTTCCGCCCAGAACGCTACCTCAACGACTCCACGCAGCCCGACCCACGCACATGGACTTTTGGCTACGGGCGCCGTGTCTGTCCCGGTCGGTATGTCGCTGACAATGCCCTCTTTACGACTATTGCTCAGTCGCTTGCTGTCTTCAACGTTGAAAAGCCAGTCGAGAATGGGAAGATTGTCGAGCCCAAAGTGGAATTCGAAGCGGGTGTTGTTAGTCATCCGAAGCCGTATCGTGTGAGTATAACACCGAGGAGTGAGAAGTGCAGGGAGTTGATTAGGAGGGCTGAGGAGGTGTATCCGTGGGGAGAGAGTGACGCTGAGGCGTTGAAAAGGATGAGATAGCTGCTTTTGGTAGCGTACTAGGTGGGATCTTTCGGGATGGAGTGTGTTGAGCTTGCAACGACAGGATTGGGATACGCGTTCGATGTGACGACGCGGTGTAAACCCATGACAATGTTGACACTAATGGGATTGGAACATTTAATTACACTTACTCATGCGCATGCATATTGATCATACCTGCTAACATGCACAAGGGAAACGACTGATGCAACTTACCTGCATTGAAAGTAAATCCACCTATCGAGGCGTCGCTCCGTGCCAAACGCCGTGCAAACCAGCGCAAGCCAAGGATAATGCGAATCGGTTGTTAAAGACGGGATTCCAAGAATTTGTTCATGTCCGGAAAGTGGAGGGCATTTCGGACCTTGATTCATGGAGTCGTCCCGAGGTCCCATTGACAAACAAACCAATCAGCGGGCAAGAAGCCGCGCATCCATGCATGCGGCTCAGCGCCGGCGGAAAACCGACCATGCGACTACCCCGGCTTTTACCCATGTACCCCGACTGTTTTTCCCCCGCAAAACGAAGGATCGTCCATTGAGAATACCAGATTCATGACCGGGTCCATGGATTTCAATTGCCGCATGACGTGCTGGCCGAAGTTCCGTTGCCGGCGGCACCCATAAACGTCTGCGCAGATGGTCTCGATGATGACGCTATCGGACGACAAAGATGGTACCTTCAATCAATCGCTCGCTCTTCTTCGGGGCTCTCGCAGCCTCATTGAAGGCAGAGGCTGCTCACATCTCCTCTTCCTCCAAGCCGATCGCCATATCCAAAGCAGCTCCCAACACGGCTGGCATTCCTCTGGACTCTTTTGTCTCATTCTCTTTCGAGTTCTCATCATGGCCCGATTTCGCTGGTATGCTTACTGCCATGTCAGGAATCATTGTGGAAACCTTACTGACTTGCAATGCCTACAGGCAATTTGTCGCATCCGAACGCGTTCACATACAATCTCATGAGCAACCTTGGCAAACTTCAAGGTTCATTGCCAATCGCTCGAGTGGGCGGCAATACACAGTACTACTCCACGTTGATCATGCCTGGGGACATACATAGCTGACTCAGGGTTAAGGGATATCGCCATCTTCGATGAATCGCAGAAGACTGGCCTCGTCGGCGTCATCCGGCCAAACGTCTCAGCCGACTACCCGACCATCATCACCATTGGCCCGTCCTATTTCGAGTCTTACAAGACAATGCCCAAGGGCACCAAATTTGTCCACGGCTTCAATATGGGTGCCAACTCTAGCGCTGCAAGAGCCGCGACTTGGGCATCTGTATCGTATGCCTGCAAAGCGATAGGAAGCGACCTTTTGTTTTGGGAATACGGCAACGAGCCTGATCTCTTCCATGCTTCCGGCTATCGACCTGACAACTGGACCGAAGCCGACTACGTATCTGAATGGCTAAACGGCACCACTGCCATCGAAGAGGCGACCAAGGCAGCCTGCCCAGATCTTGGGGGAACCAAGTTTATGGCACCGAGTTTCGCAGGCGTCGCGCGCAATGACTACTTCACTTTAGATCCAGTGGAAGTGTTCAGACAAGGTCTGGATGAGAAGCACAACATTGGCTTAATTTCATCCCACAACTACATGGGTGTTTCCACGAACCCTGGCATTACCTTGCAAGGCACATTGATGAACCACAGTAGCGTGGTAGATAAGGCGAACGCTCAGCTCAATGTTTCAAGAGGTATCAAGGAGCTAGGACAAGCGCTCGACCCAAACGTCCCATTCATCATGGGCGAGCACAACTCGCTCGCCCGACAAGGACGACCGGGCCTGAGCAACAGCTTCGGTGCTGCCCTGTGGGGTGTGGACTGGAACGTCTATCTTGCATCGCAAAACCTTTCCCGCTCTCACATGCACCAAGGCACCAACTACCGGTACCAATCCTGGCAACCGATCGAAACCAACATCACAACCCGCGGCACCAAACCGCCTTACTACGGTAACCTCGCCGTCGCAGCCTTCATGCACAAGCCCTCGCCCTCGTCTCGCCTGCAAATCTCAAGCCTCGCCTCCTCGTCCATATACTCGACCCAATACGCTGCTCACGTCGACGACACGCTTGCCCGCCTGCTTCTCGTCGATTTACACACGTACAACACCACCGCAGACAACAACTATACCGACGCTTTCCCGCGGCCCTCCGAAACGTACTCGTTCCAGCTACCGCGGGAGTGCAAAGGCGAAGCGCACGTGCAGAGGCTGTTGGCGAATGGAAGTGATGCCATTTCGGGTATCACGTGGGATGGATACAGCTATAATTATGAGCTTGATGAGGGGAAGCCTGTTCGCCTGGGTAATGTGACATGTGGGGAGAGTGTCAAGGTTGATGGGAAGGGTATGGTGAGCGTAAAGGTGCCTTGGAGTAGTGCGGCGATTGTTAGTGTGGACTGCTGAGAACTTCTTGGTTATGAGGCTCGATAGGGAGATGAAGACTACCAGCGCATGTGTGCTGGTTGTTCTGTCTTCTAATAATGTAGCTTTCCATGATAGGTTGAACAATCTTGAGGACTACATCTACGAGTTGTGTTAGCTTTCGCGGTTGAAGTGTGCAAGGATTTTATGATCACACTTTGGGCCAGTTTGCGTAAGAAACGCCTCCATTTTAACTCTTATCCGTACCGAGTACCGTTCTTGGCGTCACCGGTGGATATCGCCATTGGACATCCTCTATCCATCGCATGTATCCGGATAAACCTCTCGTATAGCAAGGTGAAAGATGTGACGACCCGGGTGTGTTGACATGGAACCTTAACATTGACAAACAAGCATGGTGCAAACCTGACTCCGAACTGGAAACTCTCGTGAGATAACTGCTTGGCTCGGGAGTCAAAGTTGGAGTTGACATTGAGGTGGCCAAGATCCAAATGCAACGGTCGCCTGTCTGTGGTTGGTGTGACCATGTCGGCGCATGCTGGCGTCTTGTTCTTAGGTCGGTGAACGGCGGCGAAGCCTGTTTATTGTCACTCATCCATTCTTTTGTTTCCCTGCCCTACGATCTAGCTCGAACCTCAGCCGGAAAAATGCAGCCTGATCGATTTGCCCGAAAAGAAAAACGACCATGATGTGCGGATACATATAGAGCCACCCGAAGCGCATAGCATTGCAAAGTGACATCCCACCATCTGCCCCAGTATCTGGAGCAGCATATCCATCTTCAATTGGTCCGACTGATATGTACACCACCGTCGCCTGACCTTTTCTCAATCCTCACAGGGAAACTCGAGGTTCACATTTTTCTGGCAACTCCAAACATACCCTAGCCACTCCCCATTCTCGTCCGTAGTTTTAGTCCACCACCACAGACATGGCTGTGAGCAGCGGCAAAGTAGTGATCTGGCGTCCGGGTTATCACAAAGAGATTGTATACGGCATTGAAACTACTTACTCATAGGACATGGCCAGGATCCTGGCGACATCGGCTGTCATGTCGCGCCTTTCTCGAGGTTTGCCTAAGGGCCAATGGCGGCGCAAAACAGGATTCCATGGGGGCAACTGGTCGCGCAAAAGAGGTTCCCATTTCTCGTGATTTGACTTGCCCACATGTCCGGAAATCGTGACCTTTTGGATGCCTCGAAGTAACTCATAACCCAGCGTCAGAATGACGTCGACAAACTTCTTCTGAAAAAAGCCCCGAGGGTGATCATGAGACCATGGATCCCACTCCGTGATCTCGTAATAAGTCGGATAGTGATGAGACCTCATTATCTGAAATTGAAGGTTCAGATGCTGCAAAGTGTGTATATGACTTAGCAACTTCAAACCGCTTAGGCGCCTGCTCCGCTTGTTTTTCCGGATCGAATTATCCGTCGCTCTGTACCCGACGAATTTGAGATACTCGTAATTGATAAAACTCAAGGATATGCGGCTCAACACCAAAGGATCTCGAGCTTCGAATACATGCCCCAGCACTTGTTGGTCTGTACAGTACTTTCGCAAACACCATACAGCCTCATCAAATACATCCAGCTTGTTGAATCGCTTTATGGATTTGCCCCACACAATGGGCGCGAATTCTTTGCGAATCTGACGATTGACACGCAGTAAACTCCTTGTAGATGCTTCTTCTGCCTCAGTCGGACCCAGGCCGACATGTGCATTTTCTGGCAAGCCATGATGGATCAACTGCGAGTCGCAACATTGCTTTTGGACTTTTGCGAGAGTCATTGGGTAGATGCCGGTAGATATGCCGTCGAACCAGGTCTTACGGCGCAACTCATTCTCCAGGTGAGTCCGAGCTTTGAACTTGTTGCGGTACTGCCCAGGATACCTTTCATGCCATTCAACTCGATCCAGACTACGCCGAGCGTGGTTGTAATATTCAGGCCAGATTTGCTTGCCGACCACATACTCGTACACCATCAATCGTAGATCCAGAGGGAGGTCGAGGAATCGAAAAGGCTCTGTCGGAACGTATGGTCTAGGCTGCTGTTCACCATATCGCGCTCTCAGCCATTCCCTAGCAGATGACCAAAAAAAGTCTTCGACTTTGCATTCGAGATCGCTCGATTCCGGACGTCGGAAACTGACGTTCCGATGCCCATAACGAGCACATTCGATACCGCTTTCTTCCGGATCTAGGGAGCTGGAGCTATGATGACACAAGCGTAGCTCCAATTCAGATCTGTTATCAAGAGGTCCTCGACGGATCTCTAACGTGAGTACAGTCTTGCGTGCTGGAATGTACAGTTTGTACTTCTTGCTGATGTCGACTATGCCAAACGACGCTGACGTCCGGCATTGCATGATCACGTGCCCTTCTAATGCCGTAGCAAAAGTAGTGCTTCGCCTGCATTCCTCCTGAATCAAGGAGTGCAGAGAGGCAAGCATCGTAACCTATGGAGACCGGCGGGAGTTGGTTAAAGTTCAGCGAACGAAGGCTACATACAAACCCGTAAAGCTTCTGGTCCACGAATGAATTCAACGACGGCGTCTTGGTCAAAACGGTATTTCAACAGATGAGCGTCAATGGTTGCATTGTCCAAGATATAGTTGGGGCATTTTCAAAAGATCAGAATAACGAGATTGATGTGAAAAACAGGATTGAGAGGCATGGTGTTACAGGGTTAGAGTAACGAAGGAGCAGACTGAGGCAAAAGCTTTGGGTGGACTTGGAAAGATGGAAGGTAAATCCGGAAATGTTTCCAACACCGCTGCTCATAGCATTTAATAAATACCCTAACCCTAACCCTAACCCAAAGGAGATCGTAGTGACACATCATGAGATGGGGGAGACGGAGGACAAGGAGGACGTGGCGGACGCGGAGGACATAGAGGACATAGAGGACAGGGAAGAAACGGAAGAGATGGAGGGCATGGAGGACATGGATGTGACGGAGTGATTTCGTTTCGAAAAGGTGCCATTTTCGTGTATATCAGAGTCGAATTCTATACGTATCACCACCTACCGTACGTCCTCACCAAACGTGTTATGCCTCAAGCAAGCCCATCACCTCCTTCACCATTAATCTATCCTCGGCAGCCTTCGCTTCAACCTTCCCTATCGTGCCCGCGGCATCCATCACCTTCCATGTGTCCCTCAGCTCACCTTGCAGATCGGCACCATATACCAACCAGCCAACACAGATGATGCCCATCTTCTGATTCTCGCTCCACTGCTCCTCACTACTGATGTTTTCCAGCAGCGAAGCCAGTAGCTCGCCCTGCTCCGCTTCCGGTAGCTCAGACCCCGAAGACAGTGCATGCGACACATTTGCGCTGTGCTTCTTCATCCTTATCTGATGATTGGAAGATGTTATGTTCATCGCCAGGCTGAGGGCCGAGGCTTTGAGCGCGGGGTGTTTTTCGTCGAGTAGGGCGGTCGTTAGGATTGAGATGAGCGTGGACGAAAGCGGTGGAGCGAGGAGATGTGGTACGAAGAGCGGCGAGGTGAAAAGATTACATGCGAGATGTAGCGTCGTAAGTCGGAGCGGGTAGGGCGCAGATCCGCCAAGCTTGTCTACGTGGTCGAGAAGATGGTGGATGGTTGCTGGTGTGCCTGTGGTTCCTTTGTGTTCTTCTGCAAAGAAGCCAGCTACACGAACGTCGATCAGCGATACTCTAAGCAGGTCGAGTGCAGTGAAGAGAAGCTCTGGTGGAAGGACTGAAGTGCTTCTCCTCAGGAATTGGGCAAGCTGCGGAAGATCGCCTAATGGCGCTTCCATGGCTCCAGATTGCTCGCGCATCTGGAGGAAGGACACAATGGATGATACCGCCGGATCTTTCCCAGCATCTCCCATCTTCGCGACCAGCTTCTCCATTGGCGGCACCTTTGCGAACTTGACTGGTCTTTGACTTTGCCGCAACAGCATTGGTGTGCTCTTCTCGAGATGAGGATGGGTTGGGAATGCAGCGTTTACGAGCATCTCCACATTGTTCCGCAGCTGCCTTGGATCAGCTCCACTCCACTCATCTCGCTTCTCGCCTCTGAGGTATGTTATGAAAGTTGGTGTCGCGCGAACGTTCGGATAACGGGTGCTAATCGAGCGCTCGGCGTGGCTGAAGTCTATCTTGATGAAGACACACTTTGTACCGTTTTCGGCGGCGAGATCGTCGTACGGCTGATATACCAGTTTACATGGCGCGCATGTAGAGCTCGTAAAGAAGATGATGGCACATCGATCCCTGGCTAGGTCGAGAAGGCGATCTACGTCTTTCAAGGCTGTTATGTTGTTGACCCTACCCGTGTTCATCTCCAATGCGCTTCCTCCAGAAGAGGCTCCGTTGGATGTGTTTCCATTCGAAGTCTTCGAGTTGGCTTGTGGTTGTACTGGCTGCGGTGTTGGTGCTTGCGTGATGGGTCGCATGGCGGCGTCGATTTGCGGCCGTAGCATCTGCCCGAACGGCGTATTGAGGACGGTCTGTGGGAGCGATGTAATGTGGTCTGGTATCCCCTTGCCTACGAGAAACATGGCGAAGTCGTTGGAGAAGTTGTTGCAGTTGTGCGCAAATAGATCGTAGGCCTGCATCTGCCGTCAGCGTAGTCTAAGAATAAGTGTTAATTGGAATAGTACCTCAGGGGTATAAACCTCCTTCAAAGACTCGAGATACTCCAATACAACTTCCATGGGAAGTGCAGTTTGCCCAAGCTTGATGACTTCCATAGGCCGGCCATGATGTGTAGCTCCCGCCTGACATGTCTGTACGCCTTGGCCGTAGTAGTACTCTATGCCATCAATCACGATGGAGGTATGATATACAGCATCGATCTGTATGCCTAGAAACTGCATCGACATGCTCCGTGCAAGACCCTGTATGCAGTTAGTCCTGGGCGATTCTAGAAAGCATCGCGAATGCGCGTGCCTGTACACCTGCTCAAAGCACTTACTTGAGAAAGGTCATACACGTATAATTGGACATCCATGTTGGAGACTGTTTGCGAACGTTTACGAAGCGGTATCGCGCTTTGTTGGTACGTGAAGGCGTGGTTCGAAGTCGTAGGCAGCTAACAAGGTGACGTAGAACATTCGAGATGTCGCGAAGGCTGACGAACGTCAAAGCGCCGGCGCGACCCGCGACCCGCGACATCGCGTTGGCACATGAACTGCTGGGCGCAGTCCAGGTCAGTCACTGTCGTCATTCCATCGGTTGCTAGAATGCCGACATTGACTCGAGAATGTGTCTGTAGGTCTTGCGTGTGTTGGGGGGATGCGCCCAGGCCTTGGTGATCTGGACGGCCGACGTTATGCCGCCGCCATCTAGCGCCGCCGTGGCCATGCAATGATACGACCCCGGCCATCTCCATCTCCCTGCACTCGATTACGTCTTATCTGAATCTGATTACATGCTGCCATCGAAGTTGGTGCCACGGAGGTAGCGGTGCCTCAGTCAGGAACTCGCGCGGCTCGTGTAATGCCCATCCTGCTTCCCAGTCATTCGGCGTCCATCCTTCATGCTCTCGCAACAGTTGCTCAACATCGTAAGGTGCGCAAACAGGAAAATTGGTCCTGATGAGAGAACTGTGCAGTGAGATAGCGCCAACTGCTTCTGGAAAATCTTCATGGATGAATCCCGCAGTATGAAGCCGCTGCTCGAACCAAGAAGGTCGTGGTAAGATTCTACGAGCATAGCAAATGTCAAGAGCGGTTTGCCAAGCAGCATCGCGTTGGATGATCTTGAAGACTTGTGACGTTTTTTCGGGCAAGGGGTCACCATCGAGGACGAGGGTGAAGGAACCATGTGGCATACCGAGCGAAGGGAGAGCCCTAGCCTCAATTATCCATGTACCTACGCCCTTGCTGATGGAGTTAGCGTCGCAGCCGTCGAATGTCTGATACCCTTTGTCAAGGAAGTCTTGGCACCCACTGCGATGAATCTCTAGATCAGCATCGGACATGGGAAGTGCATTTCCCCAAAGGCTTACAAAGCGCTCGACCTTTAGTTGCGGGTGATTTCGACAGATGTCGATGAACCCTGTACCGTGGCTCTGAGGAAATGCGATAGATTCGCGGTCTTCGATCAGCAGGACCTTCCGGATATTATCGCGCGCAGCTTTAGGCATAGATTGCAGCAGTCGGAGAGCCGCGGAAGCTGCTGAGTAGGTGTACTTTATGTTGCGACCATAGAGGCCAGGGCCCTTCGTGAGCTCACGTAGTTCCGCGAGTTCCTCCATATGTGTTATCTGCCAGGGCATTGGCCTTGCTTCGCACAACGAGAGAGTCCGATTGTCGTCATACAAATCCTGCTCTGGAGTTCGCGCTGGGAGTGTTCCGAATGAATCTATAGGCATATAATCGAGTCCGTGTCCCCTGGCTTTAGAAAGGAATTCGGGGTGCTGAGAGACCAAGTTCAATGTGGAGGCCACGAAATCATGCCATATGGACGGAGTTAGACTGCATTCACAATCCGCAAACAGCCGGACGACTTCCCAGCCCTTCCCGTGCGCTCGCCAATAATCTATTACAGGCGCGAAGTGTGGATGTAGCGACTTCATCGCCTGCGCCTGCTCCCAACTGAGAAGGTCCGGTGCTAGTGAGTTCAACAGTATTTCTTTCCTATCGCGTATATTCAGATTGAAGAGATGAAGGAGACTAGCATGCTCCTGTGTATCGTCTGAGTGGAATGTCGTAAACCGGAGTGTGTTGACTCGCAGAGCAAGACCGTGTGCTTCGGCGGCGACATGGCGGCAAGTAAGCACCAAAGCGAGCTCGATGGGGTGACCGTCAGCGCGCCGAAGCTTGTTGGCGGCGAAATCATATACGAAGCCTCCTGCACCGCGGAAGTAGTGCTCGTAAACAAGATCGCGTATTTCGCGAGGCAATTGGAGAAGACGCGACATGGTGGGGTTGGTCGATTCAACGGCCTGCCGACAATTCGCTTTGGTGGCTGTTCCGGCGGTTAGCTGTGCAGCGCCGCTTCAACGGCAATCATGCTTACTATCGTTGAGACGCGGAAAATGGTTGCCAAGATGCTGTCGTCGTGGATGTAATACAGGATGGAACTTTCAAGCAAGGCATTTATCTAGCAAGCCGGGGGAGAACCGGAAAGACCCACGACTTTCTTGTACAAACGGAGGTGCAGCAATGAAAAAGCTCGGACACAGTTTGGTTGGTCGTACCAAGGTTGTTAGCGAGCTTTGCCGTTGAGGCCAAAACGATCTGTAACGCAAAGGCGATCGCTTCCACGGAACGAGTCGCACGACCAAAATCTCAGCATCATCACGTTCGCAGCATTCTTTGTTCACATGCACACGCACATCCACAGTACACATGAGGGAAAGAAGAGAGTTGTTTTGTGGTGGGACAAGCTCCACCGGGTAAATTTGGTGAGTGATGAACACGATGAGGCAGCTGCGCTGCCGTCCACTAGTAAGCAACGAAAAAGGCGGGGTCTCGCTACCCTGCTACCACGAATGACTTGAAACGATTAGCTAGAGACTTCAGTCAGCGTGGTACAGTGATCTGGTGTGTGGGCAAGACATACCTGGGAGCCGAAGCGAGCCACGAACAAAAATTTCAACGAATTGCTGGAGGTACACCTCCAACGCGGCTGCAGGCAGTGGAGGTTAGTGACGGATGGGTTCACGCATGGCGAGGCACATACTTCACGATATCTCCAATGGGCGGGCAATGCCCATTGGGAAGTTGGATCACGACCTACAATGACGTCAGCGAACCTGGATGATGCGATGAGGTGGTTTCAGGCTTACCAAGGTCGTGATCCAGCATTTTTAGCTCAGGTAGCGAACGGTGTGGCAGCACCGTGAGCTTTGTGCTAGTCAGTAGCCACACGGAGGTAATGTTGGAAGGCATGCAATCGTGACGCACCTCCTGAGGATAAAATGCTGCAGTTGAGACCGCCTGGAACCGAAGCGTCAGCGGAACAACCGTGCGACGGGGTTGTGGAGCCTCACAATATCCTCCATACCACACCACATTGCCAAAGCCCCAAGTAAGTACTGTAAGATCAGAATCGGAAAGACCTGGCAGACAGCTTGCGATTCTCACCTCCTTGTTGACTTGTTCCAGCTGCTGACTCCAAAGGATCACTATTTGCATGAGCTGTCTCATCCTCGTAGAGCAGCGAGGTCAGAACCACCTTCCAATGTCCAGCAGACCCATCGACATCCACATCACCGAGGTCGCCCCAGCTCCCACGGTAGGTCCGTCAATCATTGAGGTACCCGGCTTCAACAGTCCAAGGGCATGCCTCGAAAATGTGTTCTTGCCTTTCGTTAGTACCGCTCGTCTATAGTCGCGGTGCCACTAACCAGCTTAGCTCTCAACAATCCATCGAAGAAGGATATGAAGCGCCTTGTCCACCGAGTTGGACTCAGACACCGCCAGGTCTTTCACGACGGCTACAGCTGGTTCACCAAAGTGAGCCTGCTGCAGTATCTCCCTAGACAATATTTTTAAGCTCTGCTTGTAATAATGTTGCATACATGTGTCTTACTCCTCTTCATCCTAGGATACCGCACTATCCTATCCGCCATAGAGGAGAGCTGCAGGTGGGACCTTAGGCTTGCCAAGAGCTTCATCCAACAACAGATCGACGCGATCCAAGAGTTAGCAGCAAAGCAAGGACGGCCTGAGAGGAACAAGGAAGAAATCGACTTCGAGAAGGTGTTGTTGAAGGAGCTAGATAGTGTTGGTCGCAGTAAGATAGAGTGATTGGGATAGCGTACAAAAACCTGGCGTGGGTGAGGGCGGTGCTGAGGCAGCACATCGATTGCTTCGAAGCAATCCAGGTGGCGGAGGATCGGATCTGTGCCTAGTCAGTCGCTGATTCATCCTGCGTCTCCTTGTCGTGAGTCGGTGTTGTTTCGTTGTGCGCTCAGTCTGAACACCAGGACAGTGGTAGAGGGTTACGTACGGAGATTGACGCTTAGCTTGGGGGTGATTAGCTCAGATCTGCATGTGCCATCAGTAGCTGTAGACTGCTGAAGAAGTTCGATACACAAGCACCACGTACAGATTGGGATGATGTGTAATGAATAATGTAATGAACGAATGTAAGGAATGGAAATGGATGACGCTAGGCCCCGCCGAGGGAGCAAGGACGCCTCGAAGTGTTGTAAGATGGACGACACAGCGAATTTAACCATAGCTTGGAAGATTGGGGGCCCAGTTTAGGACGCGAACTACGTCTTCTACACGAAATCTATGACTCTGTGAAGGTTGTGATAAGATGTAATGGCTGCCACACCGGCTGCAGAGATCGGACAAGAAGCGAAAAGATTTAGAGCTATACTGAGCCCAGCGGTTAGACAAGGAGGCGGCGATGGAAGACGCTACTCGCGACGCTTAGATCTTACTCATTCTATCCCTAAATAGGGAAAGCGGCAGAGTAATGACTAAGCTTAGCGCTCAACTATGGCAACAACATACAAGGTAGCCTTTACACGACGTTTTCTTACCACGACATCAGCTACTCTTTACTCGTACTACTACTCCACAACTAGAGTATCCTTCTCCTCACCATGCATCGCGATGCTATCTGCAATTTGCGAGAGCTTTTATCATACCCTTCCCGGTCTAGGGACCTCTATCAAGCAGTGTATATGACATCAAGTGGAGAAGGGCGGACTCCTTTCTATACCTACGTTAGCCCTAGTGGTATAGGTGGAAATATATCCCAGCAAGAAACTGCTTTCTCGATATTCAACCAACTGCCAGAAGAAATTCAGCTACATATAGTCGCCATGTGCTCCGTTAGCACCCTCTTCCAACTTATGCACACCTCTTCAAAACTCCGAAGAGAAGCTTCAAAGCTCTTCTGGGGACAAAAAACCACCTATTTCCTCGTTGAAGCTGAGTGGCTTATCGACAAAGCCTACCCAGGCCAGTCGTTCTGGGACATGGCTTTTCTCGCAAACGTGCAAAACGTTGAAGTGGAGTACGAGCCAGTTGTTAGCAAGAAGATATGTTGCCATAAGCATGGGACACTTGCCATTCGACATGATCTTATTGATACCTTCTGGGCTGCCCTAAAGCATTGGTGTCCTAATTTGCAAAAGGTTATTCTGAACCAGAGCAAAGGAGATTATTGCCTTGAAGATGATAACGAACCATTTCCGCGAGCGCTACAATGCTTACTCCAAGCATGTCCTCCGGGCATCAAGCGTTCTCTTCTCTATCTTGAGCAGAAGCCCCAATCCTCGACTGGGATCCTGCAGCGGCGTACTGATCCCTGGCAAAGATGCTTATTCCAGTACACGGATGGAGGGGATGGTTGAGGACAGAGTCACAACGTATGTGGAGGACGATTCTCATGCCACCTAAGCAGTTCAAAGGGCCAGTCGGGCATTATATGGGACTCCGGTATCAGGCTCATAAGAAAATCCCCCTACAAAGGCTCGGCCTGTGGCCGATTATAGTAGAAGCGCTCGACTGCTACCATTTTGATGGAGTACGTGATAAGCCCTTCTCCTGCCCACTCTCTGGTTGTGTTGCCTATTTCAACGAGGGTGGGGAATGGTCAGTACATGCTGCAGAGGTACATCACCGCGAGAAGAAAAACCTACTAGAGGTTTTGCCTAGCAATCGTATAGGGGCAGAGCTAAGAGAACGTAGCCAGGCGTTAGACAAGAAAACAAAACAAATCCAGGAGAAGTTTAGGATAATAAGAGAGGCATGGGTTGCAGGCGATGAAACAGCTCAAGAAGAAATACGGCAATCATGGATAGAGCAATTGCATCATGATGCCGCGTGGGAGACTCAAGAAACTGGACTGAAGAGCATGCTTTGGGTTGATTTCATGCAGAATGTATATATGGTCACTGAGTAGACTAATACAAACATCTACATATCCTATCCTTAGTAACTCCACGTCATAGAATGATACTAAAGAGGAGTTCTCGTGATAGCCTATTCGTGACAGACGTTGTAGGACACTACTGTATAATTGTCTTCTCCCACTTAGCATAACACGTATATCTCTTACTTCTATTTCCACATTGGTGATCGGTGTTATCATTGATCTGCGATCTACCCCCGCCCCCACTCCGTTCCAGCCAGTCTTCGCCGCTCATTCCCCGTTCACAGCCATTACCTTGCTGGTGAACTGACGATTTCCCTTGTTCTTCACCTTTTCGAATTGAGACAGGCCAAAGTACACAATATCCCATCTCGCTGCACAACCAGTTCCACCCAAAACCACCAGAACGCGGACAACTCGCTGCCGAAAAAAAGATATAGACTATTGCAAAACTTTCGCAGACCTGTATATAGTACTAGAAATCGTTTGCGCAATTTCATCACGACTGGTTGGGGCTCTACAAGTCCATCCATTTGAATATATTGAGTTGTTGGGGTGGTTCAACTGGCGACCTGGTTCATCTGGCCCACGGGCAGGCGCCTGCCCCACCAAAGAAGCCAGAAGCGACCGCGAAATTAAGATGCCAACGAGTCTTATCGGCTGTGTGCTTTAGAAGCCTGTACATAACAATACACCAGCTTTTTCTTGTGATTATAGCTATCTGAGGTGGCTCAATAACCTTATCTTTGTGACTATCTGATGTTGTTGCGGTGCCGTTGCACGATTGAGAACTCTGCTGATAAAGCACTCTACCGCTTCTTCATCGTTGCTTATTCGTGAACGGCAGCTCCGCTACCTCGTCGTGTTGTAATCCATAGATGAAGCATTTAACGGGTACCGCCTAGTAGGTTTGCCAACGACACAATTCCTTGACTGAACGTCTGCGGACAGGTGTTAAGAGAATGAACGATGCCTTCTTCGCCCTGTTCCTTTCTCCCAATACAGCAAGGTAGCAATAAAAGCCATTGTTGCTATTCCTAGTAGTTAAATCCGTCTGTTCTCCTTGCAAGAGAACGCTGCCAAACCTTTTTGCTTATCTTCCACCACGCAGGAATGCAGTGGTCGCTGCCCTCAACGCAGTACTCATAACAACAGCAGCAAGTCCTACCCCCGTCACTGTCGCGCCATCCTTCTCAATTCTGATGTTTGATCTGTTGATAAGATTGCCGCCAGATGCGTAGCACTCGTCGGTAGTCTTGATGATCAATTCACCTTTCACGGCACCAAGGAAGCGCCTCATCTTAGTAACATCGTTGTTAGAAGCTCGTTGGGTTGCGCAGTGCCCGAGCAATTGTTGTCTCCAACAGCAGTTGTGAGGGTTTTGGTGGGTATCCTGTGTATTGCTATCTTTCCTAGATGCTGAGGTACATGAGATGACCGGGGCGCACCCTTTGTAGACTTAGCCTGCCAAGGCTAGTCATGTGACAGAAATCGCCGTCTCCACATTTTGCGGGGTTGTGAATTCTTTAGTACAGCATAATCAACAGCCTTTTTTGTAAGTTGCCTATTGAGGAAGTGAAACTGTTAGGACTAGTGGGACCCAGCCGTATGGCCCTTCACCAAAGTACAGCTGTCTCTAGGAAATGCTAGCTATCGACACGAGCAAACCGTCTGGAATAATATCTATAGATTTCGGTAATCAGAATGATCCCGAGCATATCGCCTCGCCGGCTGACGACACTGCTTCAGGACGCAAGCACGACGATGACGGGCAGCGTCCAGCCTCGCTTACGAGCAAGGGGTAGGCGCACACCACGACAATAACATCCCAGGAACGCGCCTATGGCACCAGCCATCAACTCCCAATGCACAAGAAGCGGTCAGCGCCTTGTCAAATTCTGCACCATTACCTCCAAACATGTACCTGCGCAAGCCCTCGCTCGCTCAGCTCCGGTCCAACGAGACCCTGATCCCGCGTCTCTCCACATACGCCTCACGCCTCCACCTCTGCCTGTCCATCACGCAAGCAGTTCATTCGCTGCATCCCCTGGTCGTTCAGCGCAATCCTTTTCTGCCCAGAATGCGGCTCTACTCACGCGTTCGCCTCCTCCGTCGCGCAATGCGACGTGATTGGTCCCTCGCTAACGCCACTAACTTTGCCTTGCAGCCAATTCTAAGTTCGCGACGAGGGTTCGCCAACTACGCTAGGCACAACTCAACTGCGTGTGGCCAGCAGACACTACGATTTGGTTGGGATAGGCATGGCAAAGGAGTGGGGGTTGATTGTTCCGGAAGGTGGAACATGTTGCGATTTGTGCATGAAAACCCCTCATGTTCTCACTATTGCGATCTGACAGCCCGGCATATCCTTTCTTTCTTGTTGTGCAACGCAGTCTTCGGTCGTTCTCGAATCTATTTACCTAGACTAATTCGCTCACTACTCTACTGTCGTTTGCTTTCTCCTCGACTTCCTTTCATTGTAACCTTCCGTCATCGTCAGCACCATTTGACGAACTACCATCGCTAGCAGCTCAAAAGTTGGAATTGTCCAATCAAAGACACCATCGACAGTATTCATTACGCTTGAGCACCAAGATCAGCAGAGCTAGACGAAGACATCGAATCCTCCACGACACTACCAAATAAACAAAATGGCACCAGCGCCTACCCCAACCTTCACACCTGAAGCCCCGCCAGCAATAATCCCCAACGCCAGCTCCCGCAGCGACGGCTTCAGTCCCGGCGCTATCATCGGCATCGTGATAGCCATCGTCTGTCTTCTCCTCGCCGTACCCTTAATTGCCATCTGCCTTCGACGATATGAAAAGACACGTCTGCGGGAGACACCCAAAAGCCCAGAAAGCAGCAACATCAGTCTACGCAGCGTGCAAGAGCACCACAGCTTGAGCAGCATACTCGTGACGAAGGAGTTGTCGCGGTCGAGTATAAGGATGGAGAGGGTTGACTCGGGGATCAAGAGGCCAGATGAGGTTTATGAGAACGGAAGAGAAAGGGAGAGAGGGTGGAGCTGTACTGAGGTCAGAGGTGGGTGATAGGGTCGGGTTGGCCAAGGGCATCGCTTCCAATAGCGATGCGGACATCATACGGAATGCATGCAGGTAACGCTACATATGGCATCAGCGTCTCTGGCATACAACACCTGCGACGGCAGTACACACGCATGTACTAGGTCGGTACTACAAGAAGGCATCAGCCAACGATCGGGGACGGTAATAAAGCGTTATAACGGTGGTGGCTGCGGAACCGGACCGCGCCGTAGCTGACCTGGCCGTGCACGCCCATTGCAAATGCTTACGAAAACCATGATCGCAATGAAGAGTCGCAGGGATATGACGGATATCGGGATCCACATGTACCCACCCGCCTGAACATCGAATTTTCTGGAAGACACGCCATCGCCATGTCTGCTCGACAATGATCAAGAAAGTACATCCGACCAAGCGCGTTCCGCAAAGATCGCGAAGCTGATCTTATCCTCGCGACTGCTACACGACTTGCTGTGTCGCATGGAACAATGTAGTCCGATCCGAATGAAGATTTGGTTAACTGGCACTAGCACCTCGGCGAAAAGAGAAAATCTGGCCGAGCTTTGGATCAATACTGGAACAAAGCAGCTTACAAGACGCTTGATAATGGTTGGATTCAGCAAAGAGGTCCACTTTCGTTACTGTTGCTAAGCTTTTGCTAAGCTCTCTCCTTTGCTACAGTGTTTGTATGCCATGCAAAAATCGACATTGTTATCCACGATAAATAGCATCGCAATGCGTCTCAAGTTGCCCACTTTCACTTCCATGCTTTTCTGTCTTTGATTCAGTACCGGGAAACTCTTCTTTTCACGTTCTTTCCAAGATGTTCAATATGCAGATTACCCTTCCTACACTCCTGCTAGCACCAGCAGCGTTAGCGGCGACAAAAGGTGCAGGAGATGTTTGGGCACATAGCCCACGATACGACTACATCATCGTTGGTGGCGGAACATCAGGCCTTGTTGTTGCGAATCGTCTTTCCGAAGACTACAACGTCTCAGTAGCAGTCATCGAGGCTGGAGGCATTGAGCTATACAACCCCAACATAACCGACACTTCGAAATATGGAAACGCGTTCAGCACCTTGGTCGACTGGCAGTACGAAAGTGTTCCTCAGACCTTTGCTGGAAACGCCTCGCAAGTTTTGCGCGCAGGCAAGGCACTTGGAGGAACAAGTAACATCAACGGTTCGTCCAAAACAACAAATCTCAACCGAACTTTACTTCTGACAGTTGCATCCGACAGGAATGACATATTTACGAGCTGAAGCTGCACAAATCGATGCATGGCAACAGATCGGAAACGCGGGCTGGGATTGGGAGAGCTTGATGCCATACTACAAGAAGAGCGAATACATCCAACAACCAAGCGAATCCCAGCTCCTCCGTGGAGCCTCAATAGATCTCAAGACCCACGGTACCACCGGTCCTTTGGCCGTTGGGTGGACTGACAATATGATGGGTGAGGAGGTCATGTCTTCGATCAATCAGACTTTCGATGCACTGGGTGTTCCCTTCAACGAAGAACCCAACGCAGGGTCCATGCGAGGCCTTACAGTCTTCCCCAAGACCATTGAGCGAGCAGGTAATGTCCGAGAAGATGCTGGACGCGCTTATTATTGGCCCGTGTCAAAGCGGCCCAATCTTGACATCTACCTCGAATCCTTCGTCGAAAAGATGATATGGCATCCAGAATCAGAGCATCGAGACGCTAAACGAACCGCAAGTGGCGTTGTATTCTCAGGGCTCAATGGTACGAGGACCACAATCCTCGCCAATCGCGAAGTCATACTTTCGGCAGGAAGTCTCAGATCGCCGCTGCTTCTGGAGCAGTCGGGCGTTGGTAACCCATCGTAAGCACCAACTCAAGTCGACAAGGATACACTCATGTAGAGACTAACGATGACTATAGCATTCTTCAAGAGCACAACATTGACGTTGTCGTCGACCTTCCATTCGTCGGCGAGAACTTGCAAGACCAAACCACCACCGACATGTTCTACACCAACAACAACAGCACCAACTTCACCGGACTCGCCGGTTACGCAGCCTACTTCAACGTGGACGACGTCTTCGAATCAGATCTTGCTGCTTTCAACGCAAGCGTCGCAAGCGCTCTCAAGCAGTACGCCGACAGGACCGCCAACGTCAGCGGCATCATCGACAGCTCCGTGATCGAGAAGCTTTTCCGCATCCAGTACGACCTCATCTTCAAGAACAAAATTCCCATTTCCGAAATCATTGTTTCGCCCGCAGCGACTGGGCCCATCACTATCGAGTACTGGGGCCTTTTGCCCTTTTCGCGCGGCAGTATCCATATCAACTCTACCAATGCTTCTGCTCCGGCGAACATCAACCCAAACTACTTCATGCTGGACTACGATGTCCGTCAGCAGATTGCGACAGCCAAGATGGCGCGCAAGTTCGCCAACACAGCGCCCTTTTCCAACGCACTCTCTAGCGAGACGACTCCCGGCCTCGACGTCGTACCCGCCAACGCGTCCGACGCGGTTTGGGAGAAGTGGCTTAAATCAACGTGTAAGTTCCCCCCTCCCTCGCAACATGATGCAGTCAAAGTGAAACTGAAACTGATACAATGTTGTAGATCGCTCCAACTTCCATTACATCTCGACGGCTGCCATGATGCCGCGTGAGCTTGGGGGCGTGGTAGACTCCAACCTCACTGTCTATGGTACCAGCAATGTTCGCGTCGTTGATGCTTCTGTTGTTCCGTTCCAGATCTGCGGTCACCTGACATCGACGCTTTATGCTATTGCCGAGAAAGCAGCAGACACGATCAAGGCTCGGTATGAGTAGAGCCGAAATTGGCATACGGTTGGTAAAGAACCGCTCAGCCTGAGACTGTGATCAAAAGAAGCCATGTAGTTGTAGTGTAGTGTTTGGCATTTTGCTTGTATCCATTTATTTCTCGTTCGATAACACACATTGCTCGCTTTTTACAACTTCCGATACAAATGGACTTGCATGCGCATGTTCTCCAATTCAATCGGATAACGCAGTCTCTCATCCAGCCTATACCACCTACTCCCATCTTCCTTGATCTTCTCCCACCTGACAATCTCATCTTTACTTCCCCGATTCTCGGTCGCTTGTTCCAGCAGCGTGTGGTCCAGTAGCCACTGCATCGGGTACTTCTTCTCAGCTCCATTCAGCGTGACTGAAGAGTAGCTTCCGGGACTGTCGACTACGAGGAGAAGCGCACCAGGCTGGAGGACCGATGTCATTTGAAGAAGAAATTTCTGGGTCAAAGGCATGGATGTCGAGTAGAGTTCGTTGAGCGTGAAAAGCAGCGTTACGAGATTTGCGTCTGCGAGTTGAGCAGATAGGTCTTCTGTCGAAGCTTGAAGTACGTCTTGCTGCTTGAAATGTACCGAGATATCTTCAGGGTTGAGAGGTGAGACATTTGCGGCTCTCGCAGCTGCTGATGCGTATTTGTTTAATGTCGGCGCGGTGGTGAGTTGTTTTGCGAGATTCTCCACGACGACGCTCCAGTCGGCGACATCTATTGCAGCGACTTCGATATGTGACCCGGTGCCCTCACTTTTCCCATCCTCTTCTTCTTCTGCGTTCATGCTAGACATCAACTTGAGCATGCCACCCAGCGCCACAATCTCTGCACCTGCTCCGCCACCGAGACACACGACTTTCCGACTTTTCGACTTGGTACCCTCTTTGCCGGCCTCTTCTCTTTCTTCTCTTTCATCCATGTCCGCCCATAACTTGTCTCTCCACTCCCATATCAGATCTAAATACCCCAACGCACGACTGGGACTCCATCTTGCCGCATACACCTCCAGATACTCATTCTTCCCAAACGCAGTCGCAAAATCGCGGTTATAAAGATGACCTTTGACTTCCTGCAGTAGCGGAGCAAAATCTGAACTCAGCCTTTCCGCAAACGAATTCCGAAAGATGTTGAGTAAGAGTTGTTGAAGTTCAATGGGTATATACGATATGCCAGGCCCTTTGACTGTGGCAGTCGAACTCGGACGTTTATCGCTCTTCGGTTTCACAGGTTTCTCTCCTTCTCTCTGCGCCTTGCGCTTCGCGTTAAGTTTGGAATTGGGCGCCATGTTTGTTGCTTATCGTCGTTGTTGTTTACACAGCCCAATGCAATGGGTCAGAGACTAAGTGGGAAGGGGGGGATGGATGAAAGTCTCGTCTCGTTATCGATAGGCGGTAAGCGAAACGAGTTGTGTGTGTGGTTCGCCCCGCATGTTCAGTGTTCGGAATCCATTCCGAGACTACGATCCCGACCTCGGTGCATGTTGCGACGAGCATACGACCTGAGTCACTCTCCTACATCGATTGACTCATCACCAAGACTTTACAAGTATATACAAGCAGATTGTACTCATCCAAAGATATATCATTAACGCGTCTCACAATGCGTCTTCCCTACGTCCCCGACCCTCCAAACTTCACGTCCGAAGAAGACAAAGCTGTCGAGCAGCGCGTCAGACAACGTCGCGGCGAAAAGGGTCTCATAGCTCTAGACAGAACACTCCTTCATGCTCCTCCTGTCGCCGATGGATGGTAAACCACAAACCTTCGTCAAATAGCAAAGAGCAAAGTCGTGACAAAAGCAGGAACTCATTCCTAGGTTCCATCCGCACCAAAACTAGTCTTCCAACTGCCATCCGCGAAACAGCCATATGCCGCGTCGCCGTCCTGAACAAAGCATGGTATGAATGGGAATCGCACTCGCCGATCCTAGAGTCCGCAACAGACGTCACCAAAGACCAAGTCAGCGCCGTCCTCGAGTCTACGCCCCGAGAACCGCTTGACGATATCCTCGGACCTCAACTATCGGCTGTACTAGCCTACACAGACGCCATGACGCTAGATGTGCGTGTCCCGGATGCTGTGTTTGAGAAGCTCAAGGAAGCGGGTTTCGGCGACAAGGAGATTGTAGAGATTACGGCGACGATTGCCGCGTATAATTGCGTGTCGAGATTCCTAGTTGCGCTGGACGTTGGAGAGAGGAATGCGCAGACGGGGCCGAAGGAGGGGGGTAAGGAGTAGATAGACAAGCTGTGCAGAGAGACATGTTTGTCTGTCAATTCTAAAAGGACAACGTCACGTCACATGTTTAACTGTTTTCTTGGTCATACATACGACTGCTGTCCTACACACCTCACACGCACACACACACACACACACACACACACACACACACACACACACTTCTCTCCCACCTCACCACAACCCGCTCTTCCAAAACGCTAATCACACCCTCTTGTTCTGCCTCGCAATCTTCCTCCGCTGCGCCAACATATGACTAAACAAGATATACGACCCCGGCACATAAATCGCCAGTATCGCCCAAAGCGCATAAGCAAACATTTCATTCCTCTCCTTCGCCAGCGGAATTGCGCTATACACCAACCAGCACTCACTCGCAATACCCAACGGATACAGAACCAAGAAAGTGTTGTACCTCAGCCAAGTCCACAGCTTGGGCACGCCGACGCCAGACAGCGAGAAGACAAAGTACGAGTAGCGTATTACTTCTGTTACGCTCCAGGCAAGCAGCATGGTAGCGTAGGCGGGGGAGTGGCGTGTAGATAGAGGGAACGCGGGAGGCGAGGCGATGAGGTGTACGAGGAGGAAGCGGGAGGCTACTTGCATGAGGGTTGTTAAGAGCGGGGCGCGAACGAGGCCTGTAATTGTAGTTGTTAGCTGGTCGTCAAAATCTCATTTTTGTGGGTGTGAAGACGAGGGAAGAGATATGTGTTAGATGGGATATAGCTGAACACGTACCAACTAGACTGTGCAGGACCTCCAGTCCAGCGAGCGTTTGCACAGTCCTCGTGTATCCTTCGAGACCATCATACACTTTCCCGCTTGCCAGTCCTCGTCTCGTTGCGGTGAACCAGTCGTCGCTGCCAAAGAACGCGCCTGCCTTTTGTGCATTGACCACTTCGTTCGCACCGATCGTCACGGTCTGGTACAGCACGCCTGCCCACAGTGCTGCGGAAGCGGCATTGTAGGCGAGAAGGTATGCGTTCTTCGCTCCAGATTGTTTGGCGGGTCGCTGGTCATTTGGCGCGGCGGCCTTTGCTGGTGTAGATTTGGCGGACATTGTTTCGTGTGTGTGCTGCTGCAGACCCAATTGCAGTGAGTGTGGTTCGTCGAGAATGGAAGGGGAGATGCAGCCCTCGGAGTTAGGAGGAGGTGACGACGGTGTATGTTGTACCTGAGGCTCTCGCGGATGGGCATGCAAGCTGGCATTTCTCGTCATGGCCTCGGCTCGCGTACCTGAGAGACCCTGACGTCTTGGCGCGGCTGATGCCGGCTTGTGCCATGTGGGATGAGATCATCATACGTCGAACTTCTCATAGATTTCCAGGGGTGCGATCATCAGATTCTACCATCTAAGTTGTAAACGCTGCTTGGGATTAAACAGATCAAGCCAAGTCAAGATATGAGTCACTCATCTGGACATCGTCATTGAGTCGTGTTGAGACTCAGCAGGGCAACGGCGAAGCAGTCGAATGACTTGGTAGAACAACCTCACTGCAGACGCACTTCTCAAACACCTCGTCTTTCTTGGATTCAAGTTTTGATAATCAATGGACAGATGGTGATCATGTTCAAATGCATACTAGACTACGAAAGAATGGCCATGAACCGAGACATCACCTAATCTCCCTACCGCCTCTCTCACACTACCAATGTACTCCCAAGCTCAAGCAAGCCCATCAAGCCGCGGCTTTGGATCTTTCATTGTACAGTAGTTAGACCTTCCATATCCAACCCCGGCCTTTTTCTTCTCTTTCATTGAGATAACAAGCATCCCAGAGGAAGCAGACCACCCATGAACACGTTCACAAAAGAAAAGAAAAAAAAGAAACGCCGTGCTATGCAAATGCAACAAATGCCACTTAGATATGATGATTGCGCAAACTGAGATGATGCAAGCAAGGGTATCGTCAAAACACCCAACCATGACTGAGCCGAGATAAGGAGAGATGAGAGGTTCGTCAAAGGTATCCGTCTCTGGAGTTGCAATGAAGCTTCCCAGTTACAAGAAGACCTGAATCATGCTCTTCTTGTTCGTCACATTCTTGTCGCAGCCATCAACTACGCAAGTCTTGAAGGGAAGCGTATTCGCCGGTCTCTCCTTGCCCTTTGCGCTGCGCTTCAGAGATCGGTTGGTCGTGCATTCGCCGCAGTAAACCTGGTAATCATCAGTTGCCTGTCTCTCCGTCTCCGTCGTAACTTTTGAACTTACGTGGCCACATCCCTTGACAATCCACACCTGCCTCTTTGTCTCGTCTCCCCCAACACACAGCTCGTCCTCGCAATTAGGACACACCAGCGCACCCCCGTCCTCTTCGGGACTCCGCGTAAAACCCTCGGGTGCCTTTGGAGGCGCGGTATACGTTGGTGGTGGAGGCGGCGGTGCCTCCCTACCCCCACGGGGACCAATTTCGAAACCCACCATCTCAAAGTCCATGACGGGCGCCATGAAAGCGCCAACTCCGACTCTGATATGCGGTGCACGTCCCCTCGATGCGCTCCTCGAAGGCGCCACAGGCTCCTGTTGGTTCCCAAACTGCGTTCTTGTCCGATTGACCTGGTCGTGAAACCGTTCAATTTGTGCGCGAAGGTGTGTGAAGCGCCCGTTAAGTGTGAAGAGGTCAAGCACATTGTCCATTTGTTCGTTTGCTTGGCGACGGCGTTGTTCGTGCTCGGGGAGGGCGTTTGCGCGGAGGAATTCCACCTCTTCGTCGCCATCTGAGTTGTCGCGGGGGAGGCCGTTGGGCAGGGGAGAGAGAGAGCTATGGGGGCGGCGGCCGCCCGGTAGGGTGCGGGAAGATATGAATTCAATCTCTGGTGAACTCGGCGCTTGTCCTGGTGCTGGTGCATCGACATTCCATTCTTCGTCCCCGTTGTCCAGGTCGATGATGATGTCCATTCCCCGCGGTAAGCGAGGTGCGTGACGGCGATTACGATGGCTATGCGACTCTTGCTGTTCTCTTTGCCTCTCCCTTTCCCGTCGTGACTCTCGCGCTTGGTGACGTATTTGGCCGTCGTGGCTTGCACCGTAACCCGAATCATCAGCCGTGAGATCGATGACGTTGTTGTCCTGCCTCACATGGATGGTATCGTCCTGCCTCACATGGATGGTGTCGTCCTCGTCCATGTCATCATCCCCTGTCAAGTCCACCGATGCTGTTGCTTGCGACTGCTGTGCCGAGCCAGCGGGCCGCCTGTAATCGAAGCCATCTCCTGCAAATCGCCGTGTTGCTGAAGACGCCATGTGTTCGACGCGCGGAAGGTACAACCCGGCAGTACGTGAGTGTTCGGCACTGGCGCTGGAATCGGCGCGCTCAAGGGGCGGCCGGGCATGCGATCGCAATGCCGACTCAAAGCTTGGTGTTGCTTCGCGGCCGAAATGGGGTGCTGCTTCGAGGCCGAAATGGTAGCGTGTGGGAGGCTCGTAGTAGTTTCCGTTTCCTGGAATATGTTGTCTGTCGTCATCGTCGTCGTCGTCAATGTGGTAGGTTGGCGGTGGAGCTTCGCGGTTGTTCCTATTGCCAAAAGGGTCGTATTCGAAAAAGGCTTGCGGGCCAGAAGCTTCCTCTTGGTCCATTTGGGCATGTGAGCGCTAAGTGACGTTCTCTATCAGTGCCTATTCTCCGCTCACTCGCTGGGTACAACCGCCAGCGGCACTCACCTTCTGCTGTCTGTGCGTATACCCAAAAGGCAGTGCTTCTCTGTCCATGCCGGATGTGAAGGAGAGTGTGCGGCCGTGGGTGGATGTGGGTGGAGTCGCAGTCGGAAACAACAGCACCGAGCTGAGGTTGAGCGAGGGTTGGGCCCGTCTGGTGCCGTTGGGGTGCTGACTTCGGCGAAACTGTGGTGGCGCTGGGAACATTGGACATCTGTGCAACATGACAAACCGTCCAACGTCAAACCTCTCAACCCTTTCACCTCACCATAATGACCGCACAAATCAGTCACCACCTGTTCTTCGATACTCTTCTCGCATCTTCTGCGACTTGGTTGCTCCTGACGCCATCGCAATTGCCTCGCTTGCACATGTGAGATGGGTCGTGACGTAGTGTTTTTCAGCATATGGAAACATGATATTCAGATTGATGGTCTCGGAGACGACCCGATTTTCCCGTCGTCTACAGTAATGCTACAAACCAATTTACGCCATATCGCCCTTCATGCACTAGCAACGTCCTCAAATGCATGCGCATAGCTTCTAAATTGCCCCACACATCGTGGAATACACTCGAGGTAGTCGATCAAGTTCCCGCTAACGGAAGACTATTAAAAGTGATGGAGTATACCTTCAGACAGATTCTCTGGCTAAGGCGCTGTCAGCACTGCCAAACCACCCTCGGTGGTCAGTGCCACAACATTCTCGGCCCTGCCACCCCAAGCGACATCCTTTGCTGGCGCTGCCTTCCTGACAAGCTCAGCCCAGCTCTTCGTCGCCTTGGTGTACTGCTGCACCGAAACACTGCCAGTTCCACCAATTGCCAAGAACTGGCCGGTGTAGTCCCAGCTAACGCTATTAACCGGGCTGCCAGATTCAAGCGTGTGGATGGCAGCCTGCTTCCTGATGTCCCAAATCGCGACACTGGACGAGTTTTCCTGTACGACGGCGAACCAAGTTCCGTTCTCAGAAAACTTGAGATCAACGACGGGAGCCGAAGTGGCGAGTTCGGCCATTTGTGTGCCAGTTTTGATGTCGTAGATGCGGATGTTGCCGTCGGAGCTTCCGATGAAGAAAAGCATGCCGTCTACGTGGAACGAGACGCATGTGATTTCGGCTTCGACGTAGACTTGCGAGACCGTCTTGAAGGTTGTAAGTTCGTGGATGGCGTATCGCTTGTCGGCGCCGGCGGTTGCGAGCATCTTGCCGCTGGGATGTACGGACATGGACGTGACAGCTCCGGCGTGAGAAGCTATTTGCGCAACGTCATCCCCGTTGGAGAACACCTTGACTGTGCCTGCCGATGTCCCAACAAGGGCGCGCTCTCCCCACCATGCCACCGATGTGACTGCGCTGCCTGCATTAAATGTCTCCAGGACCTTGCCCTGGGTCAGTGAGTAGACGCCCGTGGTGCCATCCGCTCCACCGAATAGCACGTTCTGTGCCTCGTTGACCGCAATCTTGGTGCTGCCTGGGTATAGAGATTCGGTCGTTTTGGCAACGTCGTAGTTGGAGATGGCGTCCCCAGAGGTCCAGTCTGCCGGCACAGGTCGCTTTCGTCGGGTGCCGAAGAGTCTGTATATGTTAGCTCATGTTGATGGCGTCATTCGACTGCAAGGGAACTCACTCTTGCTGTGTCTCTTCCACAAGAGCTACAAGCTGCTGAGGCAGGCCCTGGCCGTCCACCTGCATGGCATCGCCCTGGCCGCTTCCACTGATGGTGACGTTGGACAACGCCTCGCGCGCCTCGTCCCTTTCCTTTGATATCCGCGCGATGACCCTCGTCGCCGCATCGTTCTGGTACAGCGCAGTACTCAGCTCCTGCCTCGTTTGCGCCAAGTGCTGCTTGAGCGTATGCGTCTCCAGAACCAGCGCATCCCACTCATTCTGGAAGGCGCTAAGCATGGCGGGTATCGAGGTGAAGTTGGGCGCGCGCGGAGTGACGACATTGGGCGACTTGAGCTCGATGAGGTCCTCCGTCGCGAGATCCTCGCCAGTAACGGGGTCGGTGTGGTGTTCTGAGATGTGGGCTTCGATGAGGCGCTTTTCGAAGACGTTGCCCGATTTGCGCGAGGCAACGGGTTCGCGGGGAGCTTCGCCAGAGATTGCGCAGAGCATGGTTGCGGGATTGGCGTGTTGGTGGTTGATGCTGTCGCGTTCGTTAACTTTTCGGTCTTGGGATTGAAGCGCGCTAGTAGTCTGGACCGTGCGCGTCCACGTCGAAGATGCTCCACGAGGGACTAGGTAGAAGCTCTCTTTCCCATCATCGAGAGTCTTCGTTCTGTCAAGGCTAGCATGTTGCGTCTTGTCTTATGTCTGTGGTTCTGCTTGCTCAAAGCCAACCACTTAGCAGCTGTCAGTGCATGTGCTAACCCAGGCTTTCCGTTTATTTGTGCCGACAGGCATGATTCTGGAAGCTATAGCTGTTCGACTGTCCAAGTCACATGACTTGCTCCGAAGATTTGACGTCTCGGTCCGGCCACTCATCCCATGCCACCAAACTCTAGTCTTTGCATCTCCAGCCGTCCTCTTGGCGAGCGGAAGCACGAGGGCGCGTCGGTATGCGAAGTCGGACCGGCATCACCCACTCCCGACATCCAACGAATCAACGCCCACGCGCTTGCATCGCGCTTCGCATCCGAGTAAACAAGCTGGATCATTTACCCCAGACTTTTTCGCCTCTCACCATTTTCAGCCCCAAACCGGAAGGTCTCGGGAAATCAAGCAATTATAGTGTCCCCGTGCGGAACCAATGACCCCGCCTCGCTCCATCTATGGCTCTCGCATCGTTGCCAAGCTATGCAAGAGCGACCTCCTCTATGACGGTACTGCGGGGGAGCGCGTCTTGGGTGCATATCCGCCTACTCTAGTTGCGTAAAAGGTAAGTCTGAACCGAGATCATGATGCATGCCTTGTTGTTGTAGTGCCACAGACTAGCGTACACGGGCTGCATAGGTTTGTGTATAAGAAGGACATCGCTCCCTCGACGGATCAGCATCCAACCAAGGTCCTGCCTCTTTCAATTCCATCAGGCACCATGATCACCAAAGGACTTTTAGCTCTTGGAACAGCGGTACCTGCACTTGCGGGTTCGCTTGTTCAACGGCAGAGCTCGTCGCTTGAGGGGTGCCCTGGATATACCGCCAGCAATCTCCAAGATGATGGCTCCAGGGTCACCGCAGACCTCAGCCTCGCAGGCGCCGCTTGCAATGTTTATGGCGAGGACTTGACTGACCTAAAGTTGGAGGTCGAGTATCAGACTGGTACGTTGCGTTGGCTTCGCTAATCATCGGCTCTTTGCTAACAGTCCACAGCCGACCGACTGCATGTCAAGATCTTCGACGCCGCCGAACAGGTCTTCCAGATTCAAGAGTCTGTTTGGCCGCGTCCTGCCGGCAATGAAGGTGTCAGCCCAGAAGATTCTGCTCTGGCATTCACCTGGACCGACAGCCCTTTCTCGTTCGCCATCACGCGCAGGGAGACCAACGAGACCCTCTTCGACACGTCGGCTGCGTCTCTCGTCTTTGAGTCGCAGTTCCTCCGTCTGAGGACCGCCCTGCCTCCTTCTCCAAACCTATACGGTCTTGGCGAATCGACAGATCCATTCCACCTAAACACCACCAACTACACCCGTACTCTCTGGAACCGAGATGCCTACGGCACCCCAGAAGGGTCCAACCTTTACGGTGCTCACCCCATTTACTTCGATCACCGCGGCGAGAACGGAACCCATGGTGTCTTCTTGGCCAGCTCCGAGGGCATGGACATCAAGATCGACGACTCCGAGGGTCAGTACCTCGAGTACAACACCCTTGGTGGTATTCTTGATTTCTACTTCCTTGCTGGTCCTGGACCGAAGGAAGTCGCAACCCAGTACTCCGCTCTCTCCGGCCTTCCTGCCATGATGCCGTACTGGGGTTTTGGTTCCCACCAGTGCAAGTACGGTTACCGTGATGTCTGGCAAGTTGCCGAGGTTGTTGCCAACTACTCTGCTGCGGACATACCTCTAGAGGTGAGTTCTGAATTGTCGAATCGCCACTTCATATTTTCGCTGACATCATTTAGACCATGTGGACGGATATTGACTACATGGAGCTCCGCCGCCTGTTCACCCTGGATCCAGAGCGTTACCCGCTTGATCTTGTCCGCCAACTCGTTGATTACATCCACGCTCACCAGCAGCACTACATCATGATGGTCAACTCCGCCGTCTGGAGTGGTGACTACGATGGCTACAACAATGGAGCTGCGCTCGACGTGTTTCAAAAGCGTCCCAACGGCTCTTTCTTTGAGGGTGCTGTATGGCCAGGTCCCACGGTATTCCCTGACTGGTTCCACCCCAACACACAGCAGTACTGGGACGAGCAGTTCGCTTCTTTCTTCGACCCGGCAACTGGTGTTGACATCGATGGTCTTTGGAACGACATGAACGAGCCTGCAAACTTCTGCCCGTACCCTTGCCTCGACCCCGAGGCCTACTCTGAGGAGTCCAAGAACCCTCCCAAGCCACCACCGGTCCGCACCTCCGCTGACGGTCGCCAGATCCCTGGCTTCCCAGCAGACTTCCAGCCTCAATCCAACTCTAGCGCGGTTCGCCGATCAAGCGCTCAGCTCAAGAAGCTTTCCAACATCAAGCGTCAAGCTTCCAACAACACTGCTGACCTTGCTGCACACCCCGGTCTTCCTGGTCGCGACTTGATCAACCCGGAGTACCAGATTGCGAACGCCGCTGGCTCCATCAGCAACAAGACTCTCGATACTGATATCCAAAACTACGACGGAACGTACCACTACGACACCCACAACTTCTGGGGTTCGATGATGTCGATTGCTTCGCACAAGAGTATGCTTATGCGCCGTCCCGAGCGACGTCCATTGATCATCACCCGCTCTACTGTAAGCTCTCACCACATCATCAGACGTTATGTAGCTAACAATATATCCAGTTCGTCGGTCTTGGCACATACCTAGGAAAATGGCTCGGCGACAACGTCTCGGAATGGGCACAATACCGCTTTTCAATCGCCGGCATTTTGAACTTCAACTCCATCTACCAGATCCCCATGGTTGGCCCCGATATTTGCGGTTTCGCTGGTAACACCACGGAGACCCTCTGTGCACGTTGGGCAACACTTGGTGCCTTCTACCCCTTCATGCGAAACCACGCTGGCGACACGTCAATCGACCAAGAATACTACCGCTGGCCATTAACCACAGCCGCAGCCAAGAATGCTATTGCAGTACGCTACAGACTACTCGACTACTTCTACACTGCGTTCCACCGCCAGACCACCACGGGTGTACCCAGTCTGAACCCCCTGTGGTTCCACTACCCCTCTGACGCCAACACCTTTGCCATCGAGCACCAATTCTTCTACGGCGACGCCATCCTCGTCTCTCCTGTATTGGAAGAAAACTCGACCTCCGTGTCCATCTACCTGCCCAACGAAGTCTTCTACGACTACTGGACTGGCGAACGCATCCAAGGTCACGGCTCCATGATCAACCTCACAGACGTCGGTTTCGACACCATTCCCCTGCACATCCGCGGCGGATCCATCTTGCCTCTCCGCGCTGAATCTGCAAACACAACCACGGAGCTCAGAAAGAAGGATTTCGTACTGTGGATTGCGCCAAATGCGACGAATCAAGCTGAGGGATCGCTGTACCTTGATGATGGTGATAGCATTGAGCAGCCGGCCGTGTCTATGATCTCGTTTACGTACGACAATGGCGCTTTCAGCATGAGCGGTGAGTTTGGATACGAGACTGAGGTTGTTGTGAAGAACATCACTGTGCTGGGTTGCGAGCAGAGTCTTCAGGGTCCTGTGAAGCTGAATGGGGACTTTGAACATGTCTTTGGCAATTGCGCAGCTGGGTATGCGGGTAAGGCGCCGAGGAGGGGTTTGGCGTAGTGTGTTGTTGAATTGATGGGATTGTGGGTTGAACCATGTTTCATTGCATGTAGTAAGGGAAGATGATATGGAAGCGCGATCAGCCGCCGCCTCAGAAATTAATCCAAGTCAGATGCTAAAGAAGATGTGAGATTTCATACAAGATTTTGTGACTACCGCAGGATTGAGAGGGGGGTTTAAGCTGAAACTGCCGTGGCTGTGTCGAGGGGAGGGGGGAGATGAGACGAGAGTGCGCTGGAGCTGAAGTGGAAATCGAAAAAGGTGGGAGAGGAAAACCTGTTTTGGTAAAAACCGGGCTCTCTAGGTTGGGAAGAGATAAGATTCTCGCGAGAACGTCTTTATATTGATGCATACATACTCTCGTCTATCCACGGACGAGGCGGACATGTCTTGACCACCCACTGCCGATGCAGCTTCCTCGTGCTCGCCACCTTGGCCCAGAAGTCGTCCCAGTATACTGTATACGCAGTTTTATTGTCACGCGATACATATAATTTATGGCTAGGGTTGCGCATATCCCTCATTCTCTGGATGCAGAAGCGTAGGTTGGCGATATCAGCAACCACTTCCTTGCTCACATCCACCCACACGTTATTTGGCTGTTGTGTATCTGACTCTGGTAAGGGCTGTTGCTGCTGCTGCTGAGTGAGCATGTGTTCGTCCAGAGTAATTACTTCGAATGCGCAGCCAGCCCAAGGACCATGTATGAATTCTAGATACTTGTCCGGCAAGTGTGGGTCCTCTGGAGTAGTAGTATTAGTAGTCGCAGATGGCGCTCTGTTACCACCGCTACAAGTGAGAACGAGGAAGATGTTGGCCAGGGTAAATTGCTCGTCCGTCTTTGGGTCCGTCGTGTGTTTGCTTTCCTTTTTCGATGGTCTGTAGAGCACTCGTTGTGTGAGGGACTTGCCGACTCTTTTCATTTTATCCGATAGCAGCTCATAGGATCTAGGGTTGTCGCCCCAGTCAGGTGCGGGATCAGAATCAGGCTCTTCTTGCAACTGATCCGAGCGCACGTATTGTCTGGTGGTCAGGTTGCGGAGTACCCATACTCTCCGCCTAGAATATGCACCTGGTTTGGGACGCAGCATCAGATCCTGCTTGATATTTTTCAGGTCGTCTGGTCTGTTCTTTAGGTCGTAAATCCACATTTTAAAGGCCTGTTGGTTTGAGGCTGAAGGACAGTCCTTCCAAACAGTGAGAGCTAGCCATCTTTCATCTTGATCATGCCATGTCCAGTCCCATTTCCAATCGTCAATTGAAGCAAGGGACGTCTCGAACGTTTCTTCGATACCATAGTTCTGACACTGCTCGCTGGTGAATCTCGCCTTGACATGGTGAAAACCAACCTTCCTGCCTACCCAATTCTCCCGATAGAGACGGTGAATGCGGCTCAACACGAGCGGCCATATACGAGCGGAAGAAAGGCCTAGCGCGAGGAAGTTGAGAGAGAGCTCAGCGATGTGATCGAGGGTGGCTTTGGCGTCACGAATCTCGTCGATGTATTTCGGACTGGGATTGCGGCCCCAGTCGAGGTGTTTGAGTCCGCGACGGCGGTCGAAACAGTCCAGTGGCAATACGTGATCAAGGATCTGATCAAGGATCTCGTTTGGAAGACGTTCGAAAAGGTCCCCACCAGGAGGATAGAAGTGTTGAACACGCTGAGCATCCGACAAAGGCTTGACAAACGCGTAGTAAAACCAGTCTTGGTTCTTTTTCTTAAAAAGCGAGGCCGTGTCGCAGTTGTAATCATTGCGCTGTCCAATATGAATAGCTTGATTGAGCTCCGGGCAGACAAGCTGGTACCAATCAGGAAACCCGTTATTTGGGTTGCGGTCGAAAAGGTCACCCATAGTCTTTTATGGTCTTTGCGCGGCTCCAAGGAGATTGAAGCCGTAGCTTGGGTGTCGGGGTAGCCATCTCGCGACTGTCTGTCCCTTGTTTATGTGATGTCGCGCCACAGCCTAGGCTATATCCAAACCGGAAACAGCAATGTGATGCAGTAGTAATCCGACACGCTTAGGCAGCTGCGCTACCGTCCACGAATGGAAGCACGAAGAAAAGCGGGCTCTCGCTTGCCTGCTACCACGAACGGCTTGGTACGATTGAACAGCAATGTAATTAACCCGTCGAATAAGCATCGTCAAATGAGGCACGCGATTGCCTTGCCAAGTAAACACCGCACCGTCGAGTGTCATGGCTCGGTGTTTGTCGGCAGTGTCAAACTATGGTCGCGCTTCAATTAGCAGCACCTCCAAAAGCCATAGAGGTTGTAATAGAGTGATTGGTCTAGTTTGCATCGGGTTAGTGCGAGATAGATGCATAGCTACGAGGGACTGGACGAACCTCGGCATCTCAATTTCGTGAATAGCGATCGGACTTCACTAACTATTTGTTGGATAATAGCGTGCGAATGTACTCACCACGCATAAAACACCATAGCTGCGTCAAGGAAACAGCGCCCATTTCACTTACTAAGCGCGTGGTCTTGTATGAATGAACCGGATATCCACGACCGTGTTTGAGCAGCTGTGACTACTTTGCAATGGCTGAATGAAATACGGCGAGCGATTACAAATACCTCTGCACCACAATGTCCACGAACATTGGCATCGACACAAGGCGACGTGCAAAGTCACCGCTCGAAGACTTTCTCCATCGGGCCAGCAACGCCGGCCTACACATAGAAGCGGAAGTAGAGATGGATCAAACGAAGGCTTACAGCAGCGGCAACTGGGAAGTCGTGAACGAATCGCACTACGTAGATGAACAGGACAAGGACGAGTGGGTTCTTGTCGGCAAAATAGAGGGCGAGAAGACGCAGGAGTGTAACGCGCAGCAGAGGGCGGAGGAGCGGGCAAAGCAGGTCGTACAGCACTGAAGGATTGATAATTGGACCGTTAGCAAGAGTGTCATGGAATCGAGATCAAGCAAAGACAGCCTGGAAGCAGGATTGGGTATCTTCATTCAGTAGCCACGCGCAACGTGCACTCTCGCTTTTATACCAGCAATTGAATTGCGACCGACATCCATATCAGTCTGATAGTGTCCGCTCGCGGCACTCGTGCTATGCGCGTCGCGACGATGCTTCCACGGTGTCCAGCGTGTAAGGTAGGGTAATGGCACCGAGTCCCAGCTCATTTCTTTCCCTTCTTCTTTTTCTTGCCTCCCGCGCCGCCCGTACCAGCCGCGGGTACACCGCCCATCTTGACATCTCCACCCTCGTCGACCTGCGGTGTAGACGCGCCTTCTCCGCCAGCTGGCATGCTCAAATCCTCCATCGTCTCCGGCAGCGCTGCCATGTGTCTCCCCAATCTCCCCAGATTGCCAATCAGCCGGCCCACCTCGGCGCCCTTGTTCGTCTCATACTGCAGACATGTGCCCGACTCTGGATCGTACGTCTTGAGCGTAAAGAAGACGGTGACTTCCTCGGGGTTCTGCGATTGCGGCGGCGGTGAAGACGTACGCGATGTGTCGGCGGATCGGGCGGCTCTCTTCTCGTCGTACTTTTGGCGCTTCTTTATCTTGGAAGATGTGGGTTTTAGGACCGAGTATTTGGATGTGATGCGTGTCTAGGAGGCTTGGGTTAGATGGCGCCGTGTCGCGTGTGTGCGGCAGGGTGGAGCTTGGCATACGGATGTTGGTCGCGCTTTGAGGAGGAGCGACGACTGCTCGTACCACTCTGCGCTCGTGTCGAAGTATGGCATCGTGGCGGGTGTGGGTGGGTGTCTGGGGTAATGGGAGAGTGAAGGTGACGATGAGGCATGGTCGGTGCCCTGTGGGTTCGGTAGGCGGGCAACTTTTGGCGGGGTCGCTCGGGAGAACATCGGTTCAGGCCAAAACCGTCACTCCCAGCTAAGCACCGTACCGCGCGACAGGTACCCGGGAAAAGGGCTGAAACAACCCCCGACCTATCAAGCAGCAGCAGTCCTCGTTGTTCAATACTTCCTCGAACCTTCCACGGCCAAGGTAGTTGACTCACGGCTCAACTGTCTCATCTCAAAAGTTCAGACTCAACTGCGATACCCCCCAAAACACGCCTTGGTCTACCTAACACATCAATCGCATCTGGTATATTTGCACCATCATGAACGACTCCGTTGCCCAAGGCTTTGGCAACATGAAGCTAGAGGAAAAGACGGATAATGACAAGATGCCCACCCCTAGGGCTGAACTCGAAGTTACCATTCAAGGATTAGTGGCACGTGGCAACCATCTCAACAACGAAGTGGAAACCTACATCGCCGCAGTTCTCGAGAAGCAAAAGGTCGGAAAAGTCTACAATCCAGTCGAGTACGTTCAGTCATCGTGTTATCCAAGATAGCCTGGATGATCCCCTGGTATTCGCTCCACCAGTAAGCTTAGCCGCGATATCTACTACAAGAGTACCAAACCAACACACTCGTTCGCACAACTAACGACAACAGATACGGGAAACTTCGCACCGATATGCGATGTGAACTCGCCTTCCTGAAGAAACTCGCAGGCTCCAACATGGATGAAGAGAAGGCCCGTAACTACATTGTGTCTTCTAATCTCCTGTACTACGAAGCTCTATGGGCCGCCGCAAAACGTACATCAGGGATCCGAAGTTTCCGAAAATTATTCTTCTGGGACCGACACAAAGCTCCCGGTGGTAAAAACACAACAAAAGGCGTTAGCCTAGCAAAAGGAAGCCAAGGCAAGAGCAAAACTTCTGCACTTGTCGACATCGTCGCGGAAGAAGGCGCAGAATGGATACGAGTATCAACCGTCTCCGAGAAACGTATTCTGTTCGATCTCGCAAAGCTGGGCTGGGTGAACGACTCTGACTCGGACGAAGACGAGGATATGCCGCCGCCCCCTGAAGACGACGATGACGACGAAGACCAGATCGACGTGGTGCGAAATGCTCGCGAGCTTGCGCGAGCTGCGCGCGCAAATCCCGTACGTGGTCGGCCACCCAAGGTGCATTTCGTCCTCACACGAATCTCTGCTGGTAAAACACCAGCTATCGACATGATCATCAACAAGATACGCGCGACGGGTGCGATAGTACAGTGCGGAGAGGACATACCGCCCGCGCTGTCGATAGACGCCGTGCTACCACGGCTCCTCATCGATCGATCGCGAGCGCTAAGCGATACCCTGAATATCGACTGCACCATTCTCCTAGCGCTCATATCGGATATCTCGCACAAGCCTTGCCCGATACTTGACTGGTACCCGGGAGAGGTGCGCGCTCAGATTGAGGAGGAGGCTGTAGAGCACTTGTTGCCAACGCGTCTGTATCCTGCTATTGGCGCGCATCCCATGGTGTGCACGCGCGAAGCTGCTGACCAGATGAATCTTATCGTGCAGACTCTGGCGACTGATACGGAGAAGCTGAGAGCGGACATACTGCTAGGACAAGGCGATTGCGCCTCGTGGTCGCGAGAACGGCTTGTGGAAGAATGGGTACGTACTCGCAGGCTGCCCGCTCCACTCGCATATCGAGCACCGACAAAATCACCTCATCACGAAACCACTACATCGTTCCTTACTGACAATCCTCTTGCAGGCCGCTATATCCGATTACTCCCCACCCCCACACTTGGCCCTCCCCATCGTCGTCAAAACTCCTGACATCGACACCATCATCGCCAACCTCCCCAGCGTAGCAGCGACGGTCGTTGCTGAACTACTCGAAAGTCCCTCTGGCCTTCTCAACCAATCCATCTTTCTCTACGGTTGGGCTGAGGGCCTCACGACGCTGAGCGCAAACCGTGGTCGAGCGAAACAGATTGATAATATTATTAATGAGCATGGATTGAAAGATGGGGAGGCGGGGCCGCATATCTGGCTTTGTGGTGAGTCGAGGAGTTTGATTGCTAAGCATGGGCGGAGGAAGTAGGTGGGATGATATCCTGCTCTCAGCTACCGGCTTCTCAGATATAATCATACCTGATCTCCAAGTCCGTCAATCTCATCTCTTGACCCTCTTCGTAGTCTACGAATAACACATTCTACTTCCCGCAAGGCCAGGTGTAGTCCTGCGCAGCCCCTTGCCAGTGCCAAAATTCGCCGCCTTCGCAAAGCACGACATGGATTTCCGACACGTTTTTGTAGTAGTGAAGCTCTTCGGATTCACGTCCACGGGCCCAATACTCATCGGTGTTGTCGCGCGTAAATCTCAGGCGTTTGATAAGGTGCGCAACAGGCCTGAAGGCTTCGAATTGGCTCCACCCGATGGAAACCATGTCGATATCCAGGTTCAACCACACGTAGCGCGGTTCTGCGTCTTCCGCAGCGCCGCCGCGCCAAGACATATCAGAGAAACAACGCTGGTATAGTCTAGCGTTCCGCGATTCTCGACATGTCTGCAGCGGTGCTGGTACAGGTGTAGGCGAAGTCAACTTGTTGAACGTCTTCTCACCCCATTTCCCTCGGACCCTGAGGCGCACTTCAACCATGCGAGGCTCCACCGTCATTTGCCATATCTGATCACGGAGTTCTGCTGGAAGTCGTGGAAATGGGTGGAATGTGGCCATGTCAGAATGTGTGGAGAGTTCGAGGTATGTGTGGATTGGTCTTGACAACGCGATCGAGATTGTGGATATGCGCTCGAATGTTAGGGATCGTTTCATAGACGTGCTCGACTTCGAGGATCAAAATGCAGGTGAAGGTACTGGGAGTGACGGAAAGTTGGGAGACAGTGAAGTGGGGGGTTAGACGGTTATACCCGGGCGGAGGCTGAACGCCAAGGCGGGGGAAATGTGGGCAAGAGTCATGAAGATTTCCATGTTCATTTTCATAGGCACATGACAGAAGGCACCAAAAATGGGAAGGTTACATTGCAGTCATCGAATCTTACAAAAGATCTCAAAACGGAGACGCGGGCTGCCGATGATCCTGCTAATGCATTGAAAAGATATCGAGTTCCTTGTTCCATTCTTTCGTCGCTACGTGTTGTCAAGATAAGGAGTAATAATACAGCGATCGATGGTGTAAACTGGCTCGAAAATCTTCCCCTTCTTCGTCGACGTTATGTAGCATCTCTCCACAGCAATAGAATAATTTCCAGCCCCATTTCTTTCTATTCCATACTTCGGCCTCACGATCACATTTGTACTCCAGGTCCATCATCCACATCTCTTCGCCCTCCTTCTCGTCTATGAACAAGACGTTGTCACAAGGCCAGGAATCCTCGTAGGAAGTCCCATGCCAGCACTCAAAGTCGTCCTTTCCGCCGAGCGAGTTTCCGCCAAGCACCACGTGAATCTCCGACGCATTTTCGAACCAGCAAAGATTGTCTGAATCAGCTGATTGGGTAGCCCCACGCCTCCAAAATTCAGTCATCTCGCGCTTGAACTTCAATCGCTTGATGAGATGTGCAACACATCGGAACTTGTCAAACCAACAGTCGTCAATGTCAATCATATCAATGTCCAGGTTGCACCAGACATAGCTGTATCGTCCTTCCCACACATTTCTGTCACGCCGGTATTTTTTCTGCGCATTCTTCCTCTTGCTGTTATCAACACAGAGCTGAGAGAAACAACGCTGATATAATCCAGCGTTCCGCGACTCCCGGCAGGTCTGGAGTGGCCCTGGTATGGGCGTCTTTGAATATAAGGCTGTGGTCTGCCAAAGCTCCCCTTCATATCTGCTTTTGAAACCAACCTTGACGGTGCGAGGCTCTATAGTAAGCTCCCATACCCGAAGACGAAGTTCTGCAGGGAGTCGTGGAAAAAGATGGAATGTAGCCATGCCGTAGCGAGGAATACGGAAGGTGGTGTTGCGTGGATATCTTGGTGTGTATACAGATTCGAGCGCCAATTATACGTAATGAAACATCGAGATCAGAGATTGGTACCTGTATGCGAACAAAAATTAATGCAGGAACCCGAATGGTCGCCAAGAATCAGGGAGTCATATGATTAGCCTATGTTCGTATCCACCTTCCGTTTCTGGAAGCGCCTCGGATCCTTCGTGGTGATGTGTTGGGATCTGCGATATGAGGAGATCCGGATAGCGCCTGTTCGGAGCTAGAAATGGAATTTGCGATTCCTTCGCAGTACGCGAACCGTCTTTACCCGCATATCCCAGGCCTCGGATCTCACGATGCGCAATGAGCATGCGGTGCAGGCGGCGCAGTAGGCCCAGACCTGGATCTATCAAACTCAGCTCCATTACTGGTATGAGGACCTAATATCGCGTTACTCATTCGAATAATGTACTCGAAGGAGTCCAAAAAGTGTTGTCGGTAGCATACACTCGATCGCTCCTCGCCCGCACTGCTCCTTGCTGTGGTACTACACAAACCCCTTTCACGATCTCGACTATCGGTCGCACTACCCTGCGTCGTTGCGATACCGTCTATCATGAAGCTCACAGCCTTCATCGTTCTGGCGGAGCTCGTTCGCCTGGTCGTTTCCGAACGCCGACCAAACCTGCAGTGGGATCCAGAGACCGCCAAAGACTGTGTCGAATGGTTCGATGGTGGTTGGGATTTGTCGTGTGAAGAGACGCGCAAGATGGTCGGCATTAGTCCTGAGCTATTTCATAAATGGAACCCTTCGGTTGGCCTTGACTGTAAGCCTTGGAACTTCCAATCATATTGCGTTCTCACGCAGGAGAGGGTCGACACCGAGCCACCGAAATGGACTTCAACAATCTCTACAACTACGACCACGGCAACCTCATCTACAGTCACTCCTTCTCCTACTTCTTGGACCGACATAGGGTGCTATGTGGAGGATCCGACATTCCCACTTCTCGACCAAAATATGAGCCCTAATGGAGATACGTCCTTGATTATCCCTGATTGCAAAGACACCTGCTATCGCGATACCTACAAATTCGCGGGTGTACAGGAAGGCAATCAATGCTGGTGTGGCACTTACGTCATCGGGCAATGGGCGAAGAATCAGACCGACTGTAACGTTCCCTGCACTGGAGACAAGACGGCATATTGCGGTGGAAAGGGATTATTGAAGATATTTCAAGAAGCAGGTTGGAAAGAGGAGGCTACACGAACGGCTGTTTCAGGAAGCAGCGTTACAAGCACCAACGCCGCCAGTACTAGCAGTATCGTAGGTACCAACATTGCTAGTGCTAGCAGTACTACAAGTGCCAACGTCGCCAGTCCTAGCCACACTTCTGGAGCCAACAAGAACGTGGCCATGTTTAGCGCGGTGCTGGCGTTCTTTTCAATGTGTTGATAGTATTGCTGAAGTTGTAGACTGTTTGTGCGCATGGCGAGCTAGTTCGTGTAACGAGCCACCGAGCGCGTGATGGTGCGAGTGCGAGTGCGACACCGAGAACGATGCTCTCGTATGGCGTCGTATGCACGGCCCCGGATCTGTGCACTTTCCGAGATACGACTAGTACCCCAGACTTGACGTCGCCTGGCGCTGTCCTATGCAATTAGAAAAGATGTTATTGGCCAAACATGTCTTTGAAACAAACAATCCCGGGACCGTTGGATTAAGCATATCTGGGATCGACACCGGAAGTGCGGCTGCAAGCCCTTTCCGCCTTGCATCGCCTGGGATACGAGTGCTTTGTAAATGTCCATCTTGTATTCGTTGCGAAACTGGTGCTGTAACCTAGCAACTACTGTTACGCGTATGTCGTAAGGATACGTGTGGATACTTAATGTTACTTTTGGAGCCACAAGTCATCTACGTAATAAGCTTCGAGAAGATATAAGAGATGGCACCGTTCTCATCAATCGTGCTTCATCCACAGCTTCCACTGCAACCCAACTCATCTACAAAGCACCATTTCTCGAATACCGCCATCGGAAACCTCATGATGAAGCTCACTGCTGTTCTTGCCGCCTCCACTTCCGCGCTCGCTTCTGCGAGGCCCCAGTATGGTGCCGCAACTCCAGATCCACACGCTTGGATGCCTGCCTCCACAAACGACTGTAAGTGCAAACGTCAAAAGGACCATGCTATGGTTCAGAGCTGATACGCGCAGTCCGCGGTCCATGCCCGATGCTTAACACTCTAGCAAATCACGGTTTCCTTCCTCGCGATGGCCGCAACTTCACCCAGGAGAACGTCGTCAAGGGCCTGAAGGACGGCTTGAACTTTAATGGTTCACTTGGCGCACTCATGTGGCAGCAAGCCATTATCGCAAACCCTGAACCAAACGCTACGTTCTTCACTCTAGAGCAGCTCAACGTCCACAATGTTCTTGAGCACGATGCCAGTCTTACGCGTACTGATGCTGCCTTCGGTAACAACCATGTCTTCAATGAGACTGTATACAACACATCAAGAAAGTGGTGGACAGATGAGACCGTAACACCTGAGATGCTGGCTAATTCCAAGATATTTCGCCAGTTGGAGAGCCGCGCAACCAACCCAAACTACACCTTTACTGCTTCCACCGAGGAGTTTAGCTTAGGTGAAGTCTCGGCACCTATCATTGCCTTTGGCAGTTTGGAAGACGGTACCGTCAACCGCACGTTGATGGAGTACTTCTTTGGTAAGTTCGTTGGCAACGCGCAATCATGTGCGAGGAGCGGTGGTGCAGTAGCTGACAACTGGGCAGAGAACGAGCGTCTTCCTTTTGAGTTGGGCTGGACTCAGAAGACGGACGAGATCACCCTCATGAAGATCATGGCTACTACAGACATCATTCGCAACGCGACGAGTCTACTTACTGGTGGCGAAACTGCTGAGGATTCTCCTCATGGCAAACGCGATCTCCATGGTGGAATGTTCTAGAGGATCTCCGGGACCAGATATGATCCAACCGGCCATCAAGAAGTGTTGTGCGCAAGATCCTATAAGACACACGTGTTGCCTTGGTCTTGCACTGACAGCAGATAGTTATACATCATCTCACTATCATAACCTCTTTCGAGAGAACCCTTTTGTCTCCGTTGCGTCCCATTGGAGTTGTGATCAATCATCGGGTGGAGTTCCAAGCATTTTACTCCATACCCATAGCGCCCAGCAGGGAGCGCGTCATAGAAGCAGCGCAATTTATGCCAGTCACGGTGAATGATCGCATTCCTAGTCGTGTACTAGCCATAAGGCTAAGGAAATGTGCCCACTGCACGAACTGAACAGTGACCTGGTCAGCAATACCTGCGCGCTCACTGTGCATATGGTCCGTACTTAATTGCGGAGCCGCCGCACGAAACGTACATAAATGGACACAGGTCGGAGGCAACTGGTCTTCAATAGTATTTTAATGCCTTGCTTGTCTTGTTCATGACCACGGTACAGCCTGTAGAACCACCAACTCCAAGTTCGTCATTCTCGTCGATGAGCGATGCTATGTACTGGATGTCGACGACAAATGTTGACTACAAGCGATGTACAACGAGGTCTACGCGGCATGCAGGATATGGTAGACGACGTTCACAGGTAAGAAGATTAGGCTCAGCCGTAGTGTGTCAGCCCAATAGTTCCCTCTTCACCAGAGTCACGCAGAGGGCATCGCGCATACTCGACTGGTGATGCGCTGATGAAGCCTATATCGATATTATCTTTCCAGGCATCGGACAGTATTTTATCGTACTCGTGTGCTCGCTCAAGCAACGCGCCACCAACATAGAGCCGTAACCACCCACACACAGCGCCGCGCCAGCAAACACCATCCACTCTCGCAATCCATGATACTCCGGTGTTCGCCATGGGCGGCTCAAATGTGCTTGCGTACCCATTTGAGTCATCTGAGGCACTTCCGAAGCAGGTCGTGCTATCGCCGGCCAACGTCCGATATGACTGGGAGCCCCAAGGCCCCCATACCTGGCTAATCGTTCATCGTCCTTACCTATTGTCACCGAATGACAGCGTACTATCGCGCATCGATGCGATGCTTGCTTACGTACCGTGCAGAATCCTGGGCGCATATTCATTGCGCAAGCTGTGGTGTGAAACGATGACGGGGGTGGAGACAGCAGAAAAGAAGACGAATATGAAGCGCATGCCTTTTGATTGGTGGCCTTTGAGCTTTAATCAAATCGCGGCATGGAAGAAGATAGGTGGAACGTCCGAAGAAGAGGGCAAACCAGCAGAGGAACTCATCGTCTGACCCTGGATACACCGAACCAGACCCTGACTAGGAATTTGCTCTGGAAATGCTAGGTTGTGTTCGTGGAAACCTAGGTAGGCGTCATGGATGGACGCTGTCCAACAGGCGAACTTGGCGCATTTCGGCCCGCCGCGGTCGCCGCCAGTCAGCCTCCCCATTACTGGACACCACACCTCAACTTGACCCGACCACTGCGCATACATCCACTTGTTCACCACTTGATATTGCGCGATATCGGTACAGATGCTGATTGTACGTACCATGGATCGTAAGTCAAAAGTCTAGACCCTCGGTCGGTATTGTTCCGGTGCGGCCTTCTAAGTCATGGGAAACGAGTTGTCGATAGTAAAAACCTCCGCTCGCTTGGCGACGTTTTGAAACCGCATCCGTGCAGTCCATCAATCATGCCCACTATCATGCACACTACACGTGCGACATGAATAATTACCGCAGGCGAGGTGTGGGGTACAGGCGGTCTTACTCGTTCAGGAAGTAGGCGTCGCCTCTTCTAGCCTGGCGCTTGTGTACAGGGCGAAGAGTCGGAAATTTCAGGCATTGGTGGAGCTTCGACAACAGCGCTTTCTCATCTATTATATCTTGGCAACTGACACGAGAAGTACAGCGTCCATGACTGGTGACGGAATGCTTGATGCGAGATATCATAACGAAAGAGGCGGTCGTGGTGGGAGTATATATGGTACCTGGCACCTGTAGTTGTGGAGAGACAATTTATCTTTGACCTACAAGATCGCATCAACACCCATCTCCACCATCAAGGCAATATTTACTATGCGCTCTCTTACATTTGCTGCTGCAGTTGCAGCTTTGTCTACTGCCAACGCGAAAGACATCTACGTGTCGCCAGCAGGCACGGGAACGGGAACTTCTACCGCCCCCTTCGGCTCGATTCAATCTGCTGTCAACGCTGCCGTGGCTGGTGATGTGATTCTCCTTCGCGCAGGTACATACAAACCGACCACCAACATTCAGATCACCAAGAGCGGCACTAGGACTCAGCCTATCACTCTCCGTTCTTTCGAGAAGGAGAAGGTCATCATCGATGGTGAGGGGATGCCTGGAACGCCATACGCCTTGGACGCATCTCTACCGAACAAGGAGCGCGGTGCTTTCCATATCGAAAAGGCGAATTACTGGAAGTTTTACAACTTGGAGTAAGTAGAGCCGGCTGCCTTGGTCATCACCGTCACGCATACTGACCTATGTCCAGAATCATCAACGGCCCCTACGGTGTGTACGCCCGCGACGCCTCGCACAACCACTACGAGCTTTTAATTACTCACGACAACTACGAGACTGGCTTCCAGCTTCAGGGCGCATCGTCGAACAACACTGTCCTATACCTCGACTCCTATCGCAACCGTGACCCGCGCAAGAACGGCGAGTCAGCCGACGGATTCGCCTGCAAGGAAGGCTCAGGTGAGGGCAATGTCCTGCGCAATGCGCGCCTATGGGACAACGTTGATGACGGGCTCGACCTCTTCATGTTCGGATCGCCTGTGACACTGGAAGAGGTATATGCGTGGGGTAACGGCTTCAACCGCTGGGGCTTCAGTTCTTTCGAGGGCGACGGCAACGGTTTCAAGCTCGGTATCACGGATAACCCGCCCGCCAACCACATCGTGCGCAACTCCATGGCTTTTGCGAATGCGAAGAAGGGCTTCATCGATAATGGAAACCCGGGTAGCTTGACTTTCGAGCGCAACACCGCGTGGAACAACGGTGACGTGGGCTTCAATCTGAGGAGCTCCAGCTCGACCATGAACAACAACATCGCTGTGGCAAATGTGGGTAGTTCGCAGGTCAGCTTGACCGCGTCGGGAATCAAGGCTACGGGTAACTCGTGGCAGTCGGGTAGCTGGTCTAACTCGAGTTTCACAAGTGTTGACCCATCTACGCTGAAGAAGGCGCGTGGTGCTGATGGCAGGGTGCCTGCGAGCGACTTCTTGCTACCGAAGAATGGTGCCGCTATTGGTGCGACTACGCGAACCGACGTTTGATTTGACTCTGCAGTGGAGGTGGTTGGACGCCTTACTGTTTTCTCTTCTTGTAAATATTCCATCGCACACGTTTGTAAATATCATAGTGTCTTACTCGTTGCATAACTTTTCTGTTAAGAGCCCTTGACATTGCGTACTTATTATTAATGACTTGGAGCGATGATTTTCGACATTAAAGTGACTGTTTCAATAGCAAGTTTTCCCTGCTCTCCAAGACTGTTGCCATTGGGCGATTTCCTGGTAGTTGTGATATACCTCATTGATGGGTACCTTAGCGTACGTGCAAGGCATGTGTCACGGAGGTTATGACTGGCTCGTCCAGAATGGATCGTCGCTGTAGTTTCTAGGGTAGTACTGCTAACATTGCGGCTCCGCGAGTACCTTATATGGGAGCGTTTGACAAAGAAGGGGCACGCTCTCCCTGCATTCTTGTACAAGAAACGGACCGATATGGCTATGACCACTTAAGGACTTACCTGTGATTGAAGAATCAGACTGACAAAACCTGCATCAGATTTCCGCTCGGATCGATGATCCCGCCACGGCCACCTTTCCCAATTCTCTGTGCACCCTGTGCGATCTACCATCATGAGGCTTCTTGGATGGAAGATTGTTGAGGTTTTCAGGCACCTTCGGCCCGAAGGCTTGGCCAGCAGCCCCAGCTGAACCTGCATCGGCTCTCCTTCGGCGCTGAGTCTGCATCGAGGCGAATGTCGCGCCTATGCGTTCCCATCTCTGAATCGATACATGCAGATGCTTGAGTATACGTTCGCTCACATGTTCGTCGAAAGAATGATGTGGTGACAACAACTCCTTCACTCTGTCTAGTGATCACTTGATTGTCGTCGGTCCACGTGCAGTCGAACCTATATGTGCCGGCGGATCCGTTTACAGTCTCTTTTGAGGCGATGAAGGTGTAGATCTTGACGCAGAAGTCGCAGTCGTAACAGCACTACTGTAGTCTTCGTGTGCGCTAGCGTCCATCTCAAGGAGGCAGGGGTTGCCGAGAAAGCAAGGAACACCAATCACAACGGGCATCTACGACACTGCAACAACCGAACAGAGCCCGACAGGAACCTCATCCATATCACCGTCCCCACTGGCACGCAAAATTCCGATAATTAGCCAAGGTCTGGACGTCACGAGAGTGATGCGATGCGCACGCAATGCGCGCCGTTCGTAGGAACTAAGATTGCGGAACAGCGGCAAGTGGGCGAACGGCCGCTCGAAGCTAGTACTCTCCGTGCTCTATCGATGGGTACTTGCTTCCGCTTGCCGACTGTTACATTGGTCCACTTATCACGAGACGAACCGGATAATAACAGCTATAGTAGCGTTCTTACTCTACAAACAGTGATTCCAGCGCATGGCTCGTGAAACTTGAGTTCCACGACCCCGAGGCAACCTAGGTAGCGTTGAACAAGAATCTTCATCTCCCATGGACAGAGATGCATAGATGCGGTACAGCACAATCATACCCCGTCTCGGCTATCACGAGGTTTAATTGAGTGCTGTCGCAGTCGCAGCAGCATCATCGCTCCAGAACGTGGGGTCTTCGAGCGTAGCGATTGCGCTTCCCCGCAATTGCAGTTGCAACATAGTTCGCGCCACGGCATGCAGGGATCAAATCGCCTTACCTACCGATGCCGCAGTCATCGAGCTAATCATTCTGCGCTAGCGGGAGCGGAGACAAAATGGTATCAGTCGACCGTCCTGCATCACCGGTTCAGGGACGCGCTGAGCGGATCTGCTTTACTACGCCAGTCAACCAAGGATAAGAACAGTCTAATATGCGTCCATTCGGAGTACAACATCGTATATCGTCAAAGAACGGGAGCCCCTTTTGAACAAGGAGCAGACAACGCTACTGATGATGCCTGGCAACGCTCGGATACGCACGTCGCGCGCGATGCGCCAGTCCTTCTATGAGCAATCCATCAATACGATCAAGTAGCCACGGCAAGCTTGTCGACAATCAGACTGATCAACAGGCTTAGCCGACTATCTAGGTTTGCAAGTTCCGACGTTCGGCTCGTGCAGAATCCAAGTCGAAATCACGCCGCCTATCGGGCCGCTTGACTCTTGATAAGTCCGCTTACCCACTCGTCCACCACATCTCCATACGATCATGACGTCCCGTCAGATCGACAAAGGCATATAATCGAGTTATCTTCTCAAATGCTAAGTCTAGCAAGCTGAAGAAGGAGCGGAGCGACTGTTGTAAAAGCATTGGAAGATCGGAAGTGTAGCATGTCAGCAAGGCTATTAAGGCGTCCCATGGCACCAATGTCCCGAGACCTGACCGCATGTAGGCATGCCCAAACACGAAGAGCGAGATACGACAGTAGTGTCACACCAGAACACCAAGAGTTGTATGATCAGCCCCGCGTGTCGCCTAAGTTACAAGGTGCCAGAGTCCTGGATCATGTTGTTGATGCGGCGGTCGGAACTTTTACATGGGATCGATGCTGCATCCCTGCCGGCATATCAAAGTTTAATCGCTGTAGGCACTCGCTTGTTCGCGCATGACCACTCATGTTCCAGATTGCATCCCAGCTGGTTGATTCAGGGCCTGTAACCTAAGAATGTCTCACGGCACTTCCACGGCTAACATCCCGGGCGGCACAAAACCCTCGATTCCGTGCAGTGCTAGCTCAAGTCATCTTCGAATGATTAACAAGTCCCCACCCCCTCGTTCCGCTTCTCCGCTGCAATACAAGAGGTCGCTCCCCAACCGTCTCCCAGAGGATTATCCCCTGTCAGTTTATCTTGTCTTCCTTTACCAGCGAGCATTCTGCCATAGTACCCACGCCCTTTCCAGATCCTGTCGGCCGGTTCTGTCATCGCAAAAGTCTTATATCGATTTTTCCCACTCCTAGACCACCTCCAATGCGAACTCGATAGCTACCTACGAACGCCGCAATGGGTTTCAAGCCGGACGCTGGCGTGATGTGCGCTATGACCATCACGTTCGGTGTCGCTACAATCCTCCTAATCTGTCGCATAATCTCTCGAAGGATGACAAATGTGGCGCTGTGGTTGGATGATTACTTTGCTATGGTTTCCTGGGTGGCGGCTGCTCTTTACTGTGGTTTTGCATTATACTGTAAGTTGGTATCTACCAAACGGCTCCACAACTTTTCTTCAAGCCGCAAAGTACCAACATACTGACTCTTACTCGACAGGGGCGCTTGTAATGGGTCTCGGCCACGTGAAAGCAGACATTCCTCATCCTGCAGAAGAGGTTGACGAATACGCTCGGTTTGGGCTTTTCATGGCCGAGTTCCTATATGCATGGTCGCTTGGAATGTCCAAGCTAGCTATTCTATGCTTCTATTGGCGCCTGTTCAGTGTCTCCAACATCCGACCAGGGATCTATATCCTCGGCGCATGCACCATAATCTGGCTTACCATTCGAACCTTCATGACTATTTTCCACTGCATACCAGTTCAAGCGTACTGGAATTTCAACATCAAAGACGCTGTGTGCACTATTGACCCCGGCAAGTTTATGTTCGGCACGACCCTGGTTCATCTTCTCCTTGAGATCTCAGTCTTGCTGCTGCCTGTGTTCCAGGTGGCCAGTCTCAGACTTCGCCCGGGTCAGAAATTTGCTGTTGTGGCCATGTTCATGTTCGGTATCTTGTACGTTCTTTTCCATATCTTGCTTTTTTCTTTGCTACGCTATCTTTGTACATCGTTGACTAACTCGTTCTTGTAGTGTCTGTGCTGCGTCAATCGTAGTACTCATTGTGGCAATCAATCTGAACGCTAAGACGACAGAGATGTCCAGGGATGTCAAAGGCGTCATAATCTGGGCAGGCACGGAATCATACTTGGCTATCATCTCTTGTGAGTATTTCCGCAATCCGAAATGGCCAACGTTTTGAGTACCGATGCTGACTTCTCCATCACAAGCATGTCTCCCCATAACAAGACCCGTCTTCCGCAAATTTCTGTCCGGCTCCATACTTGGCTCCAAGTCCCACTCAACTGGCCCGAACCCTCTCAGCGATTTCAGCGGCAAGGGCATTAAACTCCGGAACAGTCATCGAACGAAAGAGCTGGACGATAATAGTTCGGAGCGGCAACTTGCTCAACACGAGGATGGGTCGTCTGGCCGTGGTGATATGTACTATGAATCTTATGCGGAGCGCGGGGGATACAACAAAACTGTTGTTAGTCGCGTGGACGAGGTATCTGACGGCAACGCTAACGCTCCGGGAACGTATGGCATTCAAGTCAGGAATGAGACTAATGTACGTTATGAATCCATTTGAATGAAAGGTTGAGGGCTATCCAACTTGCTCTCATCAAGTGATCTCCTTATACATCTTCATCATCATATATAGCTTGTAATAAGACTTATGGTTCCCTTTCTTCCCTCTATCACTCTATGAGCAGTTCGTGGTGGACGCTGTTGAGGACAACTCACTTAGTGATAGCCAAGAAGAGTTCGGCACTTATGTGCTCCGCTTAGTTAATGCAATAGGGAGTGCTAAGTCACCATTGAAGCAAAGAGAATGTTAAGGCAGCATGGAGTTTATATTTTGGAGAACTACGGAGTCGGTATACCATCATCGAGGATTGGGAATCCTTCATCGTTGAAGTATACTGATTGGCCAGTGCGGTAAGAATGCTGAAGAGCAGTACATATCTTTCCTGCCTCAAAAGCATCTTCTGCAAGGCAAGTCAAAGGCTTATCAAAGAGAACCGCATTGGTAAAATCAGTGATATCTGTTTGAAATGTCTCGGGGAAAAGCTTGAAGGCATCAGGCACAGTCTGCTTGCGAACGCCATGCTTATCCCGAATCTCGACGTTGCTAGCAGAACTGACGATACTGTGCCCTTTTGTACCGCACACGCGTGTTGAGTCCTCAAACCCGTTTGTCGTTGTCCTAGCGAGATGTGTTGTCCAGACCTTACCATTGGTAAACTCAACGAAGCCCCAGGCATTATCAGCATCTCCGAACGCGGCGAGATCAGTGTACACAGCTCGTTGACCGATAGCTGTAACTCGCTTGACTTGCTTCTTCGGGTTTGCGAGGTTGGACTTTACGTCCAAAAGATACCGCCCAGTATCGATCTGAAGGAGGTTTAGTAATGATCTCTCCAAATACAAGGAGGACTTACGTGATGAATACCCATGTCAAGGAAGATGCCGCCGGAATGAGCAGCAAATGCAACGAAGTGACCTATGACTCTTAGCTTACGACATAAAGCATCTGATCCATATGCGTTCGCTTACCAGCAGGATCTTGGACGTCGCTCATCCAGGTCTCAACCGCGTGAATCTCTCCAAGTTCGCCGCTCTCAACAAGGGCCTTAGCCTCACGATACGACTTATCATCTGAATCAGAGTAAGCTTTATCCTTTGCTTAGTGGGAAACGCATCCGCTCATAAGGGCGGTAAACATACATCGTCGAGTAAACGGAACAAGGAATTTGAGATCTGGTCGAGATTGGGCCTTTTCTATCACAGTGGCAGTGGTGATAACGTCTACGGAGATGGGCTTCTCACACATGACGTGTAGTCCTAGGTCGAGTGCTTGAACGATTAGCGGAGCATGTGTAGCTGTAGCTGTGCAAATCAAGACAGCCTGTGCTCCGCTACGTTTGAGGCACTCTTCTGGGTTTGTGAAATGCTTGACTGTTGACGGCAGGTTTTCCGCAGCCCACGCATCGGTTCCTGGCTTGGTATCGCAAACAGCAACCAACTCGACAAGTGGTTGCTCGTATGCTAGAATCCGGGCTCGGATGACACCTAGACGACCTAGGCCGAAAAGGGCGAGTTTGAGACGAGGAATGACATCCATTGCGATGATGTCTGCGTCTTTTATGGTCTGATAGTGAGGACGGGAGATTTCGGGTCAAAGATATGGCGAAGAAGACGAGACGAAAGGATACTTTAGGCCTGCTCGAGAGGATGAGATCAAAAGGTATCTCAAGTCGATTGTCTTCGAAGATTAACCCTAGTGACGAATTCGGCTGCTATTCAAAATGCTCTCTCTCGAACCCTATATATTCGCTGCAAGACTACCAATGTACCTAGTCCACTCAACATTTCGGCGAATCGCTCTCCGTTCGCAACCCAGTGCAAGACACTGGGTGGCATCCGCTAGTGAGATGTCCGATTCCGGGCCTGCGGTAGGGCACGATGCGGCTTTAGCCCTGAGGTCTCCGGGGGCCCCACTACTGGTGCGGAGAGGCGCTATCCCTAACCTGGCTATTTTCGCCGACTGATGACCAAGATACCCGAAGCAGGCGACTTCCCCCACAAGTAACTTTACTCTCCGTCTTTTACCACCCTCCCCAAGACTCCTCAATCCTGAGCGCTCACGTGCGTACCATGCCTCCGCAACGCCGGCCGAGAACCAGACCATGCGAGCAATGCAAGCGTTAGTGGAGACTAGGCAGGTTCTTATGTTGCTCACGATGCTGACAATAACCACGTGGAAGTGAAACACCTAAAATGTACGTTGTGTATCTCGCCCAGCATACTCTATCTGGTTAGATTTATCTGATTATGATCCTGTGGCTTGCTAGGCAATGGTGAATGTCCTTGCGCATGCTGCCAGAAAGCGGGTGTCGAATGCAAGCCTGGCAATCAATCTCTGCGCCTTAGAGTGTATACGCCACCGACAAAGAGGGCTGGACCCGAGACAGACCCTGTACCTTCACCAAACCATGCTCGTGAAGTCTTATCCACATTCGCTGTCCCTATATTGGGTTCAGACTGTGTGCCACCTCTTGCGTACTGTTCGCCGTTCCACTCGGGTGGACGGCGTGATACGAACGGGCATCCACCAGTGAACACAAGTCCGATCCAGAATTCCTTTTCAGGAGACTCGCCACTGTCCCAATCCCAATCGGCTGGCGGCAGAGAGCGGGATGCTCCTCCTAGGACTGTGGCCCGAAACCGTCTAACATATGATGGAGGGCAGACAGCTCTGCTTGACGAGGGTTCGGATGTTTTCGGACCATCCCCAAGTATGCCTAGCTATTCCGGAGATTCGGATAGAGGCGAGGTCATTGCGTCAGACCTAGGACCAATGTTGCTTCCATCCTGGAGCTTCCAAGACGCGCCTAACCCTCCTACAACGCCTGGTCCATTGAGCCCGCAAAAAGCATGCCTTATTCGATGCTTCGCACAAGAGCTGGCAACAACAGTAAGTGGTGAAAGCCATCAAGGAATTCTAGGTACATAGTTTTGACTTTTGATACTTAGTTTGATACGACGGACAGAACCGGCCATTTCGCTACGCATCTTCCTATACGAGCTTTGAGAAATTCCTTAGTCCTCAATGCTATATGCGGGATCTCCGCTCAATATCTGCTACGAATGTCGACGGAGTCATCATCACCAGGAATGGTTGAGTTCCAAGGAACAAAGCTGCCACATCTTACCGAGGAGTCAGTGATGCAATACCAGAGCACATGCATTAATCTTCTTATCGATGCTTCTGCTAATCCAGAGGAACATGCAGATGGCGACATACTGTCAGCTATCACTATACTTCGATTCCATGAACAAAATGATGGTAAGAGCATGACCCCTGCCCCCTCTTCCCAACTATCTTGCATCTGCATCTGGCAGTCGGCTTCGACTTTTCCAAATTGGAAATCATGATCTAACACAATCCTCCCAGTTTTGATGACCGGATCAGATTTCGAGGTGTTTCAAAGAGCGGTGCAACACAACTTCGAAACGCAGTTCGCACAAGGGCGTGGCTTGGGACAAGCTCTACACAGCCTCTTTACCCCACTCCCCATCTTTCAACCAAATCATCTATCTGCGAATATTGCGGCATACCTGGTAGCTCTGCGGATGGAAATATGGGCAGTGCTGTTGTATCAGCGTCCCATAAGACTGCCCCTCCCATCGTTCAAGGACTGCCGACATGTCCACGATGGCGAAATGGATGACGACTACTTGTGGACCAGGAGAGTCCTCGTATGGTGCGCGCACGTGCTAAAGCTGCATTTTGGTAGCGATAGGTTCGATGTGAGCGACGATGGTTACGCGAGCGCATCGGACCTGTGGGGCGCGCTGAAGGCCTTCGAATTCGATTGGGATACGCGACCACCATCCTGCTTCCAACCACTCTATTACCGGCAGAACGCGCCGCAACAGGGACGCTATTTCCCCGAGTTGTGGTTGGCCAACCCATGTCAAGTCATGGCTCTCCAGCACATCGAGTTCGGGCGGATGATGCTAGCTAGCCACGAGGCACAGCTCCAGAATCGGAGGCTAGGAGGCGGCGAGCTTGCCTCCCAAGCTTCCGAGGCACTCTTCCTGCATTCCATGAGAACCATCTGCGGGCTCGCAGCATGCCACTCGGATCGACATGAGGCACTCACGGCCGCTGCTGTTGCGATTTCCATGTGCGGTAAATACGTGCGCGACGCTGGGGAGCGATCAGCTTTGACGTCAATCCTCCACAAGCTCAGAACTGACTTTGCTTGGAATATCAGCCATGCTGTGAACGCACTCAATGATGGGGCTGGGGATGCGACTCAAGGTGAGATACGTACGTAGTGAGCATAAGCTGCACGAAAATGTCGATCACCTCTTGTCGCGCTATGCTTTTGATGAGGCGTTCGAACTGTTTATGATAGTGACACGGCTCACGTGAAGATGGTGAGGCATGGCAAAGAGAACCTTCCAACACAGAGTCATATAACCTTAGCGGACAGTAGCTTTTATGTTCCTTGTAGCAATCCTACCCTACCCCATCTAGCGGGAACTTGCTGGGGGACCATACCAGTCATCAAATCCGAGATCCCATCCCCACAACGGTGTGTTCATGCGCTTTGCCTTGCCTTTGGCAGCCAAATCATCCAGTAGCCCTATATCCTCATCGGACAACTCAATGACTGTCTTGTTGCTGATGATCCTCTTCTCATGTACAGACTTTGGCAAGACTACCACTCCCTTGTTAACATGGTAGCTGATCAGAGCTGTAGCAGGAGACACATCGTATTTCTTTGCGACACCCTGCACACTTTCGTCGGACATGATAGGTGCGCCTAAAGGGAGGCTGATGTTAGCAACAACTAAATATAATTGTTCAACGTGAAATCTCTTCCACTCACCTGCTGACCCGAGTGGGGAATACGCCTCTAGCAGTATATCATGCTTTGCACAGTACTCCCGAAGCTTGTGCTGAGGCAGGAGAGGGTGTAACTCCACCTGATTGACTGCGGGGACGACCTTCCAAGTCCTGCTTAGTTTCTCTAGGTAAGGAATCGACCAGTTGGCGACTCCAATGGCCTTGACTTTGCCAGATTTGTAAACCTCTTCCATCTGGCGCCAAGTTTCACTTTGATCCCACTCTCGGTCAACAGATCGTGTCCCGTCCGGATTCACGGGGAGAAGCTCGCTAGATTCGTTCTGTGCCAGGGTTTCCGAATTAGTTACTTGCTACATGGTCGACTGATCGAGGGGAGGCTCTGCACCTACGGGGACTAGGCGCACCGGCCAGTGGATGAGCTATTGGAATATTAGATAATTGCTCCTTGGTGCATCCATCGAGATGAAGGATCGTTACGTACGTAAAGATCGAGGTAGTCTGTGCCCAAGGCGTCTAATGACTTTTGTAGACCCTCTTTAACGTTGGGCTGGTGGGTGTTCCATAGCTTGCTCGTCAGGAATATCACCTCACGAGGCACACCACTATCCTTGATACCTTGGCCAACCTCATTTTCATTACCTAAAGGAAGACGACATGTTAGCATTTGAATCGTATTTCACATATCTCGCGATAGGCTGGTAATTCCAGACGTACCATAAATCCTACGTAGCAATCAGTAAGAGCAATCTTCATCGCTGTTGGAGACGATGGGGACGTCACTACACCTACAACGCTGCATCGATATGACGGTATCCCTGCTTTAGGGCGAAGGATACTGCGTCGCGGACCTCGCCTGGCTCCGACCTCCAGGTACCTTCCCATGAACAGTTAGCTATTTTTTCCGTGTTTTTGTTTCCATTTCTGAGATGAAGCTTACCCAAGCCAACAGCAGGAATGTTCGCTCCTGTGTTGAGTTTGAAGTGAGAAGCTACAGGGGCCATTGTGATCGTAGTCGTGTTTTGTTGGTTGAATGATTTTATTCTTCGACTGGCCTTTGGGTCCTTTGAGCGAACGAAGGGTCCCCACTTTCAATATGATATGTGAGCGCAAAGATTAGGTAATAAATGTGGAAGTCTAGCAATTTGAAAGACTAGTTGGGCTTGATATTTGATTATCCTTGTCACGTTTATGTAGTGGCAAGATGTCAACTTAAAGGACGAGAGCTTGGTAGTTAACCTCATGTTCGCCGAAATCCCAGCATGCCATCTCTGCCGGAACAATGGGTCCAAAAAGAATGCTCCGCCGAAGAAGACCTACGTTTGCGTCTGGAAACAGCAAAATCTGCGTTCCGGAGGAGCTTGACTATCATCCTATCCACCATGACATAATCCCGCAGATGTTTAATGTATCCCAGTGCTGTTTGCTTTTGGTTCGCTCGGATCACTAAACATCTGCCGCTTCCCCCGCAATGCGGCTCTTCCTGTGTCGGCCGCACAAGCAACAAAACTTGGTTGCGTCGCCGAATATTGACTAATCGGGCTATGTTGGCCGGTGGCGCCGCCCGTCCCCGTGGGAATCCCCGGGTTATGCACAGATGCGACCAAAACACGGCTAGCTCGAATGGCCTCCCTTCTCAGATAGCGATTGTCTTCAGAACGTTAGTACCTTAGAGCCCGGCACCAAGAGTTGTGGGGTTCTGGCCAATGCAGTCCTTCATGCAATGACTCGATCTTAGGCTCCGATTCATGCGTTTCCCAATCCACCCCGTACATATCCACGCCCCATGGGGTCGGTGATGCTAGAACATCGGACCTTTTGAACGTTTCCAGTCTCTTCTCGTTCAGAGGCTTACCTCCTCTATCGCGGAAGACTTATAAAGCTCTTCGTTCTCTTCTGCAACCTTCCTCTCAGTCACCAACTCTCTCCACAAATAACTATCTTCTTATTCTTCACCCACAATCTCACCATGGAGAAGAGCGACCCCTACGATGACATGTCGAAAGCAGATGCAGACGTTGCCAGGGTGGAAAACATCGAGGACAATACGATGGTGGTAGTCAACGACACCGACATCTCGTACGGAAAGAGCGGCATTCCAGGACTCATTGGATCGCCTTACGTCTTCGGAGCAGCTCTCCTGGCGTCGTTAGGTGGCTTTTCCTTTGGTTACGACCAAGGAGTCATCTCTATCATCAACGTTATGCCACAGTTCCACGCCGTGTTCCCTAGGACGGAAACTGCATTCGGCAAGAGTTTTATGACTGGCATGCTGGAGCTTGGTGCCTTCATCGGGTGCCTCTTCATGCCGGCGTTGGCCGATAGGATCTCGCGTAAATGGGCTTTGACCGTCGCTGTCGTCATCTTCAACATTGGTGCTATCATGCAGACGGCGGCTCCGAATTACGCAGTACTAGTTGCTGGGAGGACTATAGGTGGTGTTGGTGTGGGAACACTAGCAATGGTGAGGGTGACTCCTTGTTTTTCTGCTACTTCACAGAGCCAATTCTCTAACTCGAACACGTTAAAAACAGGGTGCACCTATATACATATCGGAACTCTCTCCACCGAACCTTCGAGGTACCCTACTAGTGTTGGAATCTATCTGTATCGTATCCGGCGTCGTTATCTCCTTCTATACCACTTACGGCACGCGTCACATCGCCAGCGAGGCATCTTTCCGACTTCCTTTTGGTCTACAAATGGTCAGTGCCACATTTCTTGGTGTCGGACTACTTTTCTATCCCTTTTCGCCTCGATGGCTCGCCCTAGTTGGTCGCAGAGAAGAATGTCTTCAGAGTCTGAGGCGCCTACGAGGTCTCCCGGAAACCGATCCTCGCGTGCAGGCCGAGTACAATGCCATCCTTACCGAGGTAGAGATTGAGAAGTCGATCCAAGAGAAGCACTACCCAGGGGTTTCTGGTTTCAAGCTAGAGATCCTAGGCTGGCTAGATCTACTTAAGAAGAAAACATGGCGTCGCACGGCTGTAGCTGTAGGCGCCACCTTCTTCCAGCAGTTTTCTGGAGTCAATGGCTTCATCTACTACGCCCCAACTTTGTTCGCCTCTCTTGGTCAAGACCCAGAGATGGCGCTTACTATGTCGGGAATCTTCAACATCCTGCAGTTAGTAGGTGTGGCACTTTGCTTCGTCATCATCGACCACGTCGGCCGCAGACCTTTAGCTATCTTTGGCGCACTCGGCGGCGCTATCACTTGGGGTATCATGGCGGTACTGACTGGAATCTACTCGGACGACTGGTCTGCCAACACTTCTGCGGGATGGGCAGCCGTGGCCATGGCGTTCATCTTCATCCTGGTATTTGGAATGTCCTACTCTTGTCTTGGTTGGGTTTTACCAGCGGAGGTATACACGGGCAGCTCTCGAGCCAAGGGTGTCGCTATGGCGGTGTGTGTGAACTGGCTCTGCAACTTTGCTGTTGGTGTCGCTACTCCACCAATGCTTGAGAGCATCGGATTTGGTATGTACGTATTCTATGGGTCTATGTGCTTTCTGGCGTCTATATGGGCATACTTTCTGGTTCCCGAGACGATGGGCAAGACTTTGGAGCAGATGGATTTTGTTTTTGGGGACAATGCAGCCCAGGAAGAGAGGGAGATTCTTGAGACTCGTGTGCGCCGAGGAGTCGGAGCTGATCACGGAGTCGTCTGAGGCCGATCAGTGAAGCAGAGGGATCAGGCTAGCCAAGGTTCTAATTCCTAACATAGAGCTGATGATGGGTGTGCGAAGGTTGAGTTTGAGCCGTTTGTAGTGAATGAAGGACAGATCCGCCATTTCGTGGTAAATGCCTCCGTGACCAAAGGAAGACAGCATCTCCGTGTCTATGTGATGGGCGGTATTGGGAAGCGCTAACGCTTATGAGGATGACCCTGCATACGAGTGGCATATGTCTACTACATCGTATACTATGCTTGCTGTCCGTTCCAAAATCTCATCCGGACTTGGATAGTCATTCACAGCATGTGGTAAATCAACGCCAAATGTACGTAGTGGCTATATGGTTGAGGCGAAATGTGAGACTAAGATAACAGAGGAAGCCTGCTATCCACATCGTTAAGTGCAGTCATCATCATCCGTAGTAGGCCTCATTATCGATGGAAAACCATGCGTATGGAGAGGAAAGGTCTCTGCGAATAGAAGGAACAAGATGTACGGTTGGAAGTCACCCATGAAAGTGCCGATACTATCTCGTGTCTTCGGATTCTTTTCAACCACCGGACATGCGATTCGCCCGAACATGGATATCATGTCCCCTTCGGATCGCAAGCCGGCCATTGTGCGGAGTCGGACTTTGGGATCACGGAGCTACATCGCGACCAAGGTTTCCTGCAGTATCGCAGAATGTCAAGTTCTCTACATAACATGGACAATACGACCCACCTTTCGGTGGGACGGCATCTATGGACGCTGAGTTACTTAGGAATCTCTATGGAATGTTCGGCGAAAATTACTGGTTTGGGTAAAGCGTTGGTTGCGTCTGCTGTCTGCTATCTTCGGCGGTACCCCACGTTCCGCCTTCCCGCGTTTCCAGCACCAACAACGTCAAGAACTGCAGACTGAACAGGTTATGCGAACGGCCACATCTGCCATTCTTGTCATTGGTTTTCCAAGTCTCGGTCCCTCTTAGCCATGGAGAACCAACCGCCGAAACTTGGACCCCACTTGAGCAGGCATGCAGTACTGCATGGTTCAGACATGTGTTTTCCGCCGATGCATGTCCCTCCAAGTAATGCTAGGCAGTCTTGCTATCGCGGAATACACCTCTATCGATTGACCTGACGATATAAAAGACCGCCATGATGCTCCATGCTGTCAGTTGTAACTGGCAGCATCAAGTCTTTTGTTGACCTTTCGTCTCATCTTTCACGCCTCCAGATACAAAAGACCCACTGCGCGAGACGGAACGATGGGCTCTATTGATACAATCCCTGCGCCTGAAATCAAGACCGACATCGTCATCGGTAAAAATGAGGTCCCGAAGCCTCCTGTCGCGGATGACTTCATGTACGACTTCAAATACAATCACCCTCTCCCGACGACCGACGTACTAGGAATCGATATACCGGCCGATTGCAATGCTCAACTTGAGGCAGAGGGCATCGTGGAGAAACTCTCTACTGTTATGAGAAAGGGGGACGCTAACGCATTCGCCGATCTCTTCCTCGACTATGGTGAGTCTGCCTTCATTGTGTATCTTCCCAGTTCACTACCCGACAGTGGGCATGGCGTACATTCTAGCTGTAGCTGACATCCACTCCTCAAATTCACAGGCGTGTGGCGTGATAAGTTGTCATTCACATGGGATTTCCGTACGTTCAATTGGCGACCAGCGATCCTGAGAGCCGCGACCGACTTATTCCCCCGAACTCGAGCTAGGAACTTCCACTTCCTTAATCCCGCGCCAAAGATTGCTCGACCATATTCCGATTTCGCCCACCTGCAATTCGTCGTTTCCTTCGAGACCGATGCTGTAGTCGCTTCAGCGGTCATTAATTCTGTTCTCACAAAGAATGATGGATGGAAGATCTACACAATGCATACAGTCGCAGAGGAGCTCATCGACCATCCTGAAGTTGCCCCTGAGGATGGCCACATGACTGGTTTGATTAGCTGGGAGAAGCAGAGAGCACTGGATGTTGACGCTGCTGACCCTGAGGTTTTGATCATTGGTGGCGGACAAAAGTAAGTACCCTAACCCAGCCCCCATATTATCTCCTTCCTTTCCTTCTCGTGTCCGTATGCTCTACTCGGTTGCCAAGCGGTAGTAGTATCGGGATTATACTTACTGACCCGCGTATCACAGTGGATTGGCCATGGCCGCACGACTGAAAGCCCTCGGCATGGACAGTTTGATCATCGAGAAAAGCGACGAGATCGGTGATATCTGGCGGAAGCGTTACGAATACCTCTCCCTCCACTTCCCTCACTGGCCTGATGCGCTACCGTACTTCCCATACCCTAAGGGTTGGCCAACCTATACCCCGGCCCAAAAGCAAGGCCTTTACATGCAGTGGTACGCTTCAGCACTTGACCTGAACGTCTGGACCAAATCCACTGCCACCAATGCCAAGCAAGATGAGCAAGGCCGTTGGACCGTCACTATAAACAAGGAAGGCAAGGAAAGCCGAGTACTTCACCCTAAGCAGCTGGTCATGGCCACCTCGCTCTGTGGCTTGCCCTCAATGCCAGATGTGCGTGGCTTGGATAGATTCAAGGGCACGATTCGGCACTCTAGTGCTCATGACAGCTCTCGAGGCTTCAAGAAAGTTTGTGTCGTTGGAACATCGTCTTCTGCTTTCGACACAGCTTATGACTGCTCTCGTCGCGGCATCGATGTCACCCTCCTCCAGCGATCCCCGACCTATGTCATGTCTCTTACTCACTCCGTACCGCGTATCTTAGGAGGCTATGCTCCGGATAGCAGAACCCGCGATATCCCGAAACTAGAGGAGCAAGACCGGCTCTTCTTCGCAACCCCCTGCGGTCCTGGTGAAGAGCTTGGCAGGCGCAATGCAAAGGTTCTCGAAGATCTCGATAAGCCGCTTCTCGATGGCTTGAATGCTAAAGGCTTGCGGACGTGGAGGGGTCAGCGTAACACAGGCAATGCGACATTAGGTCAAACTCGCAACGGCGGTTTCTACTTCGACGCAGACGCTTGCAAAGAGATCATTGACGGCAAGATCAAGGTTGAGCAGGGTTATATCGACCACTTCACGGAGGATAAAGCGGTCTTGAGTGGAGGTCGAGAGAGAGAATTCGATCTAGTTGTATTTGCGACTGGTTTCACAAACACGATCGAATCTATCCGCGCTACACTTGGAGATGAGATCGCGAGTAGAGTTGGACCAATATGGGGTGTAGATGAGGAGGGAGAAGCCAAGACAGCTTTCAGGGAGTCTGGAGTGCCAAACCTTTGGATTATGGTTGGCTTCCTCCCCATGACTCGTTACGTTTCCAAGCTGCTTGCGTTGCGGCTGAAAGCACTCAAGGAAGGTATCTCCCACCCGCCATATAAGAGTTGAGTACCATTCGTAGTAGCTTAGTGAATATATCCCTGTAGACAAGACACTCCATACGCATGCTTCTCTCGGGCCTACTAATCCATCAACTACATACGCACGTTGGATCTACGTTGCACTTTGACTATCTTTATATCACCTGTCCCAAAATGAACTGCGAGTAGAACATATGCTTTTCATCATCAATGTGGCATCACGAAGAATGCTACATATAGTTATCTTAGCAGTAGCTTAAGCCAAGTAGTTTTAGTTAAATGATAGTAGCAAAAGGAGTAGAAGTCAGGTTTGCGCTATACGTCCGTACCCGTGTAAGATGATGCTTAATCATCTCGATATGTCGGCGAAGTGCTTGTTTCCTACGACCAACAATGACCAGCTGATCGTCTCACGGCCACACCGGAAGCTTACTCTAATACAGCCAGGACATACTATCGAGATTCAAGCGCCCGTTTTTATCTCTAATATCTTTTACTACATGTATGGGAATCTACAATTAACATAATGGTGATTTTCAGAAAGAACTCTGTTTTGTCGAAATATATTATCAAGCAGTTGCGAGTACACGCGTAGATGTGAGCCGACTATCGATTTGGAGTAAACCATTTCCTACTCAATCTCAACGACAATCTTCCCAGTTGGGTACAGAGCCGCGATATCCTGTAAATCGGTCATACCAGATCGGCCTTCGAAGAAGCCGTCCTCTGGCTCCATAAGGAGTCCGATACGTTCGTAGACATGAACATCTGGATACAGGCGTCGGAGAACGAGCGAGGCACGCACTTGGCGTGAAGGCAAATCTTCTCTAGTTTGCAGACACAATAGCAAGCAAGTGATCTCATCCTCTTCAGCCATAGTACCAGCGAATGTAGCATCAACCTCTGGCTGGTGATCTAGATGTATTGCATGCTCAAACCCACTCGAGAAGCGAACAACATCTTTGACCGTCTCTAATCCCATAATATCTAGTACCCCAGGCTTTCGGAGCCATGTGACACTTGCGCATCGACCGCGGAGACGGAGACTGCCTGAACAAATTTCTCCGAAGATGTTCAGTGTTTTGTGAGATATCTCGTAGCCAAGAATTTCGACACAGGTCTCATACCGTGGTACAGGTACATCTAGGATACCGGGCTTCACGGCATTGCTGCTGTAGAATCCGACACTGCCGTCTACACTCGCCCAAGACCATGACGGAGCCCTCCACAACGGCTTTGGCTTCCGACTAAGAGTTCTTGTGAGCCACGTCAAATCTTCGATAAGTGTTCGGCTCCAGATCCCGGCAAGATAATCGTTATCGGACTGTGCAAACAGTTTCGCTAAGCCTCCCAACGCTACCAGTTTGTCGGTCGAGTAGCTCAGCTGTAGTTGTGTATACAATGCAATAACACTTTTCCAGATTACCGATTGATTCGTAAGCACCTGGCTTGGACCATCATGTATGAAAGTCTTCGGAGCCAATAAGGGATTCTCAAGCTTGCAAATGCCACGACACTCACACCGAGCCTCCTTGACGCATTCAAAGAACAACTCATTAGATGTGAAGTGCAAAACTCTTGGTGATAGTAAGCGTTCTTGTAGGACCCAGCCGCGGCTCGAAAGCGGATGCAAAGCGTCAAAGGCCTCCCCCATAAATGCTAGATCGTCAACATGAGGGGAAAAGCTTTTCCGAAAGAGAAAGCGATATGGTTTCTTGTCATGAAGACGGCCGCTGACCTGGAATTGATGCCATTGGCGAAAGAGACCCTCATCACCAGATTTTGATGCGGTCGCCGCAAGTGTAACTACAGCGTCTCGATAGACCGTGGCCATCTTCATTGCTTCTCTCGCCCAGTCGCTTTCGTCGTCCTGTATTATGCAAAGGGTGTCGCACCAGATGTATCGCAATCCTAGAGCTCTCGTTACAGTGATTGCTTCTCTGAGGGTGAGTGACAGTTCCTCTATGTGAATGCACTCTTTCATCGCTGACAGATTCTTTCTGGTTGTGTTTAAGGGTTGCGAACCCAACCCCCCCCCCCCCCAACGGTGGCTTAGAGCAACGTGACAACCTCGCTCACCACTCGTCTCCACAAGTGCAATGTTAGACTGCTGGTCTGGCCGTCCCAGATCGAGCAATCTTGTTGGAAGTAGGCTATTGGACTCAATCCCCTTGTGACCATGAGACATAATACAGTTTGTAATCCATTCGTTCATGATTCTGAACGCCTAGATGGATCCAGTAGAGTGACACGTTTGTCTGGCAACTTTGAAATGCCCCCATGGTGCCGGAACCTGTTTGTTTCCAGCTGCATCTGATATGACTCAACGTTGTTGGTTATGAAATTGTAATGGGACCCAAACCTGTAGCTGTATACATATCGACGACCAGGCGATCGCCAGGATCATCGGAGAACCAGACTCCAACCTGCCTCGTTCCAAATTCTCCATGCTTTGCCCTAACACCATCGCGATCAAGGTCGGTGAGTATATCCCCTTCTTTGTAGACACGGTGCTCTCCGAGCATGTCAAGGTCTAAGGGGTAACCATAGCGGAACAACAATTTCAACTTTGTTGGGACGGAATGCTTTCTTCCAAGACAGTCAAGCCAACCGCGGCAGCCTCTCACTATAACGTTACAGCTGACGCAAAGCCGGGCCGAAAGATAGATGGTGCTCCAAGAGACTTCCGTATTGAGAAAACGGGGTGTCAGGTTTTCGAAAGACTTGCAGATTGTACAAACATCAACAGTGCGCCGTGAATCATATAGTAATCGTGTTGTTGCTTGGAGAGGAAGAATCGGTCGAGGGGCCGAAGGCTTGTTTCCCATGGTACAAAGGAAAGTCCGATCTTTCGGCAAGCTGTACGATTTTGTTTATGATGAAGTAGTACTAGATGATATAAGGTGGGTTTGGAGACCGCGCTTTCAGGATGATGTTGAAGCCGGTGAGCTTCTATCCCGCTTCAGCCGCACCTGGGCATTTTCTCGGCAGCTATGCCTAATGGCTTGGCTGACTTGCGTCGCTGAACCAGTTCCACAATTCTGGATCCACCGTAGTAAGGCTGAAGTACTCTGCCAACGATAGAACTCGCGCGTACGGAAGGTCTGTGGTAAAGCGCTTGCGCGCTATGGTGTTATCGCTGCAAGCCTGCCGAGGCGAACTCCAACCATAATCGCCGGCCGCGGCCACAAACTACCTCTACCTACGTTGTATTTATGGATGAGTAGTGTCGCATAGGTCTGTAGATTGATCTACGAAGGATCTTGTGATCGTAACTATGGTCATTGCACGCACGGATACTTTGGACAGGCTAACCGAGAACGGAAAGAGACTCCGAGATAGCTCATCATACAAACCCCGCTATTGCCATGTCGATTTCGTTATCGACAACCATTCTAGATGTCTTAACTCATAATCCCAGTCGATCACGTTCTTTGGCTCTACCTCTTTCTGACGTCATGCGCAGTGAACGTAGCCGTAACGCGACGCGAAAACATTCGCAGCCGCGCCGAACTCACAAACTAGGCGGCTGCTCAACCTGCCGGCGCCGCCATGTCAAATGTGATCAGTCACGGCCATGTTGCTCTGTCTGCCGTAACGCTGGCCTGCAGTGTGAAGGCTTTCCCTCCCAGATCCGCTGGGCTTCTATGTCTACCGGCCCGCCAGCTCTGAAGTCGGCCCAGATACCGCCACCCACGCCATCTGCCCAGAGGCAAGCAGCATCTCAAAGCACAACGGCGTCTCAGGACGCTTCTTCAACGGAACCAAATCAACGTCTGCATCCTATCGGCTAGATATCAGATTCGCACTAACAGCCTGCCAGAGCAGTCTGGGGAAGCAGCCTCTTCCAATGGCCCGCAACAAGACGACCGAGTGCCTCAAGATTCCATTTTGCCGTCCCATAGATCCTCACCAGCGAACATTCCGCTTCTCCCCCAAGAAATCGCGTCGAGCAGCGCCGAAATCCCCAGTCATCCACCAGCATGTCCGTCCTCTATGCTTCCGTTGGAGGATGTACGCCACGTGGAAGGTGACACAGGGATCGAGATGAACAAATCCGATCTCTTCAGCTACCATTCTGCCGGATCCTTCTCTGATCTGGAGTCGTTGCTCGATAACTCTGCCGTCCTCGGGTGGAACGACTTGTTTGGCTCTACGACGAGTCTATTTATGCCTGTCATACATGACGAAACATATCACGATTCGCTCGAAGTTTTAGCGAATGTTGCTAGTCGCCCACATGGATTCAATGATGGAGATGAGTTTCCACGGCATTCGTTCGAAGCCGAATCATTGCTGAGTGGAAAAAGTATGGGTACTTTCGCGGCAGTCACAAGCCCGCAACCTCCTCCATACACACAAACGGAATTAGATGGTGCCGAGGTGTTTGAAGATGCAAAAGTACTTCTGAAGCACTTTCGAGATGTCGTGATCTCCCAGTTCGCGCCGCTGCCAATGCACTCAAAGTCGCCATGGGAGATTCTCAATTGGAGCAATGCCGTACATACTCTCGCCGATATAACGTTTCTCCAGAGTTCCAATGTCAAACACGCAAACTTGGCTAACCTTTTCGCTATTATCGGTTGCTCTGCACACACCATCACTAAGACACAGAACTATCCTGGCGTTCTTTCGTACCAAAGAGGTGCCCAGATCCTGGATTATGCCTCACGGCATGCTAAGAGCCACATGCAGGAGTCTTTGAAATCAGAAACAGCTGGTCCGGGAAAGTCCAAGTACAAAGACCAGCTAATGGCTCTCTTCAGTCTCGTTGCGCTTGCGGTATGCATCCCACCCTGTTGTGGAGATCGTGCTAAATGTCAGTAGACGCTGAGCGGCAATTCGGCCGATGCTAGATGCTACATCATCGATGCGGAGCGCCTGTTGAGATTACGAGGACTGGCCAAGCGGGATGTCTCTCGCAAAGCTCGATTACTACACCACGTGTATACCTGGCTCCGGATCGTTGGTGAAAGCACTTTTAGCTTGCATGACTTCACCAGCGCCGGTTTTCAGGAAAAGATAGAAAGGATTATACAGAAAAGCACGGTAGTTTCTAGCGTTTCGTCGGCCTCGGAGCAGAACGCAGTGTTGGCAGATGGACACCCTCAACTCGACGATTTTCTTCGAGTGGAAACACACGGTCCAGATAGCGATCTCCACATGGGGACATCAAAAGACCAGGAGGCTGGTCTCCGAGATATTCATCTTTCGGATCCTCGCGAATGGCCAAAGACACTCTATATGGATATTTATGGGATACCAGAGGACTGGCTCAGCCTGGTATCGCAAACGACCAGAGTCGCCAACATCATTGACTTTCTCGAGCAAACGACCGAGCAAACGCCACGGGCCTTCACGGACTCTCTACAAAGGAAGACGACACGACTAGAGCACATGATATGCTCTTTTTCCGCTAAGCACAGCGTTTTTGAGACACCTGTGCCGTCAGATAGCAATAACGAGATTACACCCAATCATTCGATTTCCAGTCGTGCGATGTTGAGAGCAATGGGCTCAGCGTTGGTGATATTCTTCTATCGGAGGATTCGCAACGTCCATCCTTTCATCCTGCAGTCGCATGTCAACGACGTCATCACAGCACTAAGGGACTTCGATATCGCACAAGGTCCCACAAACACGATGTCTTTAGGTACGCCGTGGCCAGCTTTCATCGCTGGATGTGAAGCGCTGCCAACGTCTTCCCGGGATTGGTTAATGGGGTGGATGGAGAAGGGTGCAAGTCGATCCGCTTGTAATGGCTTCACTGCCTCACAAAAGGTCATGCGAGAGGTATGGGAGCAACGTGACGTCGTAAGGGCCATACAAGATCCTGAGAGCGGCATCTCCAATAGAGGCAAAGTTTACTCCTGGGTTGATGTGTTGCGAGAGGGTAAATTCTGGCTGATGCTATACTAGTTGGCGTGCATCATTGGAGTCATCAATCATACCATTCCTACATCTACATCAAAGCTTTGCAAG